GGGAGGGGGGGGAGGGAGCGCGGGGGACGAGAGAGAAAGAAAGGCCAAGTTGAAGCCGTCGTGAAGAGGATGGTGGGGTAGTTATGGTGGTTTAGGTGATGTCGATGGCGGTGTACATGTAGCTGCGTTGCTGCCAGTTCCTACCCAACAACTTAGCAAACATGAGGTGTTTTCTGAAACGTGAGGAGAATGAAGAAGTAATACTCAGACCAGATTAGTTAAGTATTTAGTATCTAATACTGAGATTCAGAGAATCACTCCGTGACAATCGACGTTCTGTTGTCTGTGACTCATTAAGGGTGGTGTTGTATCCATCTTCCTGTCTAGGCACACAGGTGGGGCACCACAGCAGATTCTCGTGGGCATCTACGAAACATTATTACATGTTATCGAGTAATCTGCAGTGAACATTGCCCTATGGAGGTCCCCGTCACAAGGGTCTCTACAGTGGGAAGCACCACTGACAGCGTTCCCACGTCCCCTGTAAGCTGTAGAACGGTACCTATAGACGAGTAAGGTACGGACCTCCACGGCGAACCTCGCCTGCATCCTAGCTAGATTGGGCATCCAAATGACATGGCTAAGCAGCTCAGGGCTGCAGCCATACGCATCTATAAATAGCCTCATAAGATTGATTTCCTTCCTGATTTAAATAAGCAGCTAGACACACACATGTACCTAGGATATACAATATATAGGTAGAGACCACTGTGTTAGCGTCCATAGGTCATTGTGTATTATCGCCTACTAGAAGCATGCCACGGGTCAGATGTGAAGTCTCTAGATAAAGACAGAGGAGTCTCAGGGAAGCATGGTTATGGTGTTGTCATAGATGAATGTAGCCAGCCATGTAACAACGTATCTATATAAGGCAGAGCATCTGCAGCATAGCTTCAGGAGGAGGACCGGAGATGAATGTACCTTTGGATCGACCCATACCTTGTCTTTTTATGACAGACCTCTTCACTTTCCTCTTGTTCCTTGAGACTTCGTTGCTGATCTACTATTCTGCATAGACAGTTCGTCCCTTCGTCCTCCTGCGTCTCTGACAAGAATAATTGGGAAACTTTATGAGAACACACTATGAACACTGCCAACATACATTTAAGGTATACGTTAGGTGTTGAGTGATGTTGAGTTCTTCATTATTATTTCTCTATTGTTGTTGTATCGGGACATGATGATTTTATGGTCGAGTTCAGCTTACCTAATCTAGGTACTATTTTCTATAACACAAGAAGCACAATCATTGTTGCAATCCTGGCACCGGACCCTCCTTGCCAATCAATCCGGTCACGGCGAGGAGCTTGCGAAACCCGCTTGGTGTCTTCTCCTCTCTTGCTAGCAGCCCCCCCCTCCCCTCCAAAAAAAAAAAAGAACGGCTTTCTCCTCCCACATTTCCGGCGAGGCGTTCGATTCTCGACCCATATTCTCTCATAGGATTATAGGGCAACATCGTGTTGTAGAACACTTTTTTCTACACACCTGGAATCACCTGGTATCATCATGTCTGCACAGCAGGGCGGCCAAGCCGGCGGCCAGCAGCAGCAGCAGCAGCAGCAGCAGACGGGCGTGAGTAGCATCTGGAGAGGACAAGAAGTGCCCTCGTGTGTGTGGCGATCTTACGAGACTGACATAGTGCGCACAGGGAGGATGGACTAGGCTCCTGATCGCCGGAGGTCTGTACCTCGGACTCAACGGCATCATGTCATACGCGACGCAGAAGACGCAAAAGGGCAGCACGGTCACGGACCCCAACACGGGCGAGGTGGTCAAGGTCGCCCAGAACACAGGCCAGATCCCTGCCTACCAACTTCGACCGGATCACCTGGACGAGGGCGCGACGTACCGCGCCATCCCCAAGATTGTCGCGCCCATCTGGCCGCAGGACTCGCACGTCGACATCGTCATCACCGTGTCACCTTCCTTCAGCCCCCTCCCGCTCTCCGACGTCCCCGACGAGTACGTCGTGATGCGGGAGAAGGGCTTCCACATGGACAACTCTTCCGACACGCGCTCAGCCGACGCCAAGATCTCTGTGCCCAAGGCCGTACAGAACAATGGCACCCTCTGGGGCCACTTCTACGTCGGCCTCCCTGGAAGCAACCTCGACCCTCGCGCCCCCGGTTTCGACCCCGGCAGGGCTTTCCATTTCGCATACCCGCTCACCCAGTACTTGCCCAAGAAGAAGGAGGCTAAGACGCGCAACCTGCTCGACGATCTCCCTGCCCCCGTCGAGGACGAAAAGGAAGATGAGCCCGCCGGCCCCATCATCGCCAACTACTACCACCCCAACGCTAGCTTCTCGTTCGTCCCCAACATTGGCGTCAAGGATCTCGCGCAACTGCCGCCCGCGGCTAAGCACTTTCTCCATCTCGAGTCCACGGGCGCCCGTGATGGGTCTGGCCAGAATGGCTGGTACTGTACGTATCGTCTCCGGGCTCTCTCCCTACCTTCGCTTCCGGTATCGGGTCCCCTGACTAACCTGATCTGAAACCTAGACCCTCTGCTCTTCGTCAACACGTTCTGGCAGCTCAGGAGCCACATGATTCCACTCAACGAGACAGTTACCGAGCTTCCCCTGCACATCGACCTCGGCAACATGGCGGCCTGGAAGTTCCAGATGCTGGCCAACATGGAGTTCAACGCCAAGGAGTCGGCCCGGCAGGCGGCCTTTGGTAACGGACTCCCTACAGGCGGCGACGGCAGCGAGATCGAAATGGTCAAGGAAATATTCATCGACACGAACCCCATCCTTCTAGGCATCACGGCCGTGGTCAGTGTCGCGCACATGATTCTGGAGACGCTGGCGTTCGGATCCGACATTGCGCACTACCGCAAGAAGAAGGACAATGTGGGCATCTCTGTGCGTTCGATCCTGGCCAACGTCTTCATGCAGACCATCATCTTCCTCTACCTGCTGGACAACTCGCAGAACACGAGCTGGATGATACTGGGCCAGCAGGTGATTGGCATCCTGATCGAGTTCTGGAAGATTACGACGGTGGTCAACGTGCGGGTCCGCCCTTCGGCCCCGGGCTCCTGGCTCCCCTACTCGGTCACGTTCGAGGACAAGCACAAGCTCACGGACACGGAGGAGAAGACCAAGGAGTACGACGAGATTGCCTTCAAGTACATGTACTGGGCGGCCATCCCTCTGCTGATCGCCTACGGCATCTACTCGCTCTTCTACGACACGCACAAGTCGTGGTACTCGTACATCATCACGACGCTAGTCGGGTCCGTCTACGCTTACGGCTTCCTCATGATGGTGCCGTCGCTGTACATCAACTATCGCCTCAAGAGCGTGGCGCACATGCCGTCCAAGGCCATGGGGTACAAGTTCCTCAACACTTTCATTGACGACCTCTTCGCCTTCACCATCAAGATGCCCTTCCTCCACCGCATGGCCACATTACGCGATGATGTCATCTTCTTCATCTACCTGTACCAGAGGTACAAGTACCGCGTGGACTACACGCGCGTCAACGAGTTTGGACAGGGCGGCGATGACGACGAGCATGAGGATAACAAAGAAAAGGAAGATGAGAAGAAGAAGACGGAGGAGGAGGAGGAGGAGAAATCCAAGGCTATCGAGGCGGAGGCAACCAAAGCTACGGGATCTGCGGCTACTGGTAAGGCCAAGAAGAGGAAGTAAATGCACATCTCGCTATTGCCAGACAAGATAGCAGTAGCAGAAGCAGCAGCAGCCATACAGGAGATTTTACTTGTGTACCTTGAAAGAGTCTAGATTTCCTGTAAAACGAAGAAAAAAAAAAGATAACACAATAAAAAGACTATATATAAAAAATTACATACATGATATGAAGGCGCTTCATCCAAGTACCATGTAGTACCTACAGTTCAATCGAATCTCCACTGCAGGAACACATTCTGCGTGGCCTCGCTCTCCATCCAATGAGGAGGAGGAGGGGGAGGGCTCCATTCCAACGAGCTTCTCCCACCACGTGGATGGGCAAGCCCCGGAAAAGACGCTGGCATCAGACGAGGAACGACGCCAGAGATTCTCAAGCCCGGTTCAGCGCAAGGCCGACTTTGGTAGCCATGATGGTGGTGGTGACATCTGGCGTTGTTGTTGGGTGCTGACTACTATTTTAATTCACCAAAGTATCGAAGAATGCTTCTAGAACTACATCTACAGAATATTATATAATACATTAATTGCGCAATCCGGGGCAGGTACGTAATAAGCATTAGGAATCGTCAGGACTAATCGAGGCAATCTATCAAAGAATCCTATCAGCTTCTACTAATAACTAACCGGTAATAATAAATCCCCCTTGTACATGTAGGCTAATAAAGATATATATTAAAAGATGACTCTTTCTACGTTCGGCGACCCCGCGGCGTGCGAGTGGCCCAATGTGGGGAAGACTCATCCTAACGGCGTCGTTACGACCCTATCGGGACCGGCAAGTTGCCGGGTAATCTTGTTCCTGATGCGTATCTTGACTCTGTTTCTATATTCTTCGATTCTCTCCTCATTCATCCCTTCCTCGATTCATTCCGTCATTTTCTACTGTAGCAGTTTCAGGTTGCGTTGTTGGAGTTGACCCTATCGCAGTGGATATGGCATCGTTCAAGAGAGAGGATCTTGTTCTGAAGAATATCGAGGGGCATCTTTCTTCCCCTCCAATAATTTTAATAATACCTCTACCCCTCCATCTGACATCTTCACACATTCAACATCGACAGTTTCACCATGTACAATACAACGGTGGAGAGTATTAAACGAAAAAACTGTCTTCATAAAAATCATACGGGAAAGAAACATGCTGATGTGTCCCAAATACCTTTCCTTCCATTCCTTGTCCGTTATTCACTTATTCCCCCTCTAGCAGTAATATATAAGATATCCATTACAGGCTACCCAGAGCCTTGTCGAACGCTCCGATCAGAGAAGGAACTATCGGATCAGCTGTCAGTAGGTGTACAAACAGTACCGGGGGCAAGAAGAGTCCAAGTCGACCAAGTCGAGGAGCGGGGGAGGAGAACATACTGTGAGCCTCCTCAAAGATGAGCATGGGACGAAGACGGACAGTCTGGACACCGCACGTGCCAACGTTGACACCCAGCTTCTTCATGGTCTTGACGAGACTGGCGGGGTCGGTCGTGTCAAAGGCAATGTAGGTACCCTGTCCCTTGCCGCGGAGGTTGAGAACCTGGGCGGGGTACTTGGCGGCCAGCTTCTCGAGCTCGGCGTAGAGGGCGTTGCCAACACGGGCCTGGGATTGCTGCGTTAGCTTCTGAATTCCCACCGCAGTGGGACTGCTGTGGCAACAAGGAAAGAGGAGGCTCTCAACATACACACTGCTCGACGAGCTTGTTCTTCTTGATCTCCTCGATGACGGCCTTGCTCATGAGGACACGAGCAGGGTCACCGATCCAACTATGAGAATGTTAGTTGCTATCCGTGGTGGGCAAACAAGGTAAGTAGGTAGTGGTGGACGCAACGTACGTGTTGAACTGGCGGTAGGCCTTGTCGGGAACGAGCATGCGATCACCGAAAAAGTAGCCGGCAGTCTGAGCCTTCTTGGAGAAGGTGACAATGTCAGGGGGCGTAGAGAGGTTCCAGTGCTCGTGACCCCAGAACTTGCCGGTGGCACCGAAGCCGGTCTGGACCTCGTCGGCGATGAGCACGACGCCGTTCTTCTTGGTGATGTCGCGCAGGCCCTGGAAGAAGGCGGGAGAGGCGTGATTGTCACCGCCCTCGGACTGGATGGGCTCGACGATGAGCGCGGCGACGGGGAAGCGCCACGTCTTGATCAGGCGCTCGACCTCGGCCAGGCAGCGGGCCTCCTCGGCCTCGTTCTCCTCCGCGTGCTTCTCGAGGGGGTACTTGAGGCGGGGGAAGGGAGCCTGGGGCCAGTCGAACGACGGGATGTCCAGCTTGTGCACCGCCTTGGAGCGCGTGGTCGACAGGCTGCCGAAGCCCCGACCATGGAAGGAATCGGCAAAGGAGAGGACGGCTAGGTCGGGGGAACCGGGCTTCGAGTTGGCAAGGCAAGAGGTAATCTCCTCCTGGCTCCACTCGGCCTCACCACGCTCCCGACGACGGTACAGCATGAAGGCGGCCTTGTAGGCGAGCTCGTTGGCCTCGGAGCCGGACTGAGCAGTGAAGATGTTGTCGAGACCCTTGGGAGCGACGCTGAGGAGACCGTTCTTCAGGGTGTCAGCCCAGAAGGCTGATGGGAAGTTTCCAACGGCAGGGCGGTTGACCAGAGCCTGGATAATCTCGGGAGACTTGGCAGCCTCGATGAGGTGGGCATTGTTGTAGCCGACGGGAATCGACGCAATCTGGGAGTACACGTCGAGGAAGCGGTTGCCGTCGATATCGACAATGCTATTCCCCCCCCCAATGAGTCAGTCTCGTAGTTTCCATGATAATAAACAAATCATCATCGGCTCACTAGTTGCCAGTGCTCTTGTCGTAGTCAGTGACAAAGTACACGGCACGGGAGTCAAAGAAGGCGTCGAGCTTCTCGACGGCAGCCTTGGACTGAGGTCCAGGCACCTCGGTGACGACAGACGGCTGAAGAACGGAGGAAGACATGGTAACGACTCTCTTGCAGAAAGAATGTTCAAGATAATCTAGGGAGGAGAAAAGGAAAGAAAAGGAAAACCAGAAACTCTTGAGCCAAAGGACGCTTCTTCATTTACGTACTTCCGATGGACTGCGCGACTGGTGGGGTCATTGACCGGCATCTTGCCGGCCACCATAACCAAGCGCTTCTGATTGCCTTTCGGTGTCCTTTGATAGGCAGATAAGGCAGCCGTTTTTGACTGCTTCTGAGACCTTTGCCCCATGGATCGGGCTTCTTCCTTAGCCTTCTGCTTCTGGTTTCCTTACGTACCACGTCGTACATTGGGTGGGGCTTATTTGGGCCGTATGTGCGCGTGTCGCTGTAGGATCTAGATCTCATTACGTCGTATATCCTGCACCATTGCCACTCAGAAGAGTTCCGGGGGGGGACCAGACACCAAAGATACGGGTCGTCCGCCGGCTTCGGGTAACCCGCAGTACCCGCATAGTGTCACCCATAGCCGCCCAACAAATTACCCCTCCAGTTTACCATCCCGCCATGTGCCACTCACCGGGTAGAACACCCCGTCTACCCCTCCGCCCTCCTCCTCCTATGTTCCAGGCGGCCAGAGATTTGCGCCCGATCCCGGGTTATCCGAATGTGTCAGTCCAAAGTCCGGACTGAACATGGTGGAAAACTCATCCATGGTTTGCGGAAATGAAAAGTCCCAGTCCATCGAGGATATAGCTGCCCAGGGCCCAGCCCATGTTGGTGACGACCCCGCCGCCATTCCTGGGCCGCCAGGGTCTCCCCGGGTTCCGCCCCACGACCCGGCAATCGGCGTGAACAGGGTGTGGTCCGGTACCGGTGCTTCGCGAGCAGCGTCGTTGGCCATTCCCGCGGCAGAGGAAGCTGTCGCCTGATTATTGCTGCCCGCGGAGCTGTCATTTTTGAAGAGCATCTCCCACTTCTTGAACCGTGCATAAGGGTTGGATGCATCATCCTGGACATCAAGGCGGGCAATCGCACGCTCAAGGACCTCTATGAGTGATGCCTCGGATCGAGCGGACTCGCCGCCACCGGCCGACAATTCCCGGATGATGCCTACACCGTCTTTGAGTGATTGGCGCAGCCGTTCTGTCTTGCCCTGTAGACATTGCGTGATGATGACGAGGAGGGCGACGCGACACGAGCTGAACTCGGTGTATGACGCCCTGGCAGCACCGACACCGTCCTGGAGGGCCTTGCATGTGTCAATGATGGCCAGCGCAGCTTCGACACAGTCTGAAACCAAGACTGAACGGGCGTCTATTCTCGAGCGAGGACTAGTGTGTGAGTATTGCTGGTGCGGCTGGTACGACGACTGCTGAGCCTGTTCCGCAGGCGAGCTGGAAGCAGACGCACTGCTGCCCCGGTTGGCGACGCGTAAAAAGATGAACGGTCGGCCCGCGAACAAGCGGACCATGTGATACTCGAGGTGGATATGTGCCTCGCGGCGTGTGATGGGGTTTGATGTATGACAGGACGCAAGGTTCTTCCGGCACATGGACTCGGGGATGGCGTCCCACCACTTGTGCAGATCGTTGCTCAGGTCGACCAGTCGACTGAGAGTATCGAACGCGCCGCGCTTGGCATGTAGCTTCAGAGAGGACCTTGAAGAAGTTAGTCACTTGCCATACTCGATCAAGGAGCCTTGCTCGGGTCAGCTTACATTTCCTGCAATATCTTACTGAGTATATCATGGAGCTGAAGAGTAGCCAGCATGGCTTGGATCTGGCTCGTTGACGAGGACGGCCAGATATCTGTGAAATCGACGGTAGGAAGTTCGGCATCGACATCTGTACTCGCTATAGATGTGGGCCTCCCGTGAAATATTCCCACTCGTCTGTGTGCAACTGTCAGTCAAACTACCTGGCAGGTGCATCCTTGGTCAATGAAACTCACCTTTCAATAGCGTATACGGTCCACCACACGCGGATCCTTGTCTCCTTTATGGAGCGATCCAGTTCCCCGCCGGGGTACTTGCGGTGCATGCCGTTTTGTATAGCGAGCTTGATGGCAAGATTGAGGTATATGTATGACAGTCCAGAAGCATCCAGAGGCAGCGTAAAGACGCCCATCAGAAGACATGCCTGGACACTCTCGAGCGATGATACGGCAATAACGTCGGGGAGTAGTTTGCAGGCCTGTTGGTAAAATAAGACGCCGAGAACGTCCTCGGAGTAAGGTCCAGGTTGGGCGAGGTTCCCAGCCTGGTGTTGTGAGTCCAGATAGGCGTACTGCGTACCGATGGCGAGCACTATAAATATTATGCACACAGTTCCAACGTCGCGCCGTGTAAAGTCGGAGGGGATTGTGTACGCTGTATGAAGTCTCTCCTGCAGCCAACCGTATTCGAGATACCAGTAGTTTGTCTCGACATAGCGAAAGAATACCTCGACGAGGAAATCGGCTACGTCGCGGGGTGGAAGTGACGCTGTAAGCGAGGCAAAGGGGTCTGAAGCAGACTGTAGCTCCATAGGGCGGTAATATTCCTTGAAGCTGAGCGGACCGGTATGGTGAGGATGTCCCTGGTCATAGACGCACTGCTCAATCCATTGTTTGATACGCATGGAGAAATTCCAATGAGAAAATTCGCCAGAATAATCTGCAAAGTGTCAGTACCTTCAAGAAGGTTTCTTATTTTTATGTTGTCCTGAGGTACTAACGAGTGATATTGTTTGCCACAGGCTGCACCGTGAAGCTCTCCTCCTCCGGGTCGAGGTAGCCCGAATGGTGAGAACTGGATGCGTCCTGCCGAGGAGTAACAGACCGGTCCCCGCCATCATGCGGTCCCTCGATAGACTGGGCAAGATCTCGGAGGTTTGCAGAATCGAGACTGACATGACCGAGGTAGTGTCGAACGATTCTCTCCATATACCCGAGACGCTCCGTCAGGTCCTTGTTGGCTTCCTGGGACGCCTGGAGTCTAGTCGGATCGTCAGCGGCATTGTGGATGAGGTGTGTGATGCTGTTGAAGATGCTACACTCACCTCTCCGCAAGGTCCGATCCTGCGATGTCAAACCCAGAGTCCGAGAAGTGGCATTGCCTGCGCAGCCGGACGCATCTCTGGCAGGGCACCCCGCCATGGCATTTTTCCTTTAATCGGCGGCAACCATCGCAGCTGCACTCGTAGGCGAGGAATTAGCCTCGGTCTCGTCAGAATACGCTGGGGGGTGATAAGGTAAGCTCACGCTCTCGCCGCACGTTTACGCTCCTTGTCGGCGACGCGACGCAGCTTGGGCCCTTGACGGCTACCCTCTGATGAGTCCATCAATACATGTCCGCTGCACACGCGGACGGCCAGGCCATTTGCGAGTCGCTGAGGATCCGGTAGGTTTCCCTGGTGAGGAGGGAGGCTGGAACGGGTCGTGTAGATTGCGCGAAATGGTAGGTCAGATGAAGGTGCAGTATGAGCAGGCTCTTGTAATGAGGCTGGCTGATGGGGATTGATTGGAGAAGTACAGTACTCATACGTGCTTCTAGGGCTTGGGGCGTTACCCAGGGGGGTGTGGTTTGGGCGGTTGGCGCTGACATACAGGCGTATCGTGAACGGGCGAGGGGCCGGGGAGTGCTAGTCCGACAACTACTGCTGTGGTCCTTTCAGCGAGGAGTAGGGGGGAAAAAGAATTACGACATGATGACCTGGAGAGGTAGCTAGCCATTGGCATCTCGGTGCCATAGCTATCCATATATTGCTGTATAAGTCGGTAAATATATTCTGAGATGTCCAATACTCATCACGCATTGGTTGCATCCGGTTTACCTGTGTTAATATGGAGTATTACAAAGGCTGGTGCGGGGCATTTTCAGTGAACCCCAATTCCCCCACTTCCATTTTCGGCGGGCAGAAAAATTGATATGAGCAGGAAAGACAGGAACCAAGGCAATCGAGGCCAAGAAAAAAAGAGAGAGTTGTAGATAGCCAAGCTTATATATGTATAACGGAGAACCATAATATGCAATATCAGCTAGAAATCGCGGAGTCAGCCCACCCGTGGTGAACAAAACCATATTAAGGCCTGACTCACACTATATTACGATTGCAATGTCAACTCCAGAATCCCGAGACCGGCAGGCGCTATGCGAGACCATTCCGTCACCCCACCATCATATTCGTAGTCTATAAAACCCGCCTGCTCACTTTCATCATAAAGCTCCAAAATCTTTTGAAGCACAATCCACTCATCGAACGCATCGTACTCGAGCAGCAGAACCACGACCTCTTCTCAAATATGCCTTCCAGATCTGACGTTTCCGTCTTCAGCTCGGGCCCGGCCCTGCTGCCGACAGACGTGCTCGAGAAGGCCTCGCAGGCACTGGTCAACTACGACAGCACGGGTCTAGGTCTGGCTGAGCACTCCCACCGCTCCGAGCTGGCCACCAACATCATCAACGAGGCCAAGGCTGACCTGGCCACGTACCTCGACATCCCCGAGGACTACGAGGTGCTCTTCATGCAGGGCGGCGGCACGGGCGAGTTCTCGGCGACGCTGTACAACTTCATCGGATCATGGGTGGCGCGCAAGACCAAGGCGCTGGCTGGCGGCAGCAAGAGCGACAAGGACATCCTGGGCGACCCTGCACTGATGCAGGAGCTCCGCCACACGGTCCAGCACAAGCTCAAGGTCGACTACCTCGTCACCGGAAGCTGGTCGGCCAAGGCTGTGGGTGAGGCCTCGCGCCTCCTGGGTGATGAGCACGTCAATGTCGTCTCCGACGCCCGCCAGGCCAACGGTGGCAAGTTTGGCGTCATCCCCGATGAGTCCACATGGAAGCTATCCGACGACGCTGCCATGGTGTACTACTGCGACAACGAGACGGTCGACGGTGTCGAGTTCCCTGCATTCCCCAAGTGCCTCGAGCCCAAGGCCGACGGATCTGGCCCCATCGTCGTCGCAGACATGTCGTCCAACATTCTGTCGCGTCGTGTGCCCGTTCGCAACTTCTCAGCCATCTTCTTTGGCGCTCAGAAGAACCTCGGCTGCACGGGTATCACTGTTGTCGTCATCCGCAAGGAGTTTCTGCCCCCCAAGCTGTCCCAGCCCAGCCCGGCCATCCTGAGGCAGCTCGGTCTTCCCATCCCTCCCATTGTCTTCCAGTACGAGACGACTGCCAAGAACAACAGTCTCTACAACACGCTCAGCATCTTTGAGTAAGTTACACCCACACAGTAGACAAGTCAAATGGCGGGTGAGAGCTGACTTGATTCTTCCCAAGTGTCTACATTGCCGGCCAAGTCCTGAAGAAGCTCTTGGCCACCTTTCCTGAGGACAAGGTTGCTGGTCAGGAAGCTGTCGCTGACAGGAAGGCTCGTCTTCTGTACGGAGCTCTCGAGTCTCACCCCGATGTCTACAAGGTCGTCCCCGACAAGTCTGCTCGCTCGCGTATGAACATTTGCTTCCGAGTCATCAAGGGCGGCGACGTTGACACCGCCGAGAAGGCCTTCCTCAAGGAGGCCACCAGCCAGAACCTGCTGGGTCTCAAGGGTCATCGTAGCGTCGGCGGGATCCGCGCTTGCAACTTCAACACTATTACCGAGGAGACTATGGAGAAGCTGGTCAAGTTTATTATCACGTACGCCAAGGCATAGAAAGAAGTGGCCGCTCAGGTATTAATGGAGTTATCCTGATACTTTCCGTGGCGCCAGTCCATCTCAAAGTTATCTTGGACAAGGATGGGGGAAAAAAAAAAAGTAAAAAAGTGAATAAAATTTCAAGAAGATTTGGGAATATATAGGAAACAAAAAAAAGAAATGCACAGGTAATCCAACTCTCTACTTGCTATGCATTTCCTTATAGATGATGGAGAACCATGAGCTTAATGCACTAATACTGTGGCTGTTACTGTGGATTTTGGTGTGTGGTGAGACTGTCACTGTAAGATTACAGCCCCAACATCATTAAAAACGGCAGTCGCGTCCCCCTAACACGCTGCACCTGTCATCATCAGCCACCTTAGGCAGACATAAATTCATCGCCTCGTTCTCAGACCCGTCCTCGATACTTGAATTCATTTCGACATCAGCCTCATTCTACTCGAGGAAGCAAAACCCCACTCTTGGCCGATGCTCTGGCGCACCCTTCAGCCCAGGGGACTCACCGGAAGTCTGCGCCGCATCTCGCCCGTCTGCAGTTCCATCTCATCGCAGAAGCCATGGCTCAATAGGGGAGGACGCACCGCAAGGCCGAACTTGGCCTCACACAGCCGCTTACGGCTCTACAGCGCCAGCGCCTCTGGTTTCTCCCCAATAGACGATACGGTCTATGCTCTGTCAACGGCGCAGGGGAGGGCAGCCATCGCCGTCATCCGTGTCTCGGGACCCTCCTGCCTGGATGTGAGTGTGCCGGCACGATGATGCATCCATCCCGATTTGCTTACCCCCCGATCAGGTATACAAGGCTTTATGCCCAGGAAAGGTGGTCCCAAGGCCTAGAGTGGCCACAGTGCGCTCTCTGTACGACCCTGAGGCTTCCTCGGCAGACGCCTCGGCCGTCCTGGACGCAGAGGCCCTAGTTCTCTATTTCCCAGGTCCCAGAACTGTGACAGGTGATGATGTGCTAGAGCTCCATGTACACGGCGGCCCTGCCACTGTCAAGTCTGTCCTATCCGCGGTGCCTCGCTGCATACCCACGCCATCTGACGGCGAGGGCCCGCCGCGCATAGTTCGCTATGCCGAGCCCGGAGAGTTCACCAAGCGAGGCTTTGTCAACGGTCGTCTAGACCTAGCCCAGATTGAGTCCCTGAGTGACACGCTGGCTGCCGAGACGGAGCAGCAGCGCCGAGCGGCCGTCCGCGGCAATTCTGGTCGTTTGGGACGCACGTACGACGGATGGCGCGAGCAACTAATCTATGCGCGTGGCGAGATCGAGGCTCTAATTGACTTTTCCGAGGATCAGCATTTCGACGAGCCGCAGTCAGAACTTCTCTCCAGTGTCACCTCGCAGATTGAGTCGATGCTGCATAGCATCAATCTACATGAGCAAGGCAGCCAACGAAGTGAGCTTCTTCGCGGGGGCATCCGTATCGCACTCTTGGGTCCGCCCAATGTGGGGAAGAGCTCCCTGATGAACTTGGTGGTTGGCCGTGAAGCGTCTATCGTGTCGGGCGAGGCTGGCACGACACGCGACATTGTCGAGGCCAGCCTCGACATGCGTGGGTACCTATGCTGCTTTGCCGACACGGCCGGCGTCCGATCATCTGGAGACGATGGGTCAGTGGGTGCCATCGAGGAGGAAGGCATCCGCCGAGCTATGAAGAAGGCTCGAGAGGCCGACGTAGTTATAGTCTTGGCATCGGTTGAGCAAGGCCCCGGCGGTCCAGCCATCTGCTTTGATGAGAGGACGCTCGACCTGGCCGCTCAGGCCAAGTCCAGCATAGCGGTCCTCAACAAGATCGACGCCGTGAGTCCAGAGATATTGAAGACTCTGATAGATGAATTCCAGCAGACTGTTGCCAAGTGGAGTCCCGAACTAGCAGCCGGCGGCGTGGTGGGGATATCTTGCAGGCAGGCCGAGGCCGCGGGGAGTGTGGTCGGAGCAAAAGACCTGGGTGGCATACAGTCCCTCATCGACGGCCTGGTGTCCTGCTTCTCGCGCATGACGGCCATGCCCGTCGACATGCAGGACCTGTTGGGCGTGACAGAGAGGCAGCGGCAGCTGCTGGTCAAGTGTCGTGGGCACCTCGAGGACTTCATGGCCGAAGCGCGGCCTGACGATGACTCTGAGAGGGATTCCGACGCGGTGCTGGCGGCTGAACACCTCCGTTACGCGGCCAATTGCCTGTCTCGTATTACGGGGAGGGGTGATGCTGGTGATGTGGAGGATGTGCTAGGCGTCGTTTTTGAAAAGTGAGTCAGTCCTTGCTCGAGGCGATGTATTGTACAGCAACTAACGAGACATGTTAGGTTTTGCGTGGGCAAGTAAACGGGATGATGGATTACTACTCAGTGCAAGCGACGTACTACCGAAGTAACCCAATATGATATCGAGTCAACGCTTGTACTATTACCGTATGCATATCATCACTGGAGCATCTTGACACATAGGGAGTCATACGGAGATGGGAGACGTGCAGAGAAAGAGTTGTGAGAAGAAGAGGATTATCTTGTATTTCGCGATGTATACTAGCATATACCAACAACAACAAAAACAACAACAACAACAACAACAACAACAACAACAACAACAACAACAACAACAACAACAGTCTATTTGCCCAAAGTCCTCAAACACCTCATGCCATGAATATTAAAGGTGTGGATTTGTAAATCTTTCATGCCCAGCACTACCGGTTTCGCCTGTTGCCAATGCCACGATTGCTCTGCGGCTCTAAGAGTAATAAGAAGAGAAAGAAGAAGACAGGAATTAGGTGAGAGGATGCAGTCGAAAAAAGAGGAGAGGGGAGTGTTGAAAACAAGACAAGATAAAAGCGAATAAGGGAGAAGAGAGACAGCATGAGAGGAAAGAAAGAAGCAAAGAGAAGAAGAGGGCGAAACACAGTAAAGAAGTTCAAATCAAAACGGCTTTATATATGTAATCATAACTGACAAGTCGCAAACTTCCCAGTCAAGTGTGCTGAACAGTGGTGAAAGAGAAGAAGAGACGAGGGGGTTCAAGACCCTAGTTGTAGCCGGATCGGCCCTGATCCTTGTCGTCGTCATCCCCGAAGCAGAGGACCATAGGACCCTTGTGGCTGTCATTGTCGTCGGAACCGTTGTAGCCGCTGCGGCCCTGGTTGGAGTTGTCATCGTCCTGGTCGGGGCCGTTGTAACCGCTTCGGCCAAAGTTGGTAGCGGGCGTGGTGAAGAAGGTGAAGGTAGACATGGTGATGGTGATGATGCTGAAGGTGCTTTTTCTTTTCTTTTTCTTTTTGGGGGGGGGTAGAGAGGGATATCTGTTTGAAGTGTGTCGGTATGTAGAGGATGTCTGAGAATCTCTCGAGATGAGTAGATGATTGTATGAGTGTGTTGATGATATAGAAGGAAAGGAAGAATGAAATTATGAAAAGGAAGAACAGACGACATATATATACACATTTCTCTCTCACTCACTCACGCAGACAGACTCGCCCTCTCTCTCTCTCTCTCTATGGACAGCACCTATGGCATGGAGCATAAGAGGGATATCAACACACACACACACACACACACACATACACACCCCACCCCCCTTCTCTCCCTCCCTCCCTCCCTCCCTCACTCCCTCTAGAGAAAGATATGGTCCAATCATGATGGAAAATTCGTCGATGGTAGGGCTGATGCTAAGGGCGGCGCAGGGGGGAGCAGGGCGGTGCCCCCATCCCCCGCGGGTTGCTCGGGTCCCGTTATTTACGATGACGCAGGATTAGGCGAGAGGCACGATAGAGCACTGAAGAGCAGTGCTCCCTTTCTCATCTAGCCTCGCGTGTACAGGTAGTAGGTTGCCGAATGCCGTTGCTGCAAGAGGCTACCTTTTTGCTTAGTCGAGCATTCATGCTAGGGGGCCGTCTTGTTGCAAGGATGAGAGTACGACCACATACGAGCTAATACTATTAATACAGAGGGTACTAGTATTATTACAGTAAGGTGTACGGAGTACATGGTCATCTCAGTATCATCATTATATGTATGAGCTGCAGGGATGTCCCACTCGATTGGTTTCGGTGCCTGGGGTGTGTTACTCACGTGGACATTTCTTCACGCCCCTTCTTTTTCTTCTTTTTCTCTTCGTCCGAGGAGGATGATACCTAAGAGCGTCATTGCTTGCTCTTCCCGTGCATGACAACGCAAGCACTGCTTATTGACCTGATGGACATGTGACCCATCTCCGAGGCTTTTACTTATCGACTTGATGAGGATAGAATCCATCTTCGAGGCCCGGGAACAACGTCAGCTCAAGACTAAGATGAAGAGGAGCAGAGAGGGAGGGAGAGAGAGAGAGAGAGAAAGTGTCACGTCATCAGACACCTGTCCGGAGAGAGGGCCGGAGTTGAGTCAACACTCCGCCGAGCCTGCCCCACGCTTCATTGTTCTTATTTTCGCTGCTTAACAAGGAATGTCGTAAGTCGTAAGGTCCTATCAGGCTACTACAGTACTGATACCAGTATTAGTGCGCAGTACTCCGTACGGATAACCATGGCTACCGATACATCCTAATTCCGGTAAAGTCCCTAATCATAATACTGAGTCACACGGGATACACGGCAGAAATGAGGCAATGAAGCATCCTCCGTGTAGACTAGGCAGCGCAGGCGTACGGCAGGGCATACAAGCTCATGCAAGCCTTATTAATGATACACCACCGATGGAAAGGATCGAGGAGACAGGAACCAAAAATCTCGACCTCGCCCCGGGTCCCTCCGTCCATCTCCAGGCTCCAGGGTGCCTTGCCTAGCTGCTGGGGTCCCACCGAACGCGGGACGGGCGGCCGCTCTAGCGCCCGTTTTGCCATCTGGCCCCCGACGCCTCATACTTGACACTGACAGACTTGCTGCCGAATTGGCGGTGTCACTTATCAGGCAGGAATCCAGGACTCGCGGGAAAGTGAATTCGGTCAGTGGGAGTGCCAACAATAAAGAAAGGATATTACCCTCCGGCCGGCACCTTCCTTCCCTTCCGCACACCACATCCATGGACCATCACACACACACACACACACAGAACAAAACAAAAAGCCACACGCCAGTCACACCTGCCTTGCCTTGACACCTACGCACCTGCCCTGACCTGCATGCATCGTCACTGCCGTCATCTGACAAATACTAGACATCGCACTTGCCTTCTTACTCTGGCTCTTTCCCTCTACCAGATGCAGTATTAACAATCATGACTCTTCTTTCTCTCCCTCTTCCCTCTCCCTCTCCTTCTCTTACTCCAGCCCCGGCTGATGACGGTGTCTTGTAGTAATCATCATCTCATGTTCTGGAATCATGCTACTGCATCAATCATCATCAGCATCATGGCCAATCCACCATGAGCAATCACCGCACACGCACATCACGTACTCGCCGTACACAGCCTTGGCACTCTCGCAATCTGCTGACATTGCCCGTTAAACACTACTGGTATTACTGCCGGTACTGAGTAGCATTACTCTCTGCGGTTGTCGACCCCGTCGCACCCCTCCCCCCTTACGAACTAATAGTAGCCAGACAGCCAGGAACACGCTCCCGAATCACTGGTCTTGCTTACCTCACTCAACCTTCATCTCGCCTCACCTCAGTAAGAGCCATGTGGCAAAAGGAACACAGCCACCCAAATTTAGCATCATCGTCAGCGACTCAGCATTAGGAATCATAGATCCTCTGATCTCGTTGGTCCCGGCTCATAGTCTGCTCAGATGATGACAGGGGCTCATCAATAACAAGACTTACGAGATACGACCCATTTGACCGTTACGGCTGACATTGGGCCCTTTGGGGCCTCCTTTGGGGGCTTCTCTTTCTTTCTTCCTTTTTTTATTCGGTCCCCATTTCTTTCTTTCTCTACACTATAGTCACTCCCTATCTCACCCCTCACCCTCTCATTTCGTCAAAGTCGAATCACAACGAAATTTCTAACTCTTTTCTCCATTTCTCTCGTCACCGTGTCATATGATTTTACATTCAGCCTATTCGTTCGCCTTACGACTTCTCCCCCCTTCCTTTCCCCTAAGATCTTCCCAAGACGGCTCTTTCACCCAACGGGTACGAGTGCTTATTGTTTTACTCGGCATACGACGGCAACACACACACACACGCACGCACGCACGTACATTCTTCGTTTCTTTATTGGCTCGCAATATCAGCTGCCAGTATGACTCTGCTCTGCTTGATCCTAATTTTGTTCTAGCGCGCCCATCCTATATCCCACATCCTACCTATTTCGTATCCCCCGTCGCGCGCGCTTGGCGCCCAACTCGTCTTGTCTCGCCTCGTTTTCTTTACAGCTCGTCTCTCACGTGCTTGTCACCGTCATCGCCCAATTCCTCCATAGCCATAATCTTGACCACCAGGCTCGTCCAACCCGTGAAATGCTGCGTGCGCTGTCCGGCTCCCGTATCGGGGTTGTATTGTTCCCACGCGAAGCCCGTCTCCTCCCAGCTCTTATACACCGTGTCCACTAGGTTCTTGCGCAGGCTGTTGTACATGTCGCGCGCCTTGGCCTTGTGAGGCCCATCCTGGGTTGCCGTATTCTATTTTCAATGTTAGCCAATCCTGCGTCCTCTCTCTCATATCGCGTTTTCCCCTTCCCACTGAGGGGGTAGATACATGGGTAGAAACATGTACGAATATGATACGATGTGGTGCGATGCGATGCGGAGTGTGCGCGTGAGCAGATAGGTGAGTCATACCTTGAGCTGCGACAAGACGAGATAGTTGATGGGCATCCAGACCGGACTGCGCCAGTAATTCTCGCCCGTTCCGTAAAAGGCATCCTGCTTGCTGAGGCTACGGATCCCGTGGGGGCTCCAGAGATGATCCGGGTCGGAGATGAGGTCGAGGATGCGTCCCAGCTTGGGATCGTCCGGCTTCATGAGGCCGACGAGGAAGGGGAAGAGGGAGACGTATCCCTTGTGACAGACGAGGACGCTCTCCTCGAACTCGTCGATTGTGGCGTCGCAGTAGCATCCCTCATCCTCGGACCAGTGCAGGTCGTCGAGGTTGTGGGTGATGGCGTCGAGCGTCCGCTCCAGGTCATCGACGTCCTCAGTGCGGCCGATGGCCTTGGCAATGTTCATGAGCGACTTGGTCATCAGGCCGACCCACGACATGAGGTCGACGTGCAGCTCGCCCGGGTGCGGCGGCTGCGGACGCGGGTAGTCGTCGATGCCGCTCGTCAGGATGTGCGTCTCGGTACGCCCGCGCCACCGGTAGGCCTCCTTGGTCGAGTAGGCCTCGCGGTCGTAGGCCTTGATCTCGCCGCGCTGCGTCTTGCGGAACCAGTCGTACTGTCGTCGGAGGAGCGGGTACATGTCGCTCATGTATTCCTCGCCCAGCTCCACGTGATCCAGGTGCGCCGTCCGCAGGTCGCCTTCCCCTCCGGCCTTGGTCTCGGCGCTCTCGCCCGCAGCCTTGGCCTGACGCAGACGCTCCGTAAAGCTCTCGATGATGAGGAACAACGTGGGCGGGTTAGCGTATATGGGATACTGTACCTGGAACTCGGAGGGAACTTTGGTGCGTGCCTCGTCGCCTAGAATCTGCTCGCGCGGAATCCACCCGTCGCTGTCCATGGTTTTGAACCAGCTGCGCACAATTTCGAGCGTCAGGTCCATGTCCCAGTCGGCAATGGGCACAAGGTGGAAGCCCTCGTCCCACAGGAACCCGCGCGGGAAAAAGGGCCGCGACGGAACACTAGTAAAGAGCTCGTAGGGTCCCTCAAACGTCGGCTTGTTGCTGGCGCGCGCCCTCGCCGCCTCCTCCCAGAAACGGTCTCCCTCCTCCTCGTACTCCTCGGCGTAGGACCGGTCAATGACCTGGTGGCCGTGGAAGTAGCCGATGCCGCCGGCTAGATTGGAGAACATGCTCTTTCCAAAGGTCCTGTACTTTTCGTCATTGGCAAAGGGCGGCTGAATGTCAAAGGTACGGGAGAAGCGTTCGTTGAAGGACTCGGAGGCGGCCTTGATCTCGCGCGTGACGTCGTCGGACGTTATAGCCTTGTCAGCCGAGCCAGACTCGAAGATGACGTCAAACTCGAAGCCGCCCAAAAATGTCTTCTGCACAATCTGCACGTTGCCCTCTCCCGGTTTGTGAGGTACGCGATACACCAACCACGGCGGTGGCGGGTTCTCAGGGTCCATGTTAGCCTGGAACTTCTCGGCCGCCTCGCGCAGCTTCTGGAACACAACCGGCTTAGCCTGCCACTGAATATTGTCGTTTGCATCCATGCTGTTTACTACGGACGTGTCGCCGCTCAGTTTCAGCTTGTCGCTCAGCGGGTGCTTGGTGGTCGGGTGGCGTCCCTCGCCCTTGGTGACCGTCACCTTGAAGTCGCCCAGGGCCTCGGACCTGCCCTTGAAGGACACATCACCGTCGAACCCGAGCTCACCACCCTCTCCCACGGCCGCCAGCTGCCTCTCTTCGCTCACGCCATCGCCCTCCTGCGCAATGTAGTAGTACACATTGGTCTTGACATCGGCGGGCGCTCCCTCCTGGGGCACGCCTTTAATCCTGACGGCCCAGCTGCCGCCATGCGTGCCGCCGGGCACCTTAACCCATGACGTCGAGATGTCGAGGTGGTTGCCGTCATCGTGGATTGTCTGCACACCGCCCACGCGGGGGTCGTACTCGTCCCAGCCGTAGCCGTGAATCTCTCCCTGCTCACAGGTGAATCGGAATTCTTCGACATGGGTTGGTCAGCATACACATGATCCTTGCTCTCGTCCAATTGGCTTGTTCTTCGCAAGGTGTATGCGGAAAGAAGAAGAACAAGAAAAAGGAGGGGGGAGAAACCCACTATCTGGAACCTGCTGGTACGTCTCGACACCTCCCCACATGAGAGCCGTCCAGAGGCCATTGGGTACCCTGGGCCTAGACCCAAAGTACAAGTTGGGCTTGTACGGTCCCCAGAAGAGGCTCTGGTTATTGAGACGCTCCGTCTCAGTAGCCAATATTGATGTCGATGAGGGAACTGTACCCGAGGAGGCAGAAGCGCTCAGCGCTAGGGCCGCGGTACCGCCCAGCAGGAGTTGGCTGAGCTTGGCCATCTTTGTAGGCGACAGGGGGAAGAGTAAGAATGAATCATGCGAGTAATGCAAGAATTTGTTTTATGATAAACATATGCAATATGGAGGGAAGAAAAGAAAAGACGAGAAAATACACAAGAACAAACTCACTCCCATGCAAAGTCGGTAAGACAGAGGGGAAGGACAGCGTGTGAGAAGAAAGCTGATGTGGAAGCACAAGGCTGAAGCGACGCAAGCTATCCCCGAGCTCCGCCCCCACCAATGACGTGGGCACTGATTCATCAGCCACACGCGGCTGTCATCAGCCACATTCTACTTCTCTTGTTGAATCCTTCTTTCCCTTTGTCCCCTTCACATCTGCCCAACTCTTCTCCCAAAGAGTTTCCACCCTCCCAGTCTTTGAAATATTCAGGGGTAGAAAATAAATAAAGAAATAAAAAAACCACGGCACGAGGAATCAAACACACACACACACAAGATATGGCTGACCGTCGACCCCGTCAATGGGACCGTCACGACCGTCACGACAACCGGTACAACGATAATCGCAGCGGTGGCAGAGGCAGAGAGAGAGACTATCGACGCGACAACAACCGATATCGCGAGAGGGAACACTCGCGAGACGTCGGACGCGACAGCAGGGACCGATCGCGCTCTCCAGATCGACGACGCGGTTCGGGGGGCGGCCGGGATAGAGGTTCTGGTGGTCCCCGCGGACGGTACGACGACAGGGACAAGGACTTTCGTCGTGATAGGAGGGGAAAGGATGATGACGAGCGAGGTATGCTTCATTCGCCTCATCGAAAAAAATATTGAAAGACTTGGCGGGCAGAAAAAAAAGAAAGAAGAAAAGCTAAGACTCGTACAAGACAAACGAACCGATCGACTACGAGATCAAAACATACCACTACATCCCAAGGACAAGCGCGATTCTAGACCCAGAGACCCGCCGCCCAGGGACGATAAACCCAAGGACGATCAATCCAGAGACGTAAAATCCAGGGATGACAGCCTTGAGGATACGGTTAGGAGAGGAGATGATGATGGAGACGAAATGGAGGGACAAGAAGATGACGACATGGCAGCCATGCAGGCCGTGATGGGCTTCGGCGGCTTCGGCACCACAAAGAACAAAAAGGTGTCTGGTAACAACGTCGGGGCCGTGCACAAGGAGAAGAAGACAGAGTACAGGCAGTACATGAATCGGCAGGGAGGATTCAACAGGCCGCTCAGTCCATCAAGGTGATTCATGCCATCCATCTTTTCTTCTTTTTCTCTTCATTCTTAAAACATCATGGAAATTCCGGATTAAATAATACGACTCTTTTTATCCATACATATATACCCACCCTAGCACACATACAAAGAATTATATGAACTATAAAGAGTATCCCGTACAGAAACTAGAAACACGCGTGAGAAGGAAAAACAAGAACGTAACAGAAAAACGGCTTTGCTAATAACTCTATGACCATACACACACACACACACACACGCACGCATCTATGCCTCGTCTTGCTTGTCCTGCTTGTCCTGCTTGTCCTTATCCTTGTCCTCATCTCTCCCTTCCTCATGTACTTCTTCCACGTACTCTTCCGGCACTTCTAGTCCTCCTGTATTCGGGGTATTGGTATTTTCGGCACCTTCCTCCTCCTGCGTAGACGTCGTCGTCGCGCTCGTCACCGTCGACGTCGTCGTCCTGTCCCTCCTCCTCCTCCTAAGCCTGCGCTCCTCCTCGGCTGTCTGCCGCCTGGTCTTGCGCAGGTTATCCCTCTTCTCCGGATCCTCGTCGTCGCCGCCGCCATCGCCACGCATGCCCTGCAGGAGAGCAGCTGCCCTGTCGGCCACGTCATCCTGGCCCGCCTGCACGCTGCTGCCGGGGCTCTTGGGTGTCGCCGCCGACGCAGCCGCCTGCTCCTCGTTAATAGTCTCCTCCCTGTCGTTGCCAACCGTTGACCCTCCGCCATCGCCAGCACCTGACTCGGGAATCTCGTTGAGGTCGGGAATCTTCTGGCCCGAAGCCACGCGAACCTGGTGGCGGTCCTTGAGACGCGCACGGCGTCGTCGGTCCCTCTGGTCTCTAGCCTGGGGTGCAGCGGCACGGAGCTTCTCGAGCAGCGAGTCCATGGCACCCGTGTTGGTGGGTGACAAGGGTCCGCTGTCGCCTCCCGAGGCAGCCGCGTTGGCCTTGGCCTGGGCATGCTTGCGCTTCATCGACGCCTCGTTGCGCCGGCGGACGTCCTCGTACAACACGTTCTTCTCTCGGGACTTGCGCCACTCTCCCAGGAACGAGGCCAGCTTCGCGAAGAAATCGCGGCGCGCATTCTCCTCCGTCGGGTCCTCGCCGTAGAAGACCATAATGTCCGTGTACGTCCGCATCATCTCGTCCAGGTACAGTTCCATCTGCTCGGCCTTGCGCCTGGCCTCCTTCATGGACCGCTGCACGATCTGGTTGACACGGTCCTGGGGGTGGAACTTCTTGGGGTCGCTCAGGTTGCCCGAATCGAGCGACATCTGGACATTCTTAATGTTGGCAATGTACTTCTTGGCGTCCGTCTGCAGCTGTTCGATGTTGATCTTCTGCGCCGTCATGACGCCAGCGATGTCGTTTGCAAAACCCTCCCACTCGGGGTACTGGTTGCGCACGATACGCTCCACCAGGTCGGCCAGCGTTGACTCGTTCTTATCGTCCTTGACCATGCCCAGGCGAGCCAGGGAACCCAGCTTGAAACCACGCGCCTGCTTGTTGGCGTCGTTCATGTAATTTCCGATATCCAGAATCAGACCCAGCACGTTCATCAGCGACACCGAGTCGCGAAGGGACTCGGACACGGTCACGATCTTGCGGATTCTGTCGTTGATCTCGTCGTAGTCGGCCTCGAAGTTGCGCGTCAGCGCCAACGCACGCATCCTACTTTTCCAGTAGTGGTGCAGCTCAAACGCAGTGTACAGGTAGATCTGGTCCTGGCGCGTCAGCTCGGAAGGATCCATCTCGCGCCCCTGATCCTTGGCTTCGGGGCCCGTCCAGTCCTTGCTGTAGGGGGCCATCTGCTTCGACACATTGTCCGAGATGTTACACATGTCATCCTTCTGGAGAAACTCCATGACGACCGGGTTGTCGAGAACCTCTTTGTCACAGTGAATAATCATCTGCACCACCTTTTCAACAGAATACTGCGAAAATTTGGCAAGGGCGATTTCTGATTGATCCAAATGTCAGCAAAGTGTCTTCCTCTCGTTCTCTCTTCAACTCTTCGATTTTCTCTCCCTGTCGGGTGAGCTTACCGAAAGCCTTGCGCAGATCCGCAGAAATGAGCTGCTTCTTGTCGTCCTTCTTGGCATTGACGCCGCCAATCTTCTTGACTTCCTTTGCCATGAAGAGCTTCTCCACCTCGTCGAGGATACCCTTGCGGCTGAGCTCGTTGTACTTCTCTTCCCTCTCCTCGACGGATGGGGTGTGCGCAGCCCAGTGACTCTGCTCCGGCGTGTCCACCTTGTCCCAGTGGAGGGCCTTGAGCTTCTTCTTGGGCCTGACAACGGGCAGGCCGCCCGATGGTGCCGGTGACGTGTACGCCGGCTGCTGGGAGAGGTAGTGACCCGACTGCATAGCTCCGGGCATAGGGGGAGGCGGAGGTGGCGGAGGGGGGGGTGGGGGGGCTCCCGCAATCTGTCCCGGCATGGGGGGAGGGGGAGGTGGTGGCGGCGGCGGCGGTGCGCCGGGGACCTGGTCGGGCATCGGCGGGGGAGGTGGAGGCGGAGGAGGCGGAGGCACACCGTTGGCGGCGGTGACCTCGATTTTGGGAGCGGGCAAGTCGCCCTCGGCGGGTGTAGTGGGTGACGAGTCGTCGCTGAACTTGGAGGTCGCGGCGGACTCGTCAACACCAGCGTCTGACTCGTCGCTGCCATCCTGAGCCGTCTTGAAGCGGGAACCCAGCTCGCCGAGCATGTTGGCTCGGTTCTCGAGTACGCCGGCTTCGCGCTCTTCGCTGATGGGAGCGTCGGTGGCTTTGATGGGCTTGCGCGGGAGCCTGGTCTGGCGGTTGATGCTGCCCAGAACGCTGTTGGTGAAGTCGTGCGGGGGCGTCCCGCCGCCGGGAGGCGTCTGAGGCTCCTCCCCGGGCGTGTCCTCCATCTCTTCTCGGAGGGCGCGCAGCCTATCGGAGGGGCCGGCGGCCTCTCCCCAGGTGCGGCCCTCGAGCTTGTACTGCGTCTTCTGGCGCTCCAGCTGCATCTGCAGGCGCTCCATAAGGCGGTTGCGGTCGAGGATACCCTGCTGCTTGCTGGCATCCTGGGCGGCGCCGGCGGCCTTGGCACTGTTGCTCTTGGCGGCGTTGGAGGCGGCAATATCCTGGGCGTCGCGTAGCATCAGGTAGAGCTCGCGGGTCTCAAGCTCGTTCCTCTGGGCCTCCTTGGCCCTCAGGGCCTGGAGATTCTCCAGCTCGGCCTTGAGGCCCTCTGCCTGCCTCTTCTGAGCCTCGATGAAGCGCGTCTGCTCATCGAGCTGCCTCTGCATCTTAGCGACCAAGCCATCGGCACCCATCTCCACGCGGGCCCTCATCTCGTCGCGCTCGGCCATGGCGGCCTCGGCAATCTGGCGCGATTCGAGGGCCTCATCCTGGGCCTGGCGAGCCTCCGAGTCCGTGTGCAGCTTGTCGAGCAGGCTCTGGACGGTGAAATTGAGGCTCTGCTTGAGATCCAGGTTGGGCAGTCGCCTGTCCATGGCGACGTAGCTAAGCATGGCATCGACGAGCTGAAACATGCGCAGGCGCTCCTCACCGTCATGGCCGCGCATGAGCATGAGGTGCTGCAGAGCAGAAACGAAGTAATCGCTCGTCTTGCTGCCCTGGAGGCGCTGCTGGATTGCGTCGGCGATCTGTACGGGGTCGTTGAGGTCCTTGACGTCACCCTCTGCGTTGTCTTTGATGCTGCTGTTCTCACGCTCCAGCATGTCCTCGTAATCGATGGCCTCGTTGCTGTGGAAGCGCTCGATCTGCTTGTCCAAGAGGTCGTACTGGAAGGCCTCCATCTTGCTCAGGATGCGACGGATGCCGCATGCCGTGAATTGGGCACGGATGTGGACACGGAGCTCGAGATCCCGCTCGGGCGAGTCGATGAGCATGTTGACGAGGATCATGGTCGTAAGGGCGTACTCCATCAGCAGATTCTCCATTCCAGTACCACCGGTGCGGAGCTCCTCGCTGGCGCCGACAAGGCTGCCCATCTTGCCTCGGCCGTCAACGGTGACCTCGACGAGGCGCATCCAGGCGTCAAACCTCCCATTCTCGCCGGCCTGCGACTTAACCTCGTCGAGGGCGTTGATGACTTTGATGTGGCCCTCGCCGTTTTCGCCCCAAGTACAGAGGAAGGTGAGGATTTCACTGGCGAGCTTCCTCGTCGACAGGCGGGCTGAGATTAGTGACGTGCCGAGAGCAACGAGAACCTTTTGGTGGACCAGGGCGTCGTCGGCGCCAAACTTGTTGTTCATCAAGGCCTTGAGACACTTGATAATGTCGTACTCCTTGTCCTGGTTCTTGTCGACCTTGGTGCTCTCGGGGGCGGGACCCAGGGCCGTTTTGCGGTTGATCTTGAGAAGCAGGGTGACGAGGGCGACCTGGCCCTGGCACTCGACGAACCTCTTGACCCAACCAATCTGCTGGGTTCTCAGGTTGACCTCCAGACTACCCATGCCCTTGGTGTCTAGCTTGTCTTCCATTACGCGCCTAACGTAGAACTCGGGGGTGCCCTCCTCATCGGAGTAAGTGGTGATGTCCGGGGCGGCGTACTGGTTAGGGCGGGCGGTCGTGCGACGCTTCTGCTCGCCCTGCCACTCGGCCAGGCGATCCTGGTGCAGAAGCATCCACTTCTTCTCGGGTGGGTAGGCTACCATCTGGCGCCGGGCCTGCTCGGGCAGGTGATGCCATCCGCGCTTCTGCATGAGCTCGAGGAACTTGTCGTGAATGACATTGTCGTCATCAGGCCTGGGGAAGTGAAAGTTCTCGGGGCCGCTAGGGACACCGGGACTGAGGCCGGGACTGGGACTGGGCAGTTTTGTCAGGCGGTTGGAGTCACGGGGCGACTGGTGGGAGCCGTAGGAGCTCTGGGATGAGGCGCTAAGGAGGCCTGCTTGTGACGAGCGACCCGGACCGGCATCTCGGTATCCAGGGTTGCCAGAGTACACGCTGAGGTTGTCAGTGGAGGCATACGAGTCGTAGCGCGAGCCGTTGGCAGAGCTGGCAACACTGCCACGAGAAGCTCCGGGTCCGGGTCCCCATTGTTGGTACTGGGCCTGGCGACCGGTCGACGCCATGGTGAGGTTCGAGTTAGCAGTGCTGGGTCGCTGCTGTGTTGGAGTGTATGTCTGGTGGGATACGAGGGACGAAGGGTCGAGGGAAGGGTACTGGTGGTAGTCGGAGGCTCCCCTGTTGAGCTGATGCGGCTGCAGAGTCTGGTTCTGTCGGGCGCTCAGCTGGTCGCCCCCCTTGTGGTCGCCGGAGCGGGGGGAGCGCGGGACGGCGTCGTAGGGGAGGGAGGTGATGACGCCTGCCGAGTTGCTGGTCGAGACGGAGTCGGGGGATAGGGGGCCGTCGAGCGAGATGCTGGATGACTCTCGCTTGTGACGGGACGATCGCGAGCCCAGGCTGCTGGCGGCGTCGTAGGGGTACTGCTCCTGGGCGTACCGGGAGTCGGCGACGTGCTTGTCCTTGTGCTTGTTCCTAGAGAAGATGGAGCGCCCTCCAGACGACTGCCGGGATTTATCGGCCGACGACATGGCGGGCGGCCGTTGGGGCGGCCGGGGGACCGAGGAGGCGTATTCTTAGTGACCAGGGACCACGGGTTGTCAATGCAGCACCAGGGGGGGGGAGGGGGGGGGTCCAGGTGGGAGGGGCTGGKGGGTTTGGTTGTGGGACGACGATTATGACAATGTCGAAAGACTAGAGCGTCGTAGATGGAAACGTCGAGGCGACAGAGTGCAGCCTGAGGCCGCTCGCATTGTGCTTCGGTTGACCAGATAGGATGGTGAGAAGGACGAGCGTTCGTGGCCCTCGTGGGGAGGGGAGGGAGTAGAGGATGCTGCTGATCCTCTGTCTCGCTCTCTCTCTCTGTATGGTGGAGGTGGTGATGCGTGTGTGTGTGTGTGTGTCTGTGTCTGTGGACGCGTCCGGGGGGTTAAGTGGGCGGTTTGATCGACACAAACACTGGCCAGATCGGTTCAACGGATGGGCGATGTCTTCAGCAGAAAGCAAGAGCGATATGTCCGTGAAGGTTGAAAGCAAAGAAGAAAAGAGGAGGGAAAAGAAGTCGGCCAGGATCGGCGTGGGTGGTGGAGGACAGCGAAAGGCGTCGAGCATAGGCGGATGAGAATACGGGGACCACAAAGAGGCTAGGCCAGGGGGAAAGGGCCCAGAGTGACTGGCAGAGAAGGGGGGGGGGGGGGGGGTGAAGGCGGGCGGAATACAGATTACAGTGGCTGTAGAATGTGTTGGTACAGGGTACATGCAGTAGGATGCATAGGACTATAGTCTGTAGTAGTGGAGGTCACCGGAATTCTAGCGGCCCAAGGAGATGCATCCGTTGTACAGCACCTGAATTGTAGGCCATCAGCCCTGTAAGCGCCCTGGCCCGTCCTTAGAGACCCTGATAGACCCCTATAACGCTCACTGTCCATTGATAGATCTGTCTGGATGCAGCCATCATCATTATTTGTCAGTAGAAGAATCATTGCTTTTTCTGCTGATGGCATCTTCTCCGTCTCTATTATATATGCGATGCATGTGTGACAGGGCTGTAGGGGCCTGCAGTTGATCAAACGAGTCTTTTTACTCCCCTTCTTCTTCTTCTCTTGTCATGGTATGGGGTCAATGCAAAAACGCCTCGGGAGAAGGATGTCCCGAGTATGTCGTGCGTACGTGGGCAGGCCTCCTGGTAGACAGTACGAGTACCTAGTAATACTATTATAGGTAGAAATGGTATTAACGATGATGGATACGAGTAGATTAATTCTGTCCAATGTGTGTGTCTCTCTCTCTCTCTTCTCCGTAATGACATATAGCCAACCATACGAGTAGCAGCAATGGGAAGGGAATAATAATACTACTCCTCATTTCATCCATGGCAAGCCCCTTGTACCGTCCCGCGTGTGTCTGCTCCGAAACCGTCAGTCTAGCATGGACAATGTCCTCGCCATATCTGATCCGTAGAGACTCTGAGGGTACAGGAAGGAGACTGCGGACATCTGGTATACAATACGACTAGCATCCATCAAGCGCCCATAAGGGAGCATGAATGCTACGTCGTCGTACACTGTAAAATATCATGCGCAGAAGAAAGAGAGACCCCCCCCTGACGCCGTCCCAAATGGTCAGAGCCAAGTGTAATTAATGCTGCCAACCCTGTACTAGTCTCATTACGGGTGGTGCGGAGGTAACTGTGCCACGGAAAGAGGAAATAAAGAGTACGAATAGTATGAGTACGACTTCGTTCGTATCCTGTACGGATACGTACGTCTTTCCTCTGTCTCAAGTACCGATCACACATTCATCGCCATCAGTTGAGCGAGCAGAAGACGTACCGCTACATCATCCTTCAGTTCGGCTCCACCCTTCACACGCTCCCATTCCCCTTACGGAAAGCCAAGGTGTCACAAGTCATCCACCATCAGTCATCAATCAGACGGACGTCGGGAAGCCATCATCAACAGTCACCAGGAACTTTCTCATCTGGGTCATGGCAGGGAGAGTCTAATCAGCGGTCCCTACCGTCTAGGTATATCACCTTGACATTCTACCATCATGGGCGACACTGCCTCTACCGTCGGGGTAAACCTTGAGCCTCCCCCCTCTTCCATCTAATCACCATATCTATCCAAGGAATCACGGCTGACCTGACACCACTGCCAACAGACGCTCATCGTTCCGGCCATCGTCGGACTCGTCGTCTTCCTCACCCTCACCTACATCCTCCTCCCTGCATGGCGCCGCTACTCCTCCCGCTACTCCCAGTACCTTCCCATCAACTCCTTCTCGGAGCACACATCGTCCTTCCGCGACCGGCTCACCACCCGCCTCCTGTCCATCGCCAACCGTCGCGAGGAACAGGCGTTTGCCGCCCGAGGCCTATCCAACGTCAACATAGACCACAGCGACGAGCAGATCGACGACGGGGAAGAGCTGGGCGACGTTGACGGCCAGATGCGCCTCGCCAGCCATGGACAGAGTGGTGACGGCACCACCGCCGATGATCAATATACCAATACGCGGAGATTGAGCAGAGAGTGAGTACGAGTATATCCCACGCCCCGCACGTCGGCGTAGTTGTCTACATGGTGTTCACTTGACTGACGCACATGAGCAATCAACAGGTTAGAAGAAGGTTTCCGGGACGATAGCGACGACGAAGAAAGACAGCGATAGTAATAGAGAACAGAGAGATAGAAAAAACAAGGAGCTGTGCATATATAGGGAAAGCGTAGCCAAGAGCAGAGGGAATCATAATATTACACACAAAAGTCCAACCCCCTCAACACGGCACAATGCAATCCTCCCCGGTGCCGCCTGTGAAACGTTCAGCCGTGAACACGGTAAGGGCAGGGCGTCCTGGCATATCTGGGCACAGAGCCCTTTTCGTCTCTTCTCTTTGATGTTTTCCCCTCATGTCCCATCTTAGTGAGACCCATTTTTGAACTGCGACAGTAGCATGAGACAGGTGCAGATTCCGTCCCATCGTGCCACCGCAAGGCTGATGGAGGCCCACGGCCATTGCGACCGCACTGATAGACTAGTGTTCGTATTGCCCCCTCGCTTGGATGTTTGATATACTGCATGGTCTCGACTCTGGACATCGCAGTTCCAAGGGATTCCAATCCCTTGAACGGTCTGGTGGTCTAGTGGTATGATTCTCGCTTAGGGATAACAACCCCAAGCACGCTTGCGAGAGGTCCCGGGTTCAATCCCCGGCCAGACCCTTCCTTTTTGCTCCTATCAGAAGGTTACTGAATCATGAATCAAGAATCAACATGGCGTGCGTTTGTTCTATCTTCTGCTGTCTTTTTCTTTCTGCTTTTTTATTTTTCTTTGCATTTCTTATTTCCCATTGATGTCTTTTATTCCTCAGCATTCGGTGAGTGAGATACCTCCTACTAGTAGAGGTTTAATAAACACCAGCATTGCATGTAGGCAACATTCACACGTCTGCTTTAGAGTATTTATATTCTTCACCCAACTTGTAGTGCTTGATATATTACCACGTAGAGTCTATACACATAACAGCATCATCAATTGACTCCATCAGTAGATTCACTATTACTTCAGATAAAAGGAAAAAGTAGAACTAGGTAAGCACCCCAAACTCAAGACAATCGGTATCGCAACATCCAATGATCATAAGCAGATTCCTTCCAAGAACGCAGTGACAGGTATCGGGTAGCCAAAACTTCAAACTTGACCACAACGCCCCTCCCCCACCATGAACTCACCATGAACATCATCAGCGCGTGAAAAGTCGATTGTGTGTGTGTGTGTGTGTGAAAAGGAGAAAGTGACTCCTTACCGCCAGCAACGATGCGTTTCCGCACAGAACTCAAGAATATACGGACCTTTCTAAGTGAGTAGAATGAGGGAGGGAGAGGGCAATGGATACTACGAGACGAACAGTTCCTGACTTACAATACAGAACTCACAGCGGCTCTATCATCTCTCGAGAAGATTGCATGGATGCGACTGAGCGATGACACGGCACGCTTCACCGTGATTCCCGACATGGGATCCCAAGTATGGGCGTCAGTGTCCCCTTCACTCCCATACAGGCCTCCGTTCTACTTGGGGTGAACAATAACCCTGAAACTGACCGACTCTTGATTAAGATCCCTATCCATGGACTTCATCTTCGACAACTACCACATCCAGTCAGCCGAAGAGTCCAACACCATCAACCTCGAGCTTCCTCTCCAACCGCTCCAGCGGGCATTAAAGTCCGCCCTGAACAGCATATCGGCCTCTCTCAGGCTCACCAAGAAGGACGGTCTCCCCGTCCTCTCCATGACCATCACCGCCACCACAGGTGGCGGCAGAGCATCCCGTGGAGCGGGAGGAGGGCCAGTATCAGCATCCCGCGACGACGACGACCAGTTCGCCGACGACCCATTCACCGACGAAGCCATGCTCCTGGACCACTCCCACCTCGAGACGTCCCTCCGCCGGGAGCACGAAAAGGTCATAACCCAGGACATACCCGTTCGGGTGCTGCACCCGGAGACGGTCGAGACAATCATGCAGCCCAAGGTGCGTGAGCCAGACGTGCACATCCAGCTGCCGCCCCTGCTACAGCTCAAGGCCATATCCGACCGCTTCACTCGGCTGGCTCTCGCGTCGTCCGAGCCCGCAGGTACGGGCACGGGCACGGCCAACGGCAGCAGCTCTGCCTCTGCCGTCGCTGCCATCAGGGCCCCCAAGCTGGAAATCAGCGCCAACATGCACGGCGGTCTGCGCCTGCGCATCCGCACCGAGACAACCGACATATCGAGCCAGTGGTCCGGCCTCGAGAACCCGGAGCTCGACCCTGCTCAGCTAGACATGCCCGTCGACGAACATCCGAGCACGCGATTCCGCGAGGAAGGCCCCGACCGCTGGGCCACCGTTCGTGTCGACGGGAAGGACTGGAGTCGTGTCCTCAGCGTCGGCCGTCTTGAGGGCCGTGTCATCGCCTGCTTTGCTCATGACCATGCTCTCATTCTTTATGTCTATGTCCCTCATTATGATGATGTTTCGGCCGACGACTCGGTTGTTACCGTGAGCATCACCTCTTCTTTTCACTTCCATTCCAATCCTGCTTTCCACTTATCCCAGCTTTGCTGTGTGCCATGCTTACCTTTCTTCTGGCAGTACTACGTCCAATCTTATAGCTCTTGATACTCTTTCCCTCCTGTCTCTCTACCAATATTGTCTTCTATGCTTCGATATCGATCTTGGTGTCGGCGTTGTCGGATAAGTATAGTACCCCGGTAGTCTCTTGAGAAATGCAGAACTCGCCTTCTCACCTTGAGCCTACTTCCGGCGGTCCTAGGGGGTATCTTTCGCTACGCTCGCCGTCGTATATATCATATATGCCTTGCATGCACTCGGAATATGCCCCATCATATCGTTCAAGTAAGACAGTCGAGTAAAGCAAATACGGAGGGTACGTTCGACGCCCCCTCCAGATCTTATTATAACAGCTCTTTGGATACAACCAATATTACAAATGTCTGTGGCGACAAAAATCTCCTCAAAAAGGTCTATCGTACATTGTTCGGCAAGGAAATGAGAAATCAAAGACAAACGCCATGTAGTAAAAGATCACAAAAATCAATCCGAGTAAGAGCATACGTGGGAAAAAAAGCAACTCGTGTATCAACACGCACACACACACCCACACCCACACCCACACCCACATAACTCATCCCGGTTCCATGTCATTAGGACGTTTCTTTTACTTCGTCGCCATGACATCAACATAACGGCCACTCTTGCGAGGCTTTTTAGCCCCGGCTTTGCGTGGCGCGAGTGACGGCGCACCGAGCAGGTCATCAATGCTGCTAGCGTTGCTCATGCTCGTTCCCGGTCGGCTGGGGGGCCCGCTGGGCGGGCCACCAGCGAGGCTGGTGTTGGAGTATGAGCGAGACAGCACAGGAGGCGGCGGGCCCATGGCCCCTCTGAGGCTGTCGTACGACGCCGCCGTATTGAGCTGAGGTGGGGCAGCAAGCGAGCGCGGCGGCGGGCCACCGGACACGGAACGTCCGGGTGGGGGAGGAGTTCCCGCCGGCGGTCGACCAGCTCGGGGAGGCGGTGGGGTGGCCGTCTTGGTCTCGGATTTCTCGGCCCCAGGCTTCTTGTTGATCCATCGCTTCAGATCGGGGTCGTACACGAAGCTGCTCGCCTCGCCGAGGTTGGCCCTCACGGGTTTATTGGGGTTCTCGGCTGGCTTGGGCGTCGGCGGTTTCTTGCTGAACCAGCTGCCCAGGCCCCATCCCTTCTTGGAGGCCTTTTCTTCCTCGGCGCGTTTGGCTGTTTCCAGTGTTAGCGATATGAATGACCCATATCGAGTAAGAAAATACACGTTCCAAGGAGAGAAGACACTTACCATCTTCCTCGGCTGCTTTGCGGAACATCTCCTCGTTCTCACGGTCCTTGTCGGACTTCGTTTTCTCCTGGGCTCGGGGAGCCGGGATATCGTCCTCGTCGTCATCCATGAAGCTCTTCTTCCTCGTCCTGGGCTCATCGCCGTCTTCACCCGTCGGCTCCTCGTCATTGTAGGAGGGGGGTTCGTAAGAAGGAGGCTCGTACCCGTAGGGCTGGAGGGACGGGGGCTCGAAGCCAGGGGACCCACTGTCACCCTCAGTCGCTGTTGCAGGCTCTAGGGTCATCTGAGGAGGCTCGTAGCCAAGCGCTGAAGGCGTGAAGCTTGCGGGGGTGAAGCTAGCTGGAGTAAAGCTCTGGCTGCGCTGCTGCTGCTGCTGCTGCTGCTGCTGCTGCTGTTGGCCAGGAGTCAGGGGGAGCGACGTCAGGCTAGCAGAAGGCTGAAGAGCCTGGTACGGCGACGGGCCGGGGCGGGATGTCGATGGAGAAGCTTCCAGAGGCTGGTAGCCCGAGATGGAAGCGTAGGGGTTGGCCGAGCCGACATCCGGCGGTGCTGATGTGGCAGCGCCGGGGAAACCAGGGTAATGGCTCGGGGAAGGCTGGTCGGCTGTCGGAGCTCCCGCAGAGGCATACTTTGCCGGGCTGGACTGCAGGGAGGAAGTAGCAATGGGGGCGTACTTGGAAGATGTCGCCGACGAAGGCGCCACCACACCGGGTGTGTAGCTCCTGGCTGCGGCCCCGGCACCGTAGATGTCGAAGTTGTGGGTGGACGGCGAGGGACTGAGTGTGGTCGGGCTCCCGATATGGTTGAAGGGGCTAGCATCGCCATTGGCCCCGCTGTTGGCGCCGTCGGGACCTTCGTCGTCCCCAGAGACAAACTTGTTGAACTTGTTCCACATGCTATCCGAGACCTTGTTCATGCTCGGCTTGGAGATCCACGAGCCCGAGTCGTCCTTGGGTGCCTGCTTGAGACGAGTCATGACGTTGTCGAGCGACGCCGCCAGGAATGCATTGTAATACGGGGAGCGTTTCGTCTGCGACGACATGGCCGTCGTGATGGCCTCGCAGTACTGCAGGGCCTTGTCGCGCTGACCGTGCTCGCACAGCGTCAGGGCGTGGTGGAGCTTGTAGCCTGCCAGGTGGTGGGCGCCACTGGCCGTGGCCACGCCTCCCGACAGCGTCAGGCCGTACTCGTAGACCTCGCTCAGCAGCAGCGACTCCGCATCCTTGCCGAGCTGCGCAGCCTGACCCCTGTGGTCCGATCCGACGAGGACAAAGTTGGCCGTCGGATCGTCCAGACCGCTAAAGACAGACACGCTTCTGCTGAACAGGAAGCAGATGTGTGCGGCCTCGGCACGGCCGTAGCCCGCCAGCAGGTTTCCGAGCGCATTCAGGCCACGCTCGTCGTTGGTGCTGCGGTTGCGCAGGACAAGGGCTAGGGTCTGGCGCCACTTGTCTAGTCCCGACATGGCATCCCCATTGAGGCCCGTGCTGGGATCCGTCGACACAAGTTGGAAGCCGGCACGGGCGTGCGACGGGACAAGCTCATCGACACAGTCATCATAGTTACCAGACAGGATCTTGTAGAGGGCAGCCATGGGCTCGTTGCTGTGACCGGCGTAGTTGACCTCCTTCCGCACGAACTCCTGTGCTACCTGCTGGTATAAGCTGGGAGACACGGTGTTGGCAATGAGCATAGCGTGACCCCACATGCGCTTGTCGGCGGCAGCCCAAACGGCGGCCTCACGGTCGCCGTTCATAAGGCTGACACGTATGGACTCGACAGCCCCAGGGTCCACCGCATCAGACTGCGTCGAAGTCATGGGGGCGACCGCAGCCAGATGGGCCTGACCAAGGAACGCCGGCTCTGGCTCAGCAGTTTCCGACCCTGATGAGAGGATGTCTGCGACACTCTTGACGACAGCGGGGTTTCCTTCAAGAGCTCCGTCGTTCTCGACAAACACGCGAAGGATCTTCCAGAGAAGAAGCCGCTCCACGCTACGCTTAGCTTCGAGTGAAAGCCCTGGCTGCAAGGCGAAATGTCCGATATCCTTCTCCTGCTCTTCAATGCCCGACGTGAGCCAAGCGATCGTCTCCTTCTTCTTGGACTTTCCTTTGAGCGGCCCGGGGAACTTGGACACTCTCTCCGTCAACGGCAGGACGTCCTTGATGCTCTGCATCCTGACCTCTCCGGGGGTACGAGAGATGGTTGGGGTGGAAGAGCCCATGGTGTAGCGAGGAATACTCTTGGGGAACGTGGTAGCAACGATACCACCAACGCCCCAGGCAATGATGGGCGCACCCTTCCAGCGCTGGAGAGGGTCCTGCTCACGACCGTCAGTCGGTGCCACCATGCTCATGGTCAGTGAGGCGCCACGAGCTCGGCTGTGATTCATGTAGGCAGAAGGCTGGGTAGTTTGGCCCGGATTCGAAGACTTGGGGGAGTGCGCAGACGACGGCCTCTGGCCATGCATGTCAGGCTTGGGCACTCGCGTGTACGTAGGCGACTGGGTCTGCGGCCTGGGAGGAGGAGCGATACCCGGCTGGCTGACCACTGGTGGAGCCTGGGGCAGGTAGTTGGACATGGCCCTCTTGGGAGGAGAGAAGGCTTGCCCAGCCTGAGCTGGGGGGGGAGGCGTATGCCTGGCAGCCGCCGGAACAGGGCTGTACCTGTACTCGGCAGATGAGTGGCGCGTGCCAATGAGGACGCCGGCTCCGGATCGATCGTCGTCTTCTTCTTCATCAACCTCGCGAGTAGGGGGTAGGGAGGAAACCCGGTTCGTCCTAGGATCGTACGACGAGCTGCTAGATCGGCGTTCAGGAAAACCCAGTTCGCCGTGGTGGGGCTTGGCACTCGTGATTTCGAAATGCGCGAGGGGACTGGATGTGCGTGGTTGGTGAGGAAGGATCGGCGGGGTCGTTGTCGCGGCCCTCGAGGGGCTGTAGCTGGTGGCACGAGGAGCGGGAGGTACAGGCGAGTATCGGTTTCCGGCAGGCGGCACAGGAGCAGCCTGTCCAGGGGTGAGTGGAGGAGCTGGGGAATACCTCGAAGCGGTGTTGGAAGACGGCGGAACAGGGCTGATGCCAGACTGCAGAGCAGCATAAGGGCTGACTTTCTCGGGAGCAACCAGGCCTGCGGACACGACTGGCTGGACCGGCGGCTCTGTATGGGCGGTCGGGGGCGCCAGCGGGGGTACCGGCCCCATAGACGTGGCTGCAGGAGGTGGAGGCAGGATCTGGCTGGGGTTCAGCGCCGGAGAAGACACTCTGCTGGCGTGCCTAGAAGCGGGCTTAGGCCTCGATGCCATGGGAAGCTCCTCAAAGAAACTGCTCTTATTACGCAGCGGCGGCACCGAGGGTTTCTGGTTAGCGGGGGGTGGCCCGTCGCGAGCATGGCTGGAGGATGGTCGGGAGCCCATCGGCGGCGGACCCGGAGCGCCCGTGCCCGCCGGTGGAGGGGGAGGAGGCGCAGAGTTGGGAGATAGGACGGGCGAGTATAAAGACTGAGTACTGGGCCGCTTGCGGGGCTTCGGCACGCTGCCTACAAGGTCGGCCGGCAAATCAAAAGGCGAGGAATATCCACCCTTCGACTTGTCAACGAAGCTCTGGGCCTTGGGTGGTTCATTGCCTGCCAAAGGTGATCGTACGTAGGGCGGTGCCAAGGGAGAATGGTTGGTAGTAGCGACAGAGTTGTAGAAGCCCTGCGTCGTCGTGACTGCGGGGTGAACGGGCTGGTAGGCAGAGGGCGTCTGCTGGTACGCGTTCTGAGAAGCGTAGGGGCTCGATTTCGAAAGCTGGGCTGGAGCAGGCTGGTAAGGAGCCGTGGTGGGCTGCTCGGCAGAAACTGCATCCTCGGCTTCGTCGAGGAGACCTTCGTCATCGCTCCCCAAGAAGGCCGTCGGGTCAACATTCTCGCCATCGCCGGCCTCGTCGTCAAGCAGAAAGTCGTCATCGTCATCGTCCATGAATGCTTCCTGCCACTTGGCGTTCAGGTCTTTAGTCTTGGTTCGCCGGTGACCTCTCGACGGTTTCAGGTTTGCGCTAGTATCGGCTGTGCCGTCGGTCGTCTGCGTAGGGGCGGGCTCCGAAGCTATGCCGTTGCTAGGGGCATCCTGGGCATTCCCGTTAAGATGGCTGAAGAAACCATCATCCTCGGGAGTCTTGTCCTCAGTAAAAAGGGCCGGGACTCCTTTCTGGGACTGCTCAGACGCCTGCTGATCTTGCTCCTGCTGATGAGAAACCAGAGGGATACCCTCTTCGTAGCGCGCATCGGCAGGGCTGGGCTCGAAAGCCACATCACCGCCCATGGACAGTGAGGTTTCATGGCGTGCGTGCAAGGAGTCGTTTACTGCGTCGGCTGTGTATGTGTCGTCGATCTCGTGCGAAGACCCTTCCTCACCAGGCCGCGCATGCAGGCCCCAGTCCTTCTCTGTGTCCTCCAAAACATCCAAGGCCTGGTTGGGTTGGAGAGGATGCTCGTCGGTATGCTGGGCGGAAGCCATGGGCGGTACGACGGGGAAAGAGTTTGTGCGATCGGAGGGAGGCATGAACTTGAAGGGATCGGTGTTTGTGCGAGGCAAGCTCCACTCGCTCTCATCGTCATCGCCAAAGCTGATCTCGTGGGAGACGGTGCGGGCAAAGGACATGGAGCTGCCGTGCTTTGCGCCTGTCGGCTTGGAAGGCTCCTCTGTTTGTGCAGACATGGCGGCGTCGGTCTTGCTGATGCCGGTGGGATCAGCATGCTGGAATCCGGGGTGTGCCGTGGAGGCTAGCCAGGCACCACCTTCGTCGACATCATCTTTTGAGGGCAGCCAAGTATCCGGGTGATCGTCAGGCCCATTGGCAAAGTCAAGACTGTGAGGCTCGGGCTCTTCGTTCAGCGGGGTGCCGTTGTGCAACGAATCGGGTGAGGAGATGGGTGTGTGCTGTCGCGGTGGCTGCTGCTGTTCGATGGAGTCGGCAGGGGGTGGAGGTGATTCGTGGTCAGGCATGAGTGCCGGATGCCAGTTTGCATTTGGCGGTTCGGCGGCCATGGTGACAGCGCGTGTCGAAGGATAGGCGCAGAGGGCGAAAGAAGGAGAAGAAGATATTAAAAAGTAGTATTACTGTCTTTGGGGTCAGCGAAACGAAAGACCTTGCTGAGGTAGTGGTAGACTGTCGAGGGCAGCCCTCGGGGTGGCGAGTACGAGGCTCCCGAGGGCGAATGATGCGTCAACTCGCCAAGACGGGGGAGGGGAACTAACCAGAACAAGAGTGAAAACAAATAGCAGCGATTTTTCGTTCATACAGTAATTCCCATCTTTGTATATATTGGAATCCAGGCACTTCGGTTGGAGATGGCGAGAGCGCGCTTGTGCAAGCCTCTGGCTGTGGCTGATGGACGGGATGCGTGGAAGCAATGGGGAAGGAACGAACGTGAGAGAGTGCCAGTTGGCAGTTGGCGGTTGGTCTTGACGCGGTGCTGTCATCATCCATGAACCGGAGTCTGGGCCCCTATGTTTCCCTTGGAGGAGCTCTAGGGGGCTCTAGGGGCATTCGCAGGGGGGGTTTGTGGGACTCTAGCGCCTGCTGCTCAGATCTACCGTGATTTATCCGAATATGTAATTACACCATCAACTTGCGAAATGAAATAAAATGCGCACGGGAACGGAGCTCCTTGAAAAAATTGATCCTGGTAATATTGGATAGTTCAACTGTTATATTACAATTACTCAGCTATTTTATAACAATCCTGCCCGGACTACCGATTACACATTACTCGTACTTATTTAGTAATACTTAGTATATGGCTGGCCTGACGAGTGTAGCGCATGTGGGAGCATTCCAGGCGTCGCAAAGCTCGCGCAGTAGGAGTAGGTTCATGCATATGCATTCCCCTCCTCCTGACACGATAAAAGTACAAGGCCTCGACGAAATCTTGGTAACACAGTTGACAGTCACGTGCGCCAGCTGCAGATGGCATGCTACCTCCTCCCAAGGTCTTCTGCCTAGTTATATTACAGATGCTGGCAATGATATACGAGTATTACTCGTCCAGATCGATGATATTTTCGACATGCTATATACGAGCACGGAGTATGGTACTCGTCGATACAGGTGGGGTTTGGCACGTGGCTCGCTGGACGCGTTACGGCTAGCCTTTGATGGGTGCTAATAAGGACACATGCAATAAGTGCAGCTTACTATTATTTCCTACATGTACGAGTATCGTATCCGTACGGGCACATCAGATTATCCGGACGAGCGAACAGCCAGGTGACGTGGCCGGGCTGCTACTGCTAGCAATGGCATACAGCGGGAGAGACCGGATGAGGGCATCGTGACGCCACTACCAGAACAGTTGTAGCCCTTGGGAGTGACAAGTATCCTAGTGTTGGTGGTGTCTGGATTGCGTGTGTCTAACCATGGAAGGCAGGGAGGGCTACGCGAATAAGACGGGCCTTGAGAAGGCAACGGACAGAAATGTGCGTAGAAATATCCAAAGTGCGCTTTCCGCACTTGGCTCAAGAGCGCTGCGACGCGAACTGCAGCGTCTCACGCACAGTGCTGTATGAGAGGCTATGAGCACGTGAAAACGGCGAAGATAGAGACTTCTTGGTCGTGTACTTGGAAGAGCAAACAGCAGCGTGAACCGCACGCGAGGAGAGTAGCATATTGTGAGACCGGACGACTCCAGACGAGGTGAGTTTGGTATTGGAAAGTTAGTCAATGGCAGGCAGGCACTAATGGACGACACGATAATAGATTTACGAACAGAGCGTAGACGAACTCATGTATGAGGTCCTCGATTGGAAAGTCGTCATGGGCCTGGGCAGAATCTTCCACGTGAGAACAGATGCCATTGTCGGGAAGGGCCTGCCGGATATGATTGACTTCCTGTCCCTACTAGCAACACCATCTTGTGTGGTTCTTCTGCCGGGCGCTGCGGCAACGATTTCTCGGCTGCTTGCTATCTTGTTGGTCTCCTTACGGCAGACCGATGCCTTCCCGCCGATCTAAGACAGGCCAGGTAGGATGGCGGAAAGGGGATACAGACCCTGTCAAAAACCCAAGAGACCGATTTTCCACCCGTGCGTTGTGATCTAAAGACGGCTTCTTCTGCGCAAGGAGACGGCTGATCCTGGCCCGATACCGGTGAGACTTTTCATGACAGGACAGACGTTCCTGTTCCGAGAATCCCTTACAAAGTTTGACCATCATACGAGTAGATACTTTTGCCTTCATCCCTGCTCCGGAGACGGGAAGTCCAGGCATTTAGCCACGTGCCAAGGTAAGCTGCGTCCCGCGACTGCCCGCCTGTTTGCGCTGTCGAGAAGCAATCTGACGGGCAGTGTTGCGCACCAGGCCGCAGGCACGGATATGAAGGACAGGAATAAGAAGGGACAGACGAGCCAGGCTAGGCTCCAGGAGCATACATCTAGCTTCCAGTAGGGAAGACCTCGGGTCCCCTCATCATCGTAACCATCGGCTTGGCATCACGCATGGTTCCTTGAGGCTCCCGTGATATGTTTTAACCCTCTCTTGCTTTCTGTATGAGTTCCCTATCACGCGTTTGCACTCAGGTAGGGTGTTTGCTCGCAAATTTGATGAAAAGCTCTTGCTCCGAACTTTGCTGTCTTCTCCTCATGGATAAGTTCCGAGTCAGACTGACCTTGCTTTTTAGTTAGATGTATATTATATCGATCAATGAGCTCCTTCCTCGTCTGGTGCCATTAAAAATCGGAACATCCTCAACATACGTGTATACGATCGGCGGATGAGAGGACGAGCTGTGGGTATCATAACGGCTCCATATGGAACATGTTTCAAGCTTGGCCCAACTGCCCACCCGTTCTGCAAGGCGTCGACGGCTTGGTTTGACTGATGCCATAATTGTTACGTACCGTGCATCTAGAAAAGAGGCACGGGATGGGTAGGCGTGAGGACAAAGGCTAGATAATGGCAGGAAGCATCGCTGACGTAACCGGAGGTAAGCGCGACGCAAATGATGGTGCATCAAGACGGAAAGACTAGTAGACCTTCTCCGCGGATAGCCATATGCTGCAGTTAAATGCTCCTTCCTGCGATGCCAAGAAGTTTGGAGTGTGTGTTGTGTGTTGCTGCTAGCAGCTAATATTACTCGTAGTAATCGTAGTAGTAGCTCCTAGTACGGTAGCAGCGGGGACATCGTACCAAGAGCCTCCCAATTACTTGAGAGGTCACAACTCTGGGGGAATAGTCTCGTGTCTGTATGGGAGTCGTCAACATACGAATGGAAGAGTCAGCAGTAGTAGCAATATGTCGCCCTTATAAATATCCCAGATAATGTGAAAATTGCCCGAGCCTAGATCGTCAGTGCGTCGTAATACAGTGACGCGTGGTGGGGCAAGCGAGGAGCGGGTACGGACCTTCGCACCTTCGCACCTTTCCCCCTGGAATTTACGGAGCAATGATACCTGTACGTCGCACCTTCCGCCGCGGCTACGTATCCTGATGGCCCTGATGGTCCACGCCTGACGGGATCTCAAAATAAGCCTTCCAAATCTTCACAAACCCAGAAACTTCACCAATCATTATTTCAACCGCCAAAACTCGGAATCACCACAGATTTGGGTACATCATTGCCCGCATCACCTTACCTGTACAGTTTGCACGGCAAGAGGGGAGGCTCTTGAAGGATTATTCATCCGGAACTACCGACCGCCCGCCCAAACCCCCGACGCCGACCGGAAGCGGTCATGCCTATTGCCGACACTCGTACGACGACATCGTAACCGCCCTCCGGCGCTGCTGACATCAACTAGCCGTCGACGACACAGCATGTACAGATCGATTCTGTGAATTTCGTCCGGAGCTGTCGTGTTTCTGCGTTTCTGCGTTTGATTCTACCCGTCATTCCCTAGGCGACGGAATGTCTTCCTCACCCTCGTACCAGCCAGCCCAGCCGCCTGACTCACCAGTTCATGACTCGGACTCCGACCTCGAACTTGACGTCCAAGAACTCGACCCTATATCTACCGAGCCCACACGAGGCGAGCCAACACAAGATAGCCATCAAAAGACTTCCCGCATAGCCCTGCGTAACTTGCGTATGGGTGGATTGCGCCGCGCCAGCAAGCGAGGCCAGGGCTATGGCAACCTGGGCCAGGATCGCCGGGACTGGGACGATGATACCCAGGGCCTCCTGGCTGACCAGGATGCCACACGCGGCCGGTACTTGGATCCTGGTCCGAACGACGATGATCAGCCTCTTCTAGGGGACCCGAGCTCTCAACGTCGCCGGCCCTCGTCTTCGCACAGCTCGCGTATCCGCCTGCCCAGCTTCATGTCTGGCTCTAAGAAGCCGGCCGACGACGAAGAAGCCGATAACCAGCCCGACGATCCATCCTCATCTCGCCATGTCGCCGTCGGGTCTGATCAAGCCACAAAGTTCCCCAACAACATTGTCTCCAACGCCAAATACACGGCATTCACCTTCCTTCCCATCACCCTATACAACGAATTCTCCTTCTTCTTCAACATGTACTTCCTTCTGGTTGCCTTGTCGCAGGCCATTCCTGCATTGAGGATTGGCTATCTGTCGACGTACATTGCTCCGCTGGCCTTTGTCCTCATGATCACCATGGGCAAGGAGGCTTTCGACGACATCAGCCGACGCCAACGAGACACTGAGGCCAACTCGGAAGAATACACAGTTCTCGAGTTTTACGAGCCCGGAACGCCCGCTTCGTCCATACGCCCGCGGCGCCAGTTGAAGTCTGAGTCGCTGAGTCGAAAGTCGAGAAGGAACCGAGGCAGCCGCCAGAACTTGACCGACATCCAGGAGGAGAATGGCGAAGACGGCTACCAGCCAGCATCATTCGTCCAGGAGCTCAGCCGCAAGTCCAAGGACTTGAAGGTTGGCAACGTGCTGAAGCTAACCAAGGGCCAGCGTATCCCTGCCGACGTCGTCATACTGCAGTGCTACTCGTCTGACGGCATAGTCACTGCCCCCTCCACCCCCGCCATCAAAGGGCCCGCCGAGGAAGAATCCCTCCTGACACTCGACGACGCGGATGCCAGTCTCAACGCCAAAGGGAAGGCGCCAGATATTGGATCTCCCAAAGATGACAACCAGGGCTCTGTCGGCGAGACCTTTATCCGTACTGATCAGCTTGACGGCGAGACGGACTGGAAACTGCGTCTTGCATCGCCCTTGACCCAGAACATACCCCAAGAGGAGTTCGTGAGGCTCCGCGTCACTGGAGGAAAGCCCGACAAGAAGGTCAATGAGTTCTTCGGAACCGTCGAGCTCCTCCCTTCTAGGCAAGACGCGCTGAGCACTCAGCCTACGCTGCAGACTGACGGAGACAGCACCAATTCCTTTGGCTTGTCCATCGACAACACTGCCTGGGCCAATACCGTCATCGCATCGCAGGCAACCACCCTCGCAGTCATCATGTACACAGGACCGCAGACACGGTCGGCTCTGTCAACCGCCCCATCGCGTTCCAAGACGGGCCTTCTCGAGTATGAGATCAACTCGCTGACCAAGATTCTCTGCGGTCTTACCCTGGCTCTTTCGATCATCCTGGTGGCCCTGGAGGGGTTTGAGAACACAAAAGGCAACGTGTGGTACATTAAGATTATGCGCTTCTTGGTTCTCTTCTCCACAATCGTGCCTATCAGTCTGCGAGTCAATCTCGATCTCGGCAAAACTGTCTATTCTCGGTTCATCCAGCGCGATCCCGACATACCGGGAGCGGTGGTCCGAACCAGCACCATCCCAGAGGATCTTGGGCGTATCGAATACCTGCTCAGCGACAAAACTGGAACCCTCACCCAGAATGAGATGGAGATGAAGAAGATTCACGTGGGAACTGTGTCGTACGCAAACGAGGCAATGGAGGAGGTTGGCTCCTATGTCCGCCAAGGCTTCCACGTTTCGTCATCGTCAGACCCGGCGGCCCAAACCACGCTCATTACCCCATCGTCAACATTCGCCACGGCAGCCAATGTGGGTGCTACTCGTACAAGGAGGGAGATTGGTTCTCGAGTGCGAGACGTCGTACTCGCCCTAGCTCTGTGCCATAACGTTACGCCCACCGTCGATGTCGAGGATGGACATGAGGTCACGTCCTACCAGGCTTCCTCCCCGGATGAGATTGCCATTGTCCGCTGGACTGAGTCAGTCGGACTCCGGCTTGTCAACCGAGACCGCACAAGTATGGTTCTGGAGGCTACCGACACCGGCAGGCCAGTTGTCCGTGTTCGTATCCTGGACGTTTTCCCCTTTACATCTGATGGCAAGCGTATGGGTATCATTGTTCACTTCCACACCGACGTAAAGCAGACGAAGCCAGACCTCGAAAGCGGCGAAATCTGGTTCTTCCAGAAGGGTGCAGACACGGTCATGGGATCCATCGTCGCGGCCAACGACTGGCTCGACGAGGAAACGGCGAACATGGCTCGTGAAGGCTTGCGAACGCTGGTAGTGGGCCGCAAGAGACTGTCGGTGCAGCAGTACCAGGAGTTCTCGGCCGAGCATCGAGAGGCTTCTCTCTCCATCAGCGGGCGTGACGCCGGCATGCAGCGGGTTGTGTCTCGTTTCCTGGAGAACGACGTGGAGCTGCTCGGTGTCACGGGCGTGGAGGATAAGCTTCAGAAGGATGTCAAGCCGTCGCTGGAGCTGCTGCGCAACGCCGGCATCAAGATCTGGATGCTGACGGGCGACAAGGTGGAGACGGCGCGATGTGTAGCCGTGAGCTCCAAGCTTGTCTCTAGAGGACAGTACATCTACACGGTGGCCAAGATGCAGAAGAAGGAGAACGCCCAGGATCATCTGGATTTCCTGAGGAGCAAGACGGACGCCTGCCTTTTGATTGACGGAGAAAGCCTGGCGCTCTTCCTCAAGCACTTCCGCAAAGACTTCATCTCGGTTGCCGTCACACTCCCCACCGTGGTGGCATCGCGATGCTCTCCCACTCAAAAGGCCGAGGTGGCCTTGCTCATCAAGGAGTTCACCAAGAAGCGCGTCTGCTGCATCGGCGATGGAGGAAACGACGTTTCCATGATTCAGGCCGCCGACGTCGGCGTCGGCATTGTCGGCAAGGAGGGTCGCCAGGCGAGTCTGGCAGCCGATTTCTCGATTGAGCACTTCTGCCACCTGGTCAAGCTTCTTGTATGGCACGGCCGCAACAGTTACAAGCGGAGTGCCAAGCTGGCCCAATTCGTGATCCACCGCGGTCTCATCATTGCCGTGTGCCAGACCATGTACAGCATCGCTCTCAAGTTTGAACCAGAGGGTTTGTATAAAGACTGGCTCCTCGTCGGATACGCCACCATCTACACCGCGGCCCCTGTGATCTCTCTTGTGCTGGACAAGGATGTCGACGAGAACCTGGTCAACCTGTACCCTGAACTGTACAAGGAACTCACGTCTGGGCGGTCGCTGTCGTACCGCACCTTTTTCGTCTGGGTCATGGTGTCCATCTACCAGGGCGGCATGATCCAGGGCCTATCACAGATACTGACCGAGGTGGACAGCCCGAAGATGGTGGCTGTCAGTTACACGGTCCTTGTGTTTAACGAGCTGATCATGGTGGCTATCGAGATCACTACGTGGCACCCCGTCATGATCATGAGCATCCTCGGCACCTTGATCTTGTACCTAGGTTCCCTGCCATTCCTTGGAGGATATTTCGACCTCGAATTTGTTGTTACCTGGTAAGTCAGAAGTAGCCACATGTGTTTCGCTCTCTCTCTCTCTCTCTCTCTCTCTCTGTCTTTGTATTGTTCGTTCGAACCTGGTACTGACATGAAGCTAGGGGGTTTGTCTGGCGAGTTGCGGCCATTGCTGCTGTTGCCTTGATTCCACCGTATCTGGCCAAGATTATCAGCAGGACTATGAAGCCGCCCTCTTACAGAAAGGTACAGAGCACGTGAGGAAGTGTGTAAAACCTGTCATGTCTTCCTTCTTTTTTGCATTTTTTGGTTTCTTTGGGCGATTGGCGTTGGCATGGAGTTGGATCGATTGTACTTTTCTTCTCCTTCTTCTCCCCGTTTATGTGTGTGTTGTGTAGCATTACAAGAGTCATCAATACAACAAGTACAAAGCCATCGTGCTCCGATCACCACCAGCCCTTTATTCCATGATCATAATAATACACATTGATCGTACACGCTCCCCCCTGCCCCACTCACAGCTTCAAGATGAGCCATTCCTTTTGAAGGTGAGGATGCTGCTCCAATATGCGGCCAGCGACCCCCCCCACGGGACCCTGAGTATGGCGACCGCCCCGCCACAGCTTCTCGCCAGCGTAGTGCGTGACGAAGCCATCCGGCCCAGATATGATGAAGAGGTTCTTCCCTGGAAGGCTGACGCCGTGGATAGCGTCGCAGCGACAATCCGGGCTGCTTCCAGCCTCGAACTCGGATGCCAAGTTGTGGAGGGCCTGGTCATGTAGGGGGCAGTCCGTGCCAGGATGGACAGGTTTAGCCTTGATTGGGGCTTTGACAGAGGCAGAAGTATGGTTGTGGTCGGGCGCTGCCGTGTCCAGGAGCGCCTTTTGGACGTGCTCCAACCCAAAGGACGTCTTCTCATCGTCGACGACAATCTGCACGCTCAGACGGTCGCCGTAGCGCTTCTTCATGTCTGCCAGTTGGCGCGCCACGGGAGCCAGGTTCCTCCCGTCATCGTCACCACGCAGTTCGGTAGGTCCAGCTTCGTGACCAAATGGCCACCACCAGCGCTTTGCTTTCGTCACCGTCGTCCGCTCGGAGGAGGTGCCGCCTCCCATCTCGATCTCGCAGCGCTGGCGCACAGCCCAGAGGAGAGACACTACAGCGTCGTCGTACCCGTCCAGGGCCACCCTCGCAGCCTGCATGCCGGGGACGACGCCCGTCCCGCCGGCGAGGAAGACGAGACGCTTTGCCGCGCCGAGACGACGCACAAGGTCGAAGCCCACGTGCGGTCCGCGGAGGTGAACCGTGTTTCCCGGGCGGAGCCGGTTGAGGTACCGCGACATTTCACCGTCGCCGACGGCACGGATGTAGAAACGTAGAGCGCCTTCCGACTCCACCTCATTCTCTCCTCGGGTGATGGCGGTATCGCTGCCTTCCAGAGGCGGGGGCAGGGGCGTGTAGTGCCGCGAGATCTGCACCTCTGGCTGCTTGAACTCGACGGACCAGAGCGGGTGACGCCAGCGTCTTGACCCGGGCAGCAGGTAGGGTGGGTCGGGGTTGGGCGTCTGGGGCACGACGGTCATGACGAACGACGAGGGGGACAGGGCGGTGCGCGACGTCATCTTGTAGGGAACAAAAGTCTCGTCGTTGAGGGTGGAGGCGTGGCTGCCGTCCGATGACCCGCCTACCGTGTACAGGACCGTCCCGGCTACCAGGAGGGTGCACAGGATGAGGCGACGGCGGGTCCTTTTGGGTGCTGGTGCCGGCGATGTACCTTCTTTTGGAGGGGGAGCCACCTCTTTGGAGGCTGTATAGAATCGGGCATGGCTTGCCGTATAGCCTGAGATGGACGTTGCTCGGTACGGTGTTAGACTCACGGGGCTCAGGAGAGCTGTGAGGCGGTAGCTGTGATGGGGCCGCATCTTGGACGATGGGCTGGCCTTAATGGCGTGGGTGGCAGAATACCACAAGATACAGTAAGACGATGTGATTGGACATATGAGTACGTTTATATATATATGAAAGATGATGATCCCGTTGGATGAGACGACATCGATGGGATCGGTGATGAGAGAAAATTCATGTCGTCAACGATGGGGATGCGAATTTGACGCGCAGGCACGTGACCCACCCACCTGGAGAACATCACCGACGACATGAGCAACACGATCAATGACGCCTTCACATTGTACAAAGTAGCAGTACTATCGCTATTCTCCTGGATGAGAATTCACTGTCTATTTCGTTCCGTGTTCTGATATACAATGTACAGATCTATGCATGCTTGAGTCGTGCCTGTCCTAAATCCTCAGCAACTTCCTGTTGCTGTCTATACCTCCTCTAAACATGTCCTCTATGACATTCCCATTCAGAATCGTCTCTTCGATGATACCCTCGACATGCTTCGGTTCCACCCTCCCGTACCAGATCCCATGACCGGCGAGGGGGTGCGTCGTGCCGTCCTCGTCCACGACGAGCCCGGGGGGCAGATATATGATGACGTTTCCCGCAAACTTATGACCACCAATATGGCTGATCAGACCGACACGAGCACCCAGCTCTTCTTCCTCGTCTTCCACCTCCTTATCTGCGCCGGTGGAAAGCTGCGTAGTAGAGGCGGCAGTCTTGACGGGCCCAGTCCGGACGTCCAGGCCGGCAACGGACGCGAGCTTCTCCTCAAACTCCTGACGCAGCACGGCGCCCATGATGCTACAACGGGTGTCGCGGCCGCCGTGACCACAGATGAGCACCAGAATCTCGTCGACGTCCGTCACGCCGGGCAGAAGACTGGCGTACGTGTCGTCGCGCAGCATCCTGTCGCGGTGCACGGGCGACAGGTCGTCGTGCACGGGGTGCAGTTTCCGCGGGAGGATGTACGCCTTCGCCATGGCGCGGACGCTGTCGAACGACACGCGCGGCAGGTAGGGGACGTACTTGAAGCTGGGGAGGAGGTAGGCTGATGAGTTCTGCACCTCGGGACGGGGCGCCACGGAGCTGGGGAATGACGAGTTCAGGACCGAGACGTTGTGAAAGGGCTGCCGGTGTCCGCGTTAGCACGCCGCATTTGTCGTTGGCGGCATAGACCCGGAGAGGCAGGTTGAGGTCGAACCTACGTTGGCAAATTCACCTCCCCGACCGAAGAGCTCCTTCAGATCGGCAGCCAGGTTATCCCCCCCGTCATCCTCCTCAATCTTGGACGGCCAGTCATCCTTGCCCGTACAGACGAGGACATGCTCCGCGTAGCCCGTCATGACGCCGTTCAGCCGGCTCTTGTGGTCAATATCCAGACCTTCCGGCGTGTCGGCGCATCCGCACGTGGGTGAAGGGCACGTCGGTACTGTCGGGAAGGGCGGCGGCTTTCTGGGTTCAGCAATAGGTCTGTTCGGTCTGGTGGCTAGGCCGCGGTATGGTGCTGCATCACGGCGACGGCAACAGGACGGTGGTGCGCGTCTGGCCGCTGCAGTGGCGACTGGGCGACGCAGCCATAATGACATTGACCTCATCTTTCTCCTTCTTTCTTTCTGCCCTCGCCTTTCTTTCGTCCTCTCTCCTTTTTTTTTTTACTCTGTGAGAGGAGCGTGTCAGAGTGAGAGAGCGGGAAAAGAGTGGCGTTGAGGTTGCAGGTGAAGGATGAATAATGTCTGGTTCGCGTATCGTCGGACATTACGTAGTTTAGCTTCGTACTCACGCAGCATCTCCACCTTGGTAAAGGCCGAATGAAAATGAAATGACCGAGCATCTTTTTATCAATCGGATCTTCACTTATTCCTGTTTATCAATCAGAGCTTTCATAACAACTCGTTATTCCTTCTACATTTCACATTTATAATCTTCTTCTCGTTGAGAATCTAGATAAGATGTTATATTTCGGATGTAAATCGTTCTATATAAATGCATAAAAAATCAAGCATATAATAAATAAGAACCCAGCCAGCTATATAAACAGGCAAATGGAGAAGGAATAAGAAAAAAAAGACCCAGGCACGAACCAAATCGCCCAAAATAAAATAAAAACGGCATGGAAACGATCATGGAAAGAGTAAAACGGGGAAGAGGAAAACACCATCTGACCAACTCCTGCCATACAGGACACACATTCTCGTCTTGATCACCGCTGCTTGATAAAACTGAGTGAAAATATAGGTTAGATCAGGATATACCTCGTGCGGTATATTCACTTCGATGGGGACCGCTACAGTCCCATACCCATGTCCGTGCCCTTCCTGTCGCAGTACCCAGGACCCTTGGGATCCTCAGCGGCCCAGCTCATGATCGTCAGAGCAGTCGTGTAGGACATGGCCACGAAGCCAAAGATGCAAAGGATGATGTCGGACAGCTTCCAGAACCTGGTGCGTGCCACGCCTCGGTAGTGGAGGAGGGGCTGTATCACAATTGTTAGTAAGCCCGCCCAGAGACGTGACATAACCGACATGGGGGAGGAGAGAGAGAGAGAGAGATAGAAGAGCATACCGGATAGATGTACACCAGAGGAATACAGGCAAAGTTTCCGACCAAGGCCACAAACTTGTCGAGATGGTCTGCTCCACCCCACGCAATGGCCGAGCAGAGAACCACGACGAAGAAGCGGAAAATGTTCTTCTGCCACTTGATGTAGGGGTTGTACTTGCCCGAGCGGGTGAAGAGCTCTGTCTCGACGATACGGATGGCCGGGAAGATCTGCAGGGGCGTAGAGAGGAGGATGGCGCACGAGTAGAGGAATTGGACTCCATTGACAAGCTTGTCGTCCTGGGGCAGGTTGAGCAGCACGACCGTCTCCGTCTGGGAGCCGTAGGCGGCGTACGAGACGGCGCCCATGCCCGTGAAGAGGACCGTGATGATGACCATGACCAGCAGGAGCACGCCAGGGAACTTTTCCGGGTGACGCATAGACTCCTGGATGGGGACGACGAGACCGATTCCCTCAAAGGTGAAGATTGCCGTGCCGATGAAGAGTGTCCAGTTATCCTTGTTGAAGAGGATGATGTCGCTCAGACCCTCGTTTCTCAGCGTCAGGATGTCATAGTACAGCAGGTACGCTAGGCCAATGAGGATAAAGGCGTCGGCTATGAGGGCCGTGAAACCCAGCTTGCCAATGTCGCGCAGCAGGGAGAAGGGCAGGAAGATGATCATCTGGATGACGATCAGCCACACAATGCTCATCGACGACTTGCAATCGGACACGGCCCGGATGAAGGCCTGCAGGTTCTCAGCCGTGAAGACGGTATAGGCAGCCACGAAACCAATCTGGCTCAGCACAATCGACGACAGGATCACCGTCCTCATCCACTTTCCGTACAGGATGCCACCCATGTCGCCAAACGAGCCCTCGACGCGCATCCGCGTGTCGACCAGCAGCACAAAGCAGTGGTAGCTCAGTGCCGCCACTCCCAGAAGCACTACGTTGCTGAAGACCATGCCGCCGTTGAGGTAGGCGCGCGGCAAGAACAGCACGCCCGTACCGACAAACGACTTGAGCAGCAGCATGACGGCATTAGTAGGGCTGTTGGTGCCACGGACGCGAGCCTTGCGACGGCGACGGCGCTTCGAGGGCGGCAGGAGCGTGCTGTCCTCCATGGGCTCGTGATCGCTGTCGTCCGCATCGCTGTGCGAGTCTTCGCCCGATGAAAAGTACTCGTTCGGGCCGAGAGCCTCGTCGTCCTCCTCCAGCTCCTCGCCGGCAAAGTGGCCATAGATACTGAGGAACTCGAGGAAGCTCGATGTGAAGAGCTGCGGCTGCTGAGCCTCGGCGTCCTGGTCGTGCAGTGTACCCCTCCCGGCACCTGATGGGCTGCCGGCCAATCTGCGGAGATGATCCCTACGGAAGCCACCAGGGATCTTGATGGAGTTGATGTCGAGCACCTCGTTCTCAGGCTCCGGGCGCAGCTCAGTGAAGCTCTTGCTGCGCTGCATACGGGTCTTGGCCTCCTCCTGCTCAGTCCACCTGTAGATGGGACGGGTGACATCGCCACCCTGGAGACGCAGACTGGAAAAATCATTCTCTCCGGGACCGGCACCAGTCCCGCCCGAGGTGGCGGTATCCTGCTGCTTGCCCTTGGACTGGCCGCCGAAGATGGACGACGACTCCTCCGACGTAGTGGGGTTCTCCGACTCTCCAGGCTGCACCAGGTGCCTCTTGACGACCTCGACGTCCTCGAAAGGAGCGTTATTGCCTCCGACGGACTGGGTACGCGAGTTGAACGATCCGTAGTTTGTAGGCGTCAGCCGGTCACCCAGCATGCTGGCGCTGGGCTTGGGCGAGAGGTTTCGATGCGGTGGGGCAGGGTCGGCGATGGGCTGCGAGGGTGTGCCATGGCGGGGAGGAGACTGGCCCAGCGAGTTTCCCAAGGCGGCGGCGAGGGCAGAGACACCAGGCCCACGGTAGCTACCACTGGGTCCGGCGAGGGGAACTGTGGGATCTGTGGGCTGCTGCTGGGTCGCGCTGGAGGCTCGGCGAGCGGTGGCGCTGGCACTGGTCGGCGGTGTGCAACCTTGGGAGACGGACGGGATCGGGGTGGCCAGACGAGCAGTGGCATCGGCTCGAGGGACAGAACCAGAGATGGACCTGGCACCGGACTCAAGGCCCGGCGACGTGCCTCTGGGAACAGAAGACATGGGCTGCGGTGTTGTTTTCGGTGTTGGTATGACGCTATTTAAGCTGCCGGCATAACGTTAGAGGAAGGGAGGGCGCCGGTTCCTTATCGAAGACGAGATGGTAAGAGGTCGAGCGTATGGAGGGAGATGGTGATGATCCGAATGACGGCTTGACCAGGTCAAATGGTTGACGGGAGGACGAGGTGGGGAGGGAGATGGATTATGGATGGTGTCGAATTCCCGGTGACTTGGCCTGATGACCAGAACTGCAAAAAAAAAAAAAAAAGAGAGGCTTTAGGACTCCGTTGGAGAAGTGGAAAGGTGCCCGGATCTTTATCTTTCTTCTTTTTAGCAGGTGTAACGCCCTAGAGAGCGCTGAGGGCGGCAAACCTGGAGGCTGGCGGGGCTCGACTGGCACGAGTTCCCTGGGCCTACGGAGCAAGGAGCTTAGGGAAGGCCCCTGCCATATAATATTGGTAGACAGTGAGGAACTCCCTGTGAGGAATTCCTCATGAACAATGAGGAAGCCCGCTTCCGTAATATTATCATCACACTACAAACATCAATGTTCCCAAATGATGGCAGGCAGGAGCCCAGGAGATTCCTGCCGTCACGATTAGCATGTATATACCCACGGACTCTTCTCCGTCCTCTGGAGGTCTAGCAGCCGCAAACCCCCCCTCATGCATATTGATACAGTCAGTAATGCATTCATCTTGATACCCATGCCGAGCCAGTCGACTCGACTACGATTAGACCATTCGCACTACCCCAGGAAGACGTTGTATTAACGGATAACGTCTGAACCTTGAACTCAAGCAGTATATGAACTGTCCTATTCTTCACTCCACAGGATAAGTCAACCCACCCACCAACCGATCACAACCCCTTTCCCTCCCCTTTCGATAGCTTCCTGATGCTTCAACATCTTGATTAGCATCACCAATACCGAGGAATCTACCCAATCCGCCCTCGATGCAATCGAATCGGGTATATCGACGCGTCAGGCCGCAAAGCAATGGAAATAACGACTCGAATCCTACAATCGAATGGTGACTTCGAGTCGCTTGGAAAGCATCGGGTCAATGGCTTCCTTCGCCGGAATCCAGAGTTGAAGACATTTGGAGGCAATAGAATTGATTCTACTCGCACAATGGGAACTACAATCGAGAGAATCCAGGCATCCTTCAAGCTTCGAACGGTTCTAGAAATCAAGGACATCTCACCAGCCCACCGATACAGTATGGACGAGTCAGGCTTCGCGACCAGCCTCAGGGGGGATGAGCTAACAAGTGGACCGTCTATCTACCATGCTATCCCGTCACACACCTTCCCACACCTCATCATCCGGCAAGATGGGATCGCTCTCATCGATAGAGCGCCCCCGCGTGGAAATCAAGACCATCACCAAGTCTTCTCTGGAAGATGGACGCAAGCTCGCCAGTCTGTCTGCGGCGTGTCTAATCTGTACCGTGGCGGAATACCTACTGGGGGCAACTTGAATCACCTACCGAAGAATCCATCGTCCCTATTTCCGACAAAAATCGACCTTTGGCATCACCGATTTACGTGCTCCATTATTATCCGGCTGCTAGTGGTAATAGTGCCTGTGCCCATTCACCGAATGGCTGATAGGATGATAGGACTCATCGTATTGCTGGGATTCGTATTATTTACACGCATGTGCCTGCGTTATCAGGGATTACGTATATTACTACATGTATTCTTGGTGAGAGATATATGCATCGTCAGTAGAGCCGGTGCGATTGAGATTACCCGTACACTAACGTATCCCGATGGACCTCTGGCATCGTAACGTTGCCATGCCATTATGAGGGGTAACTCTTGGGGGGTTATCAATCATATCAATGGCCATCTATAAGAGGGGACAGACAGGGTGTAATTGCGGCCGGGTACAAAGATCTAGCACTTTGGTCGTAGCCAAATCTTCTTCATAATGAGGGTGAGCATCCAGATTCTCGTGGCATTGTTGTCATCAAGTCGTCTCTCCGGTAGGTCAAACTCCAAGCCGGTGGTCCTCTGAGCTGTTGCTGAACGAAGCTTAGGACTTGTCAACGCCGACCTCGTCGGTATCCCCACTGTCCCATTTACGAACAGCCAGGGCGACGGCTTTGCCATCTCCCGACTTGGTAGTATCATCGTCGACACGGCCTACGCATCTTCCAAGGACGAAGAGGGAAGCACTTTGATCCCACCGAGCCTTGTCGAGTTTGCCACCACTTTCTCCGAGGACCTACACGACATCTTTGGCATTCGAATCCCAGTTTCTACCGGGCACACGCACCAGGAGAACAGCATCTACCTGACGATAGACAGAGAAGCTGAGTACCTCGATGCGAGATATGAAGCAAGCTCCGAAGGCTACACTGTGACTGCTGGTACGGATGGCATCGTCATCTCGGGGGCCAGCCCTCTCGGGGCATGGTGGGGGACGCGGACTGTTTTGCAGCAGGCCATTCTGAACGACGGGGTCATGCCTCCCGGCTCTGGCGTGGACACACCGGGGTGGCCGACTCGAGGCATGATGCTTGATTGCGGACGCCAGTATTACCCTCCGGCATTTATCATGGACATGTGCTCGTACATGTCGTTTTTCAAAATGAACACGTTCCATATGCATCTCAGCGACAACCTGTACGCCAATCCGAACTACACCTACGACCAGCTCATGGAACTCTATGCCCGCTTTCGTCTATACTCCCCATCTCCGTCTGTAGCCGGTCTCGTCAAGTATACCAACGAGTCTTATACCAGAGATGAATTCGAGGCGATGCAGAGACACTGTTCGATGCGCGGCGTCACTATCCTCCCAGAGATTGAAGCTCCGGGACATGCCCTGTCAATTGTACAATGGAAGCCGCAGCTTGGGTACGACACCGACTTGAGTCTTCTGAATATCACTCACCCGGAAACAATGCCCACCATGAAGGCTATCTGGGAAGAGTTCCTCCCGTGGATGCATAGCAAGGTTGTGTCGATCGGCGCAGACGAGTACACAGGCCCAGCGGAGGAATATAATATGTTTGTGAACGAGATGGACAGTTTCATCGGAGAAACATCTGGGAAGTCCATCCGCATATGGGGCACTTTCCCACCCGTCTACAACTCGACTTACAACAACATCGACAAGAACGTTTCTATCCAGCACTGGGAATACTTTGAAGACAACCCATACTTTGATTATATAAGAAACGGATACCATGTCGTGAATTCTAACGATGATTTCTACGTGGTCCAAAAGTGGTCGGGGAGCTATCCGCAGACTATCAATCAGACAAAGGTTTTCCACGGATCCCCAGATGGGGAAAAGTGGTACCCCTACATCTTCAATCAAAACAACGTGTCGGACAACCCATTCCGGAACAATTCCTTCGTCCTCGGGGCCATTGAGGCTCAGTGGAATGATTACGGCAGCAATGCTTCGGTCTGTTCTGAGGCATACTACTCTTGGAGAGAAGGCATACCGTCCCTGGCCGACAAGCACTGGGGAGGGAATCTTACATGGTCCGACTTTGCCGACGTATTTCCCAAGCTGCACCCATCTATCCCCGCTCAGGACCTGGAAAGGGCGATCCCATCGCGGGACAGCACGATCCTCGACTACAGCTTTGACAAGGAGCACCAAGCCGATGGGGCCGGGCAGCACATCGTGAGAGATGCGTCTCAGAACGGTTATGACGCAACGACAACCTGTCGCCAAGACGGTAGCGCGCTCTCCATCACACCAGATTGCTCCCTCACAACACCGTGGTCCTCAAAGGGGCGCAACTACACCCTCAGCATGACTCTGAAAGTAGACGGGCTGCCACATGGAACAAACACAACCATCATCACTGGGGCCGACTCGACCCTGATGCTCACACCGAATATTACCCTGTATGCTGGGGGGAATTATTTCCGCCTGAATTCCACAATCCCAAGGGGTCAATGGGTAGACCTTTCACTCATCGGGCGAGGAAACCAGACGTTCGCAACGGTCGTCACATCGAAGGGAGGGAAACTGTTGAGTAGTGAGGAGTTCTTGACCGTGATGGGAATCAACGGAGATTACCATGTCTGGGATATCATGGCCATCGAGGCGCCTGTCAAGGAGGTGACTGGTTGGACTGGGCAGCTCGCGAGGCTGAGTCTCAGTTCTCTTGCTGAACAGGTCCAATGATCTCCGCCTTGGATGCCTAGAGGACTGGGTGCTGTCGTCGATCTCCCAGGACCGGTGCTTCAAGGATTGGGGTTGACCTAGGGTTTAGGGTTATACGGGTGTCCAAGGAAATCCCATGTAGCAGCATCGAACTCACTCACACACGCCCTAGTACGCTACATCATCTTATGGAGCTCCCATGTCACGCAACTGAGGACGAGCTTGTGAATGGCCCAGATAAATGGAACCGGTAGCGGTCAATCGAAGCTCGGGAACGTGTGTCGTGAATTGTGGGTGCCCCGAGAATTAATCAACGAGTATTTCCATGTCCACCCGGGCTCGCGTCCTGCACGTGCCTGCTCGGCCGCGCGCAATTGAATTTCGGCAATTCAGCAGGTTATCACTAGAGGTTGACTTAGTCTTCCCGCATCCACAGATGCCGGCGCCTCCATCGTTACGGGGGTCCCCGCATCAGGTATGCCATCGGGGACGGAGGGTCTGACACTTACCCACGTGCTCGTGCGACATGTTCAACCCTTTGGGTGCCGCCTATCCCCGACCGAACCACGGTGAAGGCAGCTGTGATGGCTTAGCGTCTCCCCCCTGAGGGATGCCACGGGAGTATAGGCGTCCTTCTGTATCATGGCTCCGATCGCAATATCTCCGACCGGCCATGCCTCCGCAGACCAAACGGAACGCGAATCGAATGCACACTCCCCTCCCTGAAATGGACGCAGGGTCCAGTAGTACGGGAATGAGGTTCGGGGACAGGTCTTCGCGCGAAATATCTGCTGCCCTGGCCGACCCAAACGTTCGAAAGCCCTTCCAAATGTCTTCGGATCTTCCAAATCTTCTTCCCATCGGATCATCTTCTCTCTCAGCTCCGACGTTGCATTCCATCGTACGCAGTCTTGTGATAGTACATCCAAGATCCATACAATGCATTCTCTTGCTGTCTTGGGATTGATACTCTCAGCCCTGGGCGCGGTCACGTCGGTACCTGGCTCGAACCGCTTCTCGGGCCCAGCTCCTGGCTCCCCGGTGTTGATCCGGAGGATGATACGGCCCTGCCAGAGCCCTTTGTCTCTGACGAGACCTTGTCGACGCCACGGACATCATAGGCACAAGAATCTACCCTCCAATATTACAACAGTGCGGAATTTCGGTGCCACATTGATACAGGATCCTGCTTGCTTGACAATCGATGCCTGCCTTGGTGCCTTGGTCACACAGGCATCCAAACGCCGTGCAGCTCCACCATCCTACGTCACTCGGCATTCGACTACGCGCCACTCACGCCAAGAGACGACGATCAAGCTGCACCGTTGCCTTGGTTCTTGGTGTTGGAGGCGCGGAATTGATCGAGCATTTGCTGTCAACCAGCTTGTGACAGATGCAGGAAGACGTCGTTCATGCCAATTCAGAGGATCTGATTACTCGTATTAATATTGTCGAGAAAAAAAAAGAGGATAGCGGACCCCGCCTTGTAACGTGAAAGTTATAGGGCCTGCCCCTCTGCTCCTTGAGTCCCTATAGGGTCCATTTAGCGGTCACCCTGTTGCTTGGCCTGGAGCCCTTTTGAGGGGCTGAGCGGGAGCCACTCCTCGGCAGCGTCACGCCCCTCACGGTGCTCCTTCGTCTCCTCTACCCCTTCCTTCCCAAACCACGTCTCTCTTTCTTGCGTTTTTTCTTTCTCTTTCTGTTTTTTTATATATATATGTTTATCGTTTTTCTTCTTCTTCTCTCAATATGATACAGTATCTCCTCTCTTTCTTCCATTTCTGATCCTGACAAGGTCTCTCTACACTGTACTGGCTGGCTCAGTGCTGTGAGAGAGGGCCGCGTGGTCTCCGTGCATGTTCTTCAATCGTCACCCCGGAATCACCTACTCACAGCCCAGCCATCATCATGGAACCCTCACCAGACGTTTCGGGGCAGGCCGATGCCGCCGACCATAAGAAGGGCGGGAAACTCGGCACCCTCACGGGTGTATACATCCCCGTCTGTCTCAGTATCCTGAGTATTCTCATGTTCTTGCGTTTTGGCTTCATCTTGGGACGCGTCGGTTTCTTGGGCATACTGGGTATGTTTGTATCGTAGCACTCAGTAGGCGTCTGGCCAAGGCTTACCGTGTGTTGACAGGCCTCCTTCTCGTGGCATACTCTATTGAATTTCTCACCATCTTCTCCTTATCCGCTATTGCTTCCAACGGCGAGGTTAAGGGCGGTGGACCCTACTATCTCATCTCCAGGTCCTTGGGTCCTGAGTTCGGTGGCTCCATCGGCATCCTCTTCTATATCGCATCAGTCCTCAACGCCGCCCTAAATGTGGTGGGTTTGATAGACTGCATAAGGCTCAATGTTGGCGAAGGCTTCCCCCAAGGATACTGGGTAGGCTATGGTCTGCAAACGGCCGCCTTGCTCGCCTGTACCGCCCTGTGCCTCCTCAGCTCCTCCATGTTCACCCGCGCATCCAACAGTCTGCTGGCAATTCTGTCTCTGGCAGTCATCAGTATCCCGGCCTCAGCCATCTTCTTGACACCCTTCAATGATGAGAAGATCGGTCTTCACTTTACGGGTCTGAGCCTTGAGACCTTGGCTGAGAACTTTTTGCCCATTCCTGATACCGTTTACTACACTGGGTTCGACACGTTTCGTGATCTATTCGGTATCTTGTTTCCGTGAGTCGCATCCTACGCTCCACATCTAGCGACTGGACAGCATATCTGATGAGGATACAAATGTTATCTTTTCTCCCCTTCAACAGAGCTACTGCTGGCATTCTCGCCGGCGCCTCCGTGTCCAATGACCTCAAGAACCCGAGCAGGTCCATTCCCAAAGGGACATTGTGGGCGACCCTAACCACCCTGATCGTCTACTTTGTCGTCGCTCTCTCCATGGCCGCAAGCACCACGCGCGCCTCGCTGCTCGGGAACCCGAACGTCATCCCCCTTACCAATTTCTCCCAGTCCGTCATCTTCGCTGGCGAATGCGCCGTTACGTGCTTCTCGGCCCTCATGGGCCTCAAGAGCTCTACCGGCCTGTTCAGAGCCCTTGCAAAGGACAAACTTCTGCCTGGACTTTCGGTCTTTGGGAAGGGTGCCGGCCGTCGAGACTTTCCCTTTGCATCGCTCTTCATCACCTATGCTATCGCTCAAGTCGCTCTCCTGGCTGATTTGAACCAGATTGCCACCCTCATCTCCATGGGATTTCAGGTAAGCAATGCAGCTCGCCACAGTCCAAACGCGCGGTTGTTGAACCGAGGATGTGAGCAAAGCGGCCAAGGGGCATACTGACCGCGCCATAGATGACATTTTTCGTCTTGAACCTGGCGTGCTTCCTGCTCAAGATTGGCGGGGCTCCAAACTTCCGGCCAAACTTCAAATTCTTCAACTGGCAGACGGCCTGTCTCGGGAGCCTGTCGTCAGCCGCCGCCATGTTCTTTATCGACGAGACAAATGCCTCCCTGGCCATCTGTTGCTTGGTCTTCCTCTTCCTCCTTATCCACTACCTGTGCCCGCCCAAGCGCTGGGGTGACGTGTCACAGAACCTCATCTACCACCAGGTCCGGAAGTACCTGCTGCGTCTGCGACCCGAACATATCAAGTTCTGGCGCCCGCACATCATCCTCCTCATCAACGATCCGCGGAAGCAGACACGGTTGATTCAGTTCTGTAACTCGTTGAAGAAGGGCTCGCTCTATATCCTGGGACACGTGATCGTAACGGACGACTTCAACGCCGGCGTCTATGAGGCGCGACTCCAGCAGCAGGCTTGGACGAACTACATCTCCGAGTCCTCGAGGATAAAAGCCTTCATGCAGCTGACCATGTCTCCGTCCCTCACTTGGGGCGTCCGCAACTTGATCCTGTCCGCTGGTTTGGGAGGCATGCGTCCCAACGTCGCCGTCCTCGGCTTCTACAACATGGATGACCTCCGAAAGTCCAACTACCGCTTCGTCATCCCCGATATCCCAACTTCGCCTGCTATGAAGATGCGCAACCCACCGCCCAAGGCAGACATGAAACGCCCCATGCGTCGGCGTGTTGATACCTCGGCCCGTCTTATCGAGGGGGTGTTACCTACAGACGTCATCAAGACGGAGGGCATGATGAAGCCAACAGAGTACATGACGATTCTAGAAGACCTCACCCTCAGGCACCGCATGAACGTGGCTGTCGGCTACGGGTTCGAAGGGCTAGAGACGCCACACAGCGACGACAACAGTAAAAAATACATAGACCTCTGGCCGATCCAGATGTCTGCCGAGGTGATGTCTGGGGGAAAAAATGTCCTGACAACCAATTTTGATACTTGTAAGTCTTTTCAGCGCTACTCGTCTGCTAGGTGCTGACTGATTATGTTCTAGATACCCTCATCCTACAACTTGGTCACATCTTGCACAGCGTGCATAATTGGCGCAAGGTGTACACGCTGCGAGTCATGGTCTTTGTCGAGTATGAGAACGAGGTCAACGAGGAGAGCGCGCGTGTCCGTGTCCTTCTCGAGAAGCTCCGTATAGACGCGCAGGTAGTAGTCTTCTGGCTCGCTTCGGGCCACCTTAACACGTACGAGCTCATTATCAATGGTAGCTCCCACGATATGGACTGGGACATCATTGTCAACGAGGCGCTCCGAGATGAGGAGTGGTGGGACGACCTCCAGATGTTCCGCGGCGATGACGGCCACATGTCACCGAGTCAAGAACGGACTCACCTAGCGCATATCATCGATTCCACATCGGGAAGACGCGGCGTCTACAATCCCCACGAGGAACTCACCTCTTTCCGAGACCATCTCGACTCGACGTACCTGGGCCACTCCCAGTACAGACCAAATATGGCGATGCTCACCAGGTTGGGCGTCAACGTTGGCATGCACACGCATCACCTGATCGATAGTGTCCTCAAGAAACCAGACTCGGGCATAGACCCAAATGACGCTACCGTATCGTCGTCCGACGATGAGTCTACACCGGATGGTGATGATGATGAGGACGAACGTGTACTCGGCAACCCTAGGCAGCCTCTGCTACCTGCGGGGTGGAAGCAGCCAGGAAGCGACTACGAGTACTCGTCGGAAAACACGCGGCGGCGTCGCAGGTCCAGGCTGCCTTTGGGTGAGATGAGTGCGTCCAAGTACGGTAGCATGTCCACATCACAGACCCTGGCCGAACTGGGTGGGATGCAGCAGATTCCAGGCGCAGATGATGAAAAGACGCCCAAGGCGTTCATCGGATCCGGAGCAGGTGGTGGCGGAGATGCTGGCTCGCAGACGCCATTACCTTCACTTGGGAAACTTTCGGTATCAGACCCGTTTGCCGCCTACCGTGCACGGTCTATGAGCCCAGAGCGAGCCCGAGTGACGGGAACTGCCGGATCGGCACATCGACCAGGCATATCACGGCAGTCTTCTGGCGTGCGATTCTCTAGTCGCCCCGTGCCGGAAACTACAGTCACGACGGAAGGTGACGATTCAAGGATCGCCTTTGCCGAATCAGGGACCACTGCGCCCAAGGTTGATCGGCCACACCCTTCGAGACAGTCGTCGTATAACCGCGGGGGTTTCTCCAGCCGGCCGGTGCCAGAGACGAAGATCACTGGAGGAGACGACGCGACGAGGACGATAAAGTTTGCCGACGAGCCCATATATCGGTCTGAATCGGCGGCACGAAGGTCCGCTAGTCACTCTCGACAGGCATCGCGGCAGCCGTCGCGACAGGGCTCAGTAAACATCTCTCGACAGGGCTCTACTGTTGACATGATGGGCAGCGAGGGGGATGTCAATGTCAGCATCCCCGAGCTGCTCGACTCATACAGACATGGCGGGAGTGACGGGGAGCAGCAGCAGCATACACAGCCAGAGGGGGGGTCCACGTACTCGACGCAGAGCCTGGCGCTGTCGTTCAACGACCTCCCCAGACGGGCGCAGCACCTGATACTCAACGAGCTGATGCGGCAGAACTCGGGGGACGCTGCTGTCATCATGACGACGCTACCCGTACCCTCGGAGCAGACGAGCACGGACGAGGCGGATACCATGGGGTACCTGTCTGACGTGGAGGTGCTGTGTAACGAACTGCCACCTACCCTCATGGTTCTGAGCAACAGCATGACAGTTACGGTGAGCCTATGATTCTTGACTTTTTTTTTTTTTTGATCTTTCCGTTCATCATGTTGGCTTCCATTTCATAAGCATCATGTCATTTATACACAGAAAGCGTGCGACCATGTCTATTCTTTTTGCATTGTTAGGAGCATCTCTAGCATCAATGATATATACACGTCTCTTGTCTACTTACACCCAAATAAAGTCCAACATGTTCATCGTCTGCGCCTTTTATGCCGTCGTTACATCATTTTATCGTATCTCTTTTGTCTGCACTCTTTTAAGCTTTTTTTTTATACATCTATTCTCTTGACAATGAGCTGGCCAGCGTCGCCGCCATCAAGCTCAATCATGCCGCCAGCCTCAAGCTTCTTCTTCCAGCTGTTGCTCTCATAGCGGGCGGCGATGATGGTCATGCGCAGGGTGGCGTCGTTGCTCGATTCGTGCTCGGCGGTGTCGGCGGTGATGGGTGTGAATGTCCAGCGACCAAAAGCCCAGTTGAGGATGTAGCGGTTCCCGGGTACGGGTTCCGGCCTGGGCATTTCGGGGTCGGAGTTGGTCGGGGTGCTGGACAGGGTGAGAACCGACTTGATACGGTAGATCTCGTCTTTGGGGGCGGACTTGAGTAGGACAGCCAGCTTTTCAGCGTTGACGGCGGCACCTCCCTTGAGCTCGACAGACAGAACCTCGACTTCGCTCTGGTGGTCATGTTTGTGGTCGTGGTCGGGGCCGTGGCCGTGACCATGCTTGCCGCTCACCTCGTCCTCGGTGAGAGCCTTTGCCAGGCCACCGTCGATACCAAAGACGAGATCGACGGAGACCTTGCCCTTGTCCGATTTGACCTTGGCAACATCGACCTCTAGGTCGGCCACGCGGTCGAGGCACTCGTCGTAGCGGTCCTCCCCGGCGTTCTCCCACTTATTGAAGATGATGAGGTCGGTGTACCGTGCCTGGATGCGCGCCGTGTAGCTCGTATCCTCGTAGCCCTTCCAGTTCTCAACGTCGATGACGCTGACGACGCCATCCAGCACGTACCGTCCCGTCTCTCTCGCGAGGCGGTTGATCTCGAGCGCCAGGGTGGCGGGGAAGGCAGAGCCGCTCGTCTCGACCATGATGCGATCGGGCTTGACGGTCTCGTCCAACTCGGCCAGCGCGGGGGCCAGAGATCCGACCAGGTTACAGCAAATACAGCCGTTGAGCATCTCCTGGACGCCCGAGACGGCCGAGCTAGACGCCAGCTGCGAGTCGACTGCCAGATCGCCGAACTCGTTCTTGAGCAGGGCCAGGCGATAATTAGGGTTCTTGGCGCGGAGTTGCGGGACGAGGTTGAGGATCAGGGTCGTTTTACCGGAGCCGAGGAACCCGGTCACTATGGTTATCGGGATAGCCATGGTATGCAGTTACGTGTGCGTGCGCGTGCGTGCTCTCTTTGGCGGGAGGCGGGGGGGGGGGTTTGCCGTGATGGTGGTTGTCGGATTGGGGGAAGGCACGGATGGAGGGGTTTGTTGCAGTTGCAGTTGCGGTTACAGTGTGGCGTGGTGGGGTGGTGGATGGCATGACGGTTGGTTCAAGATGGGAGCTAAACCGATTATAAAATGATTATGTGGGGGTGACGTATTAGTGGGTGCAGTGTTCACTGTTAACCGGTGATTTGTGACTAGATCGGTATTATCTCAATCATGTGTGCCTTGGCCATAATATCACCCGGTACGGAGTAGTTTGAGGTATGGAGAGTGCCCTGGGGTACACTTTGATGGCTCATATTCCAGAAGATGGCAATGCAGGGAATTGACGTGTGATGGATGTTGGTGATTGATGTTGACCTCCTGTTGATGTGTGCCTAACTGATTTGCATGCCTTGTTTCCCAGGCAAAAATAGCATACCGTCACCGTGACCATGGATAGACGGATGGCTCTCGATTCATCATTCCAGGGGATTGCTTCTCAAGACGGGTAAGTAGATTTTCGAGATGATGTATCAGATACGATCATCGTATATGTCAGTATAGAGAGAGGAGGAGGGGAGGAGAGAGAGAGAGAGAGAGAGAGAGAGAGAGAGAGAGAGAGTCATGACTTGACACACACATGAACCGAGGCCTATTCACGGTGCTACAATAATAATAATAATACTCGGTTGTTCGACCAACTATTAAATCACCGGCTATGGAGACCTCCTTCTCTATCTTCTTTCCACTACACCATCCTCAACTAGGCCATATCCTCGCGAATCCAAACCAAATCCAGCCGCCGGGAAGAGACTACTACTGTTGAGCCTTTGCTGCAAGCTAGTTCCATCTCCCCCACATTTTATATGCAGCATAGTCCCCGCCTATCGGGACTTATAAATTTGTACGGATTTGAGACCAAGGATCCCCCAATACGGAGGTAGCTGGCTCAACTGGAGCTCGACGCCCTGTAACCTGACTCGGCCTTTTTTTCCCTCCCTTTTCCTCATCTTCATTTCGAGGGAAGTAGGTGTCTTCGAGAGATGAACTACACTTTGACCATCTCTGCCCTTGCTCTTTCTCTCTTCTGATTATTATTCACTGTATATCTTGGGGGACGGATGTGCTCTTAGCTGTCCTCTCGTCTAGGCACACAGACACCGGGGTTCCGTACTATCCGCGAATACGACAGCAACCATGGCTACAGACTTGCAGATACCTCTTCCCACACCTGTCGTGGCTCTGGACCCTGGGCTTGACCTTTCCCCTTCCCAATGGGAGGTCCTACTCTCTCTGTGCGACGCTGTTATCCCCGAGATCCGTCCGCGTGGTCTCTCCCATGGCGGTCACTCCCATGGTGGTCACCATGCGGACAAGGCTCTGTGCCTTGAGAGAGACGAGTTCAACACGCTCACCGGACAGCTGCGCCGTGTCGCCGATCCGTCCAAGTCTGAGCAGGTGGTCGTCGACTTCCTTGCCGAGACGCCGTCCAAGAATCCTGACTTTTGCGAGATGATGCGCATCCTCCTCTTTCGCTCTCTGTCCTCTGACAGCAGGGCCCGGTTGGTCAGGGTTCTCAGCGTGCTAAGGTAGACGGACACCTCCCCGGTGTGCTCGGGCACTGCCTATACTTCCATACTGACCTCACAAACCCTTCCCTACAGCACTTCGATGGGATCCATGATTCTCGCGTCGAGCGTGACGCCTGTGCATCGCCTCCCGCTCGCTGCCCGCGAGAAGATCCTCCAGTCGTGGGCGACGTCGTCCCTTGGCACCTTTCGCATGCTGAAAGCATCGCTCACCCTGCTCACAAAGCAGGTCTGGGCACGCACCAGTCCCACACTGGAGAAGCTCGTCGGTGTCCCCCGCATCCCGGTAGAGTGCCCGACCGCGGTAGGTGGCTACGAGTACAGCTTCCTCCAGTTCCCGCCCGGGGAGAAGGATCAGGTCATCGAGGCCGACGTCGTCATCGTCGGCAGTGGCTGCGGCGGCGCCGTGGCGGCCAAGAACCTCGCCGAGGCTGGGCTGCGCGTCGTCGTCGTCGACAAGGGCTACCACTGGACCACGGAGTATTACCCTACCGGCCTCGACACTGGAACTTCCCATCTCTTTGCCAATGGAGGGTCCATTATCTGTCAGTCTCTGCTCCCCCATCCTCTGCAACCTGCCAGACAAGCGCTCCTCCTGACTCGGGCATCTAGCCGAGGACGCATCAACATGCGTCGTCGCAGCCTCGGCCTGGGGTGGCGGCGGCACCGTCAACTGGTCTGCCTCGCTTGAGCCCCAAGGCTACGTCCGACGCGAGTGGGCCTCCGAAGGTCTCCCGCTCTTCACCTCTCTCGGCTTCCAAGAGTCACTGGACCGCGTATGTGACGCCATGGGCGTGTCGACGGACAACCTCGAGCACAACCTGGCCAACCGCAACATTCTACAGGGCTCGCGCAAGCTCGGCTGGGCGCACAAGGCCGTCCCGCAAAACACAAAGGGTCTCAAGCACACGTGTGGCGCGCTGTGCACCATGGGCTGCCGTCAGTCGGCCAAGCAGGGACCCGCCGTGGCGTTCCTGCCCAAGGCCGCCGAGGCGGGGGCCACGCTGATGGAGGGCTTCGACGTGCACAAGGTCATCCTCGAGAAGCGCGGGTCCAGGACGGTGGCCGTGGGCGTCAAGGGCACGTGGAGGTCCCGGGACGTGCACGGCGGGGTGGCTGATGCGTCGACGGTGACGTCGCGCAGGGTGGTCATCAAGGCCGGCAAGGTGATCGTCTCGGGGGGGAGCATGTACACCCCGCTGCTGCTGCTGCGGTCGGGCCTGAAGAACAAGCACATTGGCAAGAACCTTCACCTGCACCCCGTCAACTTCGTGGGCGGCATGTTCGACGAGCCCGTAGTCCCGTGGGAGGGTCCCATCCTGTCATCCGTGTGCTCCGAGTTTGAGAACCTCGACGGCAAGGGCCACGGCGTCAAGCTCGAGACGACATGCATGTCCACCTTCGCATGGATGAGCTGGCTCGTGTGGAACGGCGGCCTTGAGTACAAGAAGCTGGCCGGCAGCACCCGTCATATGAGCGGGTATATTAGCGTCTGCCGCGACCGCGACACGGGTTCCGTCTTCCCCGACCCCGTCGACGGCCGTTGCCGTGTGCAGTATCACCCCTCGCTGTTCGACAAGAACCACATCCGGGAGGGTCTCGTCGGCCTCGCGCGCATCAACTACGTCCAGGGGGCGCGCGAGATCTTCACCACCATCCCCGGCGCGCCCCACTGGGTCCGCGACGATGAACTCGACCGCCAGGCGCTGGACGCCAGCTTCGACGAGTACACCAACCGTATCCGCGATTTTGTCTACCCGGTCGAGACGCTGTTCGTGTCAGCCCACCAGATGGGGTCGTGCCGCATGTCGTCGTCACCCAATACGGGCGTCGTCGACCAGTTCGGCCGCGTGTGGGACGTGGACGGGTTGCACGTCATGGACGCCAGTGTTTTCCCTTCGGCAAGCGGAGTGAATCCGTTCGTCACTACAATGGCCATTTCCGACTCGTTGAGCAGGGCGATGGCCGACAAGTGGGATCAGAAGGGCAAGCTTTGATCTTGTGTGCGTGCGTACTGTACTACAGCACAATGTTTTCTTTCGTCTCCTATATAGTCGTGGTTGGTGGGTTTGCGGGTAGCGCAGCAATGTTTTCCATCATATCAAATCGACAAGGTTGATTTTCTTTTTCCCCCCCCGTCTCACCGCACCGTCCAGGCGACGCCATCACTCCCTCCCGACCTCCATGGTGCCGATCTTGGCCAGCCTATCACGAGCTAGATCAATATTCTCGTGCCCCCTGGCCTTCTCAGCCTCATACGACCGTCTATACGTGTCGATGTCCTCGGTGAAGAGGGCCCTGCGATCACGCCACCCCGTGAGGTTACGAATCTTCTCACTGGCCACCCACTGAGGGAAACCGAAGGTAAAGGCCACGCTGGCAGGGAACTGATCACCGGCCTCATCCACGGGGGGGAAGACGACACCATCCCTGAACCCGTAACCCTTGGCGAGGGCCTCTCCGATCTCCCGAGCGGTCTCGTACCTGTACGACGAGATGTTGAACGTCTGGTCCGCGACAGCAGACCTGTCCCCGTGCTCCGCAAGCGCGACGTACGCCTCCGCGCAGTCGTCGACGTGCAAGGCATGCATGGGCGTCTCCGGGTCGACGGGGAGAGGGAGGACATGGGCACCGCTTCCGCGCTGGTCGTCGGCGTAGTCCATCAGCGTGGCGTAGTAGCTGCTCGAGTAACCGTAGACGGAGGTCGGACGCAGCAGCACGCCGTCGAGGACGTCGGCGTGCTCGTAGATGCGGCGGGACGTCTGCGCCCTCTGCCGGATGGCCTCTGTGGGCGGGTCCTCGACTGTCTCCTCCGTGTGAAGGGGCACCGAGCCGTCAGCCCGCACAGAGCCGAGACCGTAGTCCTTGCATCCGGACGTCCAGAGGAGCAGGGGTCGCACGCCTTTGTCGTTGCTCGCCCGCGCCAGACGAAGCATGACCATGATGACTTTCTCGTAGTGCGCCTCGTAGTCCGGGAAGGACTCGACGCAGTTGACCAGCACGTCGAACGTGGAGGCCGTAGAGATCAGTGTGTCGACCCACGATGCGTCGTCGAAGGAGCCCTGCACCGGCGTTGCCTCGACTCTCCACAGGCTTGGGGCGGACGAGGCACGCCGGATCATCCCGTAGACTCGGTAGCCTGCGCGGGCAAAGGATCGGCATACCGCGGAGCCGATGTAGCCGTTTGCGCCGGTGACGAAGACCGTCCTGGGGGCGGGACGGGGTAAGGGACGGACAGGCATGTTGGTGTTTATATATAGGAGTACTTTCTGTTATGCTACTTTGTGGAATGGATCGTCCGATACTGACAAGAGATGAAGGGACTGGCTCTATGTGCATATTGCAATAGGAATCTAGAGAGAGAAGAGGAGTAATATTTATACTCGTTGGTCGTGGTACTATACACATCCGTATAAATTGCCTGTCTGGGGAACCAGGTGGGACATGACGGAAGGGAACTTGCCGCTAGGTGTGGAGCGACGGGACATGATGAGCCGTCGGTAGAGGTGCTCTTTGGGACATTGTGGGAGATAGGGGTTAGATAGATGATGAATGGCATGTAATACTGGGAGTATCTCTCTATCATATAGTTTATGTGATGATGATGATAACTCATTTGAGTGGCATAGAAGACAGATGGAGAGGCTGTTAGCATCGTCATTCATGCTCAGCTGTGGCATCCAAGATTATATATATGACTAAGCAGTCAGAGGTTGCCGCCGCACGCCCCCATCTGTAGATAGCCTCATAGATATCCCTTCCTTTCCGTTGAATCGAGAACTAGTACACATATTCATAGACCCAGGACGTTCTATTAGGCAGAGACCACTGTGTTCACGTCTACGGGTTATCGTGTGTTGTCGCCAGCAGGAAGCACATGTTTTTTGGTATAGGGTATATTATGCAACTGTACAGGGAGACCAGACATTCAATGCAAGGGACGTACACCAAGACGCTCAACCAGACAGAGCCTTAGGCCTTGCTTGCTCCGCACTATCGAACGACAGGGATATAGAGAATGAACCAAGAAGAAGAGCAAGCAGCTGATGAATTCGTATCGAGGAATAAACTCCCCCGTCTCTTGGAATGCGACAGCTACGCTGTACCTCGTAGTCTCTTGGCAATGACGACCTACACAAGGTTGAGCCAGTATGGGCTTTGTGTGGCAAGTGAGCGACGTCATGACGCGTTGGAGATAGGCCCGTCTTCAGCCCAGCAGCTTTCTGCTTGTACTTTCGTTCGAACCTAGAATGGAGCATCTTTCAAATAAATATAATGATGTAGATCTTTCATTCATTCATCCGTCTTTCCCTCCTTTTCTGCTTGCCTCTTTGTTGAGATACCACATCATCTCCAATCATACGACCACATTTCGTCATCATCACTTTTTCTTCTCCCCCTCTCATCATGCCATCCACGGACCCCGACAAGAAGGAAGAGACACTCCGACAAAAGCTTGACAGAGTCGCCGACGACGATTATTACGGTAGAAACGATGAGGCTGGCAATAAGAAGAGCAAGCCAATTGTCGACAGGGGTAGGCACAATTGAACTCCCATCACCAACTCCCCGCTCCCCCCCTTCACCACCACATCACAAGCTGACCTCTCGATCAGTGGCCCAGTTAATCCCAGGAGCCTCCAAAGTTTTCCCCACCTCCCAACAAGAGAGCAAGGAAAACTCGGATGGAGAAAGGTCGTCTGCGGCCGCGCCTGGTGGTTCACCGGAGAGGCCAACGCACGACACACAGATAGAAGAATTTCTTAGGGACCAGCATCGAAGCAATGTCGAGGCTTGAAATGCACCGTTACTCCCAACGCATCTCACTCGTATGCGCGTAATAAACAAGATTCGAAACACACGACATTTCACATGATTGAGAACAACTCTGAACAACTACTTCAGTATCAACATGTCCCCCCTTCTGGGACGTCTCCCGCCTACGGGTTTGTTGACCAACGAGGGCCACAAAGTTGCGGAAGATTTCCTATATCCAGGGGTTTTACTCTCCTGAGCGCTTCCCACGAGGGGAAAGGCAACACTTCACCGTGGTGAACAGCTTCCCTCGCCCTCTCTCTCTTCTCCCTTTCCGAAGAGAGAGAGAGGAGAAGAGGGGAGATCCAAAGTCCTGGGTGGGGGTCGTGGCAGCTCAGTTGCTTTTTGATACGGAAGAAAGAAAAAAGAAAAGAGGAAAAAAAGATCTTTGGGAGGCGAGATTTCTTAAATAACCTGACGAAATTTTGTGCGAATTGCGCTAGTCTATATGTGGGGATTGATTACTCAGCCAGAGCATCTGTTTTTTACGGCGAACAAGTTTGTACCGTAATACCGTACGGGTAGAGACGTGCACTCACGTTCCAAAGGGAAAATACAGTAAAAGGTCGGTTATTTCACGTAGTGTGGTTGGTTCTGATTGAAATGATGAAAGCAGAATTAAAAACGCTTAACCTCATACGCTCTATATGCAAAACCCTCACGATCTTACTCACGGCTTCCTCAGCCCTTTACCCAACAACTCCCCGCCGACCTCCGTCACCAGCTTCTCCGACGCGAAATCCTTCTTCTTGCTCAGTATGGTCCCCGCAGCATCCAGAGTGCGCAGCAAATCAGCTAGTTCACCATCGAGGTCAGCCTCGTAGAACAGATGACCCAGCGCCGACAGCATCCCCTGCAGCGCCTCGACAGACTTGTCCTCCTGGCCGATAGCCTCGACCACCGACGCAGCTAGTTCAACCTGGTCTGCCTCGGGGAGACCCTGGAGCTGCGAGGGGCTTGCCTTCCTGCGGGCCTCCCTGCTTTCCAGAGCCAAGTTGAACAGCAGAGATGAGGCTGCCACCCTGATGCTGTTGTGGCTCTCATCGAGGAAGCTGGACGTGATCAGCTGCGTGATGGACGGGACAAGGTTGCTGCTGGTGTTCGGGTTCAACAGCACCTGGTGGGCGAACAGGGATGTCGAGAAGAGGTTGCACGCCATCTGGAGGGTTACCAGGCGTAGGGCGTAGGGGCAGCTGCTGCCGCTGTTGACGAGCTCGAGAATGGCACGCACCGTCTTCTGGTCGGCTTCCTCGGCAAAGTAGCCGCTTACACGAGGGTCGACGAGGGCGCAGCGGAACAGGTCGACGACGCCGAAGAGGGTCTCGGGGCTCCGGTCCGCCACCGACTTGCGTAAAAAGTCAGACAGAGACGCGAGGTCGGGCACCACGGCGTCCACGGCCCCTTTTGCTTCTCGCTCCTCTATGAATGTCCGCAGACTCTGGACGCCGGAAGCCCCTGCCAGCTCGTCGCCCATCTTGGCCATGAGCTTGGCCATCGGCGGTGCCTTGGTGTACATCACCGGTTTCGTGCCTGCCGATGCAAACGACGGCAGTCTGAGCGAGTGGTGAGGATGCGTCAACGACGCCATGTGGGCCAGTAGACGGACGCGCCCGGAGAGGTCGCCCGGCGTGGAGCCCGTCCACCTGTCCTCCTGCTGGCCCCTCAGAAACGTGACGAATGTCGGCGTTGCCCGTATGCCGTACTGGCTGGCTATAGCCTGTGCTTGCGGCTGAGATATGTCGACCTTGATGCAAGTCACCTTGCCCTGATGCTCCTCTGCCAGCTGGTCAAAGGCCGGATAGAGCGCCTTGCAAGGGCCGCAGGTGACCGATGTGAAGAAGATGATGGCACCCGATTTCCCCGCCGAGCCAAGTGCACTGGATAGTTCTGTCGAGCTGGAAACGTCCCAGACGCCACTCGACGTCCGAGGCTTGCCGCCTGCCTGCTGTCCGCTCTGTCCCAGTCCCAGGATGGACCCGTTCTGTCTGCCGGCATTGACACCCTGCATCAGCTGGGGTACCAGCATGCGACCCATAGGCGAGTCGAGGACTGCCTGGGGCATGCTGGTGATGTGGCTGGGTATGCCCTTCCCCAGCAGGAAGTTGGAAAATGAGTCGGTAAAGTTGTTGCAGTTGTGGTGGAAGAGGTCATATGCCTGCATGCCGTGTCAATTTCTTTCTCTCTGTAAAAGATTCCTTGGTCGACTCGTGCAGCATTCGCATACCTCGACGGTGAAAATAGGCCGGACAGACTCTATGTACTCTTCGACAACATCCAAGGGGACATCTGTCTGGCCCAGGTGCAGCCTCTCAAGCGGCTGTCCAAGGTGAGACGAACCGGGTACAATGGCGATGATGCCTCCGTCGTAGACATATTCACGGCCCTCCAACTCGATGGATGTGTGGTAGATGGCGTCGAGCTGAAAGCCGAGTATACCCATGGACATTTGGCGAGCTAAGCCTTGGGAGAGGTCGTAGACCAAGAGGTGGACATCCATGGTTGGCGAAGGCAAGTAGGATTCAATAACGTGAATTGTGACGTGCGGGGGAGGGGCAATGACGGATCATGAGATGATGACGGGGAGAGCGAGATATTCTGTAGAGAGCACAGAGTACTATCAATACATTTCGCATGCATATGTCTGCACATATGTGGTGATGTGTCGCGCATCTACGAAGCCCCGGGGATAGCGGCTTCTCACCAAGGCAGCAGGGTCTACGTCTGTGGCGAAGCTTCTGGATGTGTCAAATCGTCACTTGCTTATTGGTGGCCCCTGGAAACTGCTACGGAGTTGATGGTCGGAGTTGGGGGTAGGTTTCTAGTACCGGAGCTCACATCAAGCCCGGGTGTTGATCGCCTGTCTCGGGTACCCTGCTGCTGACGCTGGCGCAATAACGGGATTTGCCATTCTTCGGCAGGTGTTCATTATCATGCGAACATGTGGTACAGTAGTAATTTAGAGAGGATGCTACCTACAGTCGGAGAACGAGACTCATTGTTCATGCAAACTGGTACAATATTCATAATTCATACGCTTCATTATCAATGTCCAACCCTCCAAATTGTCTCCGCAACGCAAACTTCTCTAAATAGATTTTTTCCTCAGCTGCCAATACGGTTGTGGCGTTGTCCGACAGTCAAGAGGAGGACACACTTACCTGACTTACCCGGGCGTTGTAGTCGGTGGCGTCGGGTCGTAGCGGTAGGATCCTTGAACTCTAGTGGTGAAGCTTTCGCTGTGAGCACAGTTGATGCCCGTAGGTATAGTGATGTACCCACCAATTCGAATCAAATATAGGCCATCTGTCGGGTAATATCTGTACGGAGAACGCTAGGCTCAGAGACTCACACCTAGACTAGGGGACTTAGTCAAGCATTGAGTATTACACGTACAGGGGGGTCTTCAGTGCTTATCTCCACTGTAGCGTACTCATAATCATACTCTCTGATTGGTCTCTCGTCTCGTGTCGCCTCCCCCCCCCCTCTTTTTTCTCTCTTTTTTTTCCCTCTCTTTTTCCCTTTGCCCCATCCATCTTCCAGCCTTTGAAGGCTTGAGTCCCCTCCTGGCCCATGAGCCCCTTAGACTTGGCTTTCTGGGCCCCTTGCCGAGATCCTGTACGAGTCTCCCAGTCTCCCACCCCCCCCGCCACTATTCCCCAAGATCTTATCTCGAATCCATCCCGTCCCCCTTCCCTTATTCCCTTTCTCTTCTCTCCTTCTCTCACGTCTCTCCATCTCGGGTGTTTCGTCTCGTTAGCATCTCCTCTTCCGGGCCCCGAATCCACCCACACTCGCTTGAACCCAAACTCCCGTCTGCGGATTCCTTTTCCGCATTCGATGCTGAGCAGCGTTGCCAAGACGTCTTAAGCAACCAAGGGCCACGACCTCATGCGAAACTCTTCATCTTTCCTCAACAAACAAGCCATTCACGATCCCTACGAGAAGCCGGACAGGTACGGAGAGACATCGAAGGGCGGGGTATTCGTTGCCAAGATGAAGGACAGCTGGGCTTCCCAGACCTCGAGGTCAAGATGGCTCAAGATGGGCGCCATCGCCATGCTTGTCATCTGCATGTTCTACTGGCTCGCTCCTAGCGGTGTCCGCCTCTCCAAGCAAGGTTTGTCACTGTCCGACAAGGAAGCAGGTAATCAGAGAGAGAGGGGGAGGCTGTAGAGTAGTGCCATACTGACTCGAGTGTCCAGTGGCCACCACCGACGGCCAGACCGCGTCCGACGACAGCTATGGAACCGACAAGTGCACAAAGTCGTATTCGCGCGAGAAGCCCCTGGTCCAGTACGTCCTCATGATTGATGCCGGCAGCACTGGATCGCGCATCCACGTCTACAAGTTCAACAACTGCGGACCCACCCCCGAGCTCGAGCACGAGGAGTTCGCCATGACCGCCAAGGAGGTCGGCGGCCTCAGCAACTTCAAGGACAGCCCTGTCGATGCCGCCAAGAGCCTCGACCCCCTCCTCAAGGTTGCCCTCGACTCCGTCCCCGAAAAGCTCCAGGGCTGTGCCCCCATTGCCGTCAAGGCCACCGCCGGTCTGCGCATGATTGGCAACGAAGCCGCCGATGCCATCCTCAAGGAGGTCCGTAGGCACCTCGAGGTCGACTACCCCTTCCCCGTCGTATCTGAGGAGAACGATGGTGTCGTCATCATGCCCGGCTCCGAGGAGGGAGTTTACGCCTGGATCACCACAAATTATCTGCTCGGCAAGATTGGCGGCCCCGACCACAGCGAAACGGCTGCCGTCTTCGACCTCGGCGGCGGCTCCACCCAGATCGTCTTCGAGCCTACCTTCAAGGGAGCGGCCGACGGCGGCATGCCCGAGAAGCTGGCCGAGGGCGATCACAAGTACGAGCTCGACTTTGGCGGCCGCAAATTCGAACTGTACCAGCATTCCCACCTGGGCTACGGCCTCATGTCCGCCCGCAAGGCCATCCACCAGACCCTCGTCGCCGACGTTGCCGCCTCCAAGGGCGCTACCGATGACACCTGGATGTCCCAGCCCATCGTTCACCCCTGCTTCTCGGCTGGTATGTCGAGCGAGATCGACGTGGAGTATGACGGCAAGAACCGCAAGTTCAGCTTCGTCGGCCCCTCTTCCTCGTCGTCGGCCCAGTGCCGCAACCTGGCCGAGAAGATCCTCCAGAAGGAAGCCGCCTGCGAGCTGGCCCCTTGCTCCTTCAACGGTGTCCACCAGCCCTCGCTCGCAAAGACCTTCTCCCACGCGGACGTTTACATCTTCTCCTACTTCTACGACCGCACAAAGGTCATCGGCATGCCCGACTCCTTTACCCTCCGCGAGATGCATGATCTTGCCGGCACCGTCTGCCAGGGCAAGTCTGGCTGGGACGTCTTTAGCAACATCCCCGGAGCCATCGACGAGCTGGCCGACCGCCCTGAGCACTGCCTTGATCTCAACTTCATGCTGGCCCTGCTCCACACCGGCTACGAGATGCCCCTTGAGCGGGAGGTTAAGATTGCCAAGAAGATCAAGAACAATGAGCTTGGATGGTGTCTTGGTGCCAGGTACGTTTTTCTTCCTTTCCTTCGCCTAAGTGGAAACATGCTAACTTTTCCTTCACTCTCACAGTTTGCCTCTTCTCCAGACCAACTCGGGATGGAAGTGCAAGATTACCCAGACTCATTAAGAGAGGAAGCCCGATTCGGCTCCCGCACACGACCGTAGTGGATGTATGCACATGAATTTTTCTGTACTTTGTTTCTTTTTTGTGGGAAGAACGGAAAGGGAATGACAATGGGTGGTGGGATGCTTTACGCCAAGAGCTTACTGCTGGGAACGGACTGGGTTTGTTCCTCAAAGCAGGAGAATTCTCCTACCACGAGAGAAGAAGGCTGATACTAGTGAAGCCAGCAAGCTATTATTATAGACTATTATTAATACTATGTGACCAAAAAAAAACACACACAAGAAAGGAGGAATGGATGGTAAAGTAGCATCCGCCTAGAGTGTGAGATCTACAATGGCGCTGGAACCAGTCCCAGCACATCCTCGATAACCTCTTCTGGACCGACGTGGTGCAAGACGGACTCGACGGCCTCCACCCTACTCCCCCACTGCATGCTCCTCTCCTTTTCCGGAGGAGTGATGCGTATGCGGTGCTGATATACCTTTGCGGCGGCCAGGCCGACAAGGCCCGGCGTGACAAAGGTGAGACCGTGGAGAGGGGCGAGGCACCGTGACAAGAGTTCGAGGTGCTTTGTGGCGGCGGGGCTGATGCCGTCTGCTACGGCGCGGTGCATGCGCAGAAAGGAGATGACGTTGTTTTGGTAGCGTGTCACTTCGATGTCGGTGTTGACCTGGGATTGGAGGCGGTCGAGATGGTCAATGTCCTTGTCTGTGCGTCAGTCTCCGTCCTCCGGTGTATGTGGCGAAAGTTATTGCTGTTGAAACTCACACTTGGTGTTATGATTGCTTCTGCCTGCTGGACGTCCCAAACAGCAGGATTCGTCTTGACGACGCTCTCCGTGGTAGAAGCCGTATCGTCATCTCCTCTGCTGCTGCCGTAGCCATACTCGTCAACGTCGCCGTCGAGGTTGACTAGCCCCTCGTCCGGGTCGTGCCAGTGACTGAGAAAGAAGTGATCGTTCACGTGACGCGCTACATGGGCCTGCCCGCCGCTCTCTGCACCGAGAACGGGTATGAATAGGAACGGTTTGGGCACCGAGTATGCGGACGTGCGGGTGAGGATGCGCCCCAAACGGAGAAGTTCAAGGGCCTGGATTTGCACGGGTTGAGGGGCGCGGTCGAGATTGCGAACTAGCACTACGTTGGCTATCCGTGGAGACGAGGCGCCGCCGGCGGTGAAAGGAAACGACTGCTGCTGCTGCTGCTGCTCATTATGGCGTTCTCGGAGCGAAAAGTAGTCGGATGTGGTGTTGGGCCATGCTGTCGCCGTGGGGGTCTGTGCTGCGGCTTGCTGCGTGAGAAGACAGGAGGAGAAGCTGTCGAGGGTGGTGGATGAGTCGCAGTTTACGACGGCGCAGGGGAGACCGAACGTCTTGGTGGAGATCTGGCGAGAGTGTGTGTCAGTGTCGGGGATTCTGAATGAGAGAAGAGAGGAGAGGAGGGAGAAGGGGTCAATTACCAGCTGTAACTCTTGAACTAGATCGTCTAACACGTCGGGTAGAGTGCTGATGATGCAGTGTTGGCGGGCGGTGAAGCTGAGCAGGAGAGCTAGCTCGAGGTCGCTGAGTGAGTGAACCTTTTCGAGGAGGACAGTCTCATCATCCGTCATCGTAGAAGCCCACTGACCCTTCTGGGCCCATGAGCCGTCAGAGAGGATATAGTACAGAGAGGCTAATGGATTGTTGGGTGATGTCCCACTCTCCTCCCGTCTCCCCGTCTCCCCGTCTGGCGACCCTTGCGACGCTGCAGCTATTAAATATGCATCAAGCACGAATGCGTCACGTGGGGCTCTGCGTAGATAAGATAGCGGCGTCTTGCATGAGGCTAACCCCTAATAGGTTACCGCCTTCTCCTGGGCTTCTGCCTCGCCTTTCATATTACCGTCATTGATAGCGACCCAGAGAGCTTCCCGCCAGCCATCGCCTTCTTCCAACAACAAACAACACACTTTGTCCCTATACCGCTTTACCAACCGCTTGCGTCCACCACTTGTCGCAGCAGGACTGATAGACACCAAGCCACCACATTACTGTCCCCCATCTGATCTCCTGCAGGCGAGACCATCTGTTTCTTTCGACTGCCACCGAGCGAGAGCACGTCATTTGCATCACAACCACAGCAACTACAACCCAACATGTCTTCTAGGAAGAAGGTTCTTCTCAAGGTAGGGGACCTTTTGAATGATCTTCGCTTTCACTCTTCAGACGAATATGCTGACAAGAACGGCAATTATAGATCATCATCCTTGGTGACAGCGGTGTCGGCAAAACAAGCTTGATGAACCAATATGTGCGCATAACCCACCACCACTGGACTCCCCTCAAACGATAGGAAACAACCATCGAGCCTCTATCCCTCTGACCTCTACTATATACAGGTCAACAAAAAATTCAGTGCAAGCTACAAGGCCACGATCGGCGCCGACTTCCTGACGCGCGAGGTCATCATCGACGACAAGCAGGTTACCATGCAGGTATGCGACTGCTATGAAACAAGTACGACCTGGGGAACGGGATGCTGACGGTGTATTTCGACAGCTTTGGGACACGGCCGGCCAGGAGCGTTTCCAGTCGCTGGGTGTCGCTTTCTACCGCGGAGCCGACTGCTGCGTCCTGGTGTACGATGTCAACAACTCTAGGAGCTTTGAGGCCCTTGACAGCTGGCGCGACGAATTCCTCATCCAGGCCAACCCTCGTGACCCGCCCAACTTCCCCTTTGTAAGTCTTCCCAAAGAAAGAGCGGAGCCATTTTCTTCCATTACTCATCGTATAACAGGTCGTTCTTGGCAACAAGATTGACGTCGAGGAGAGCAAGCGTGTGGTAAGTTTATATGCAGCGGGGAATGTCCAATTTAGAGATGGGATACTGACGGACATGTAGATTTCCAACAAGCGTGCTATGACTTTTTGCCAGTCCAAGGGTGACATCCCGTACTTTGAGACGAGTGCCAAGGAGGCCATCAACATCGACCAAGCCTTTGAGGGTATGTGCTACTTGCTACACCTACGACTGACATGAATGTTCGTGTGCTGACCTGATGGAACAGTCATTGCCCGCAACGCTCTTGCCCAGGAAGAGTCGGAGGAGTTTAGCGGTGACTTTGACGACCCCATCAACATCCGCATCGACAACCCTAACGAGGGATGCTCGTGCTAAGTGAATTGCTAGTTATGTCGTGTCGTTCTGGAAAGTGCAGGATGATGGATGGGAAACGTTTCAAGGCGCGGTATACCCTTCACTGACGTGTCATGGTGACTGGTTGTATGTATTATGACACTGGCATGCTCTCTGCGGAGACGCTCTGCTCAGGAGCGTGCTTGGTGAGCGCAAGAATCTTGGTTGGCATCGTGCGGATGCAGTCCGGGACTGACTTCTTCAACCAGACTGAAAGGATGGATGTGGACATGGACTGATGATTCGTGGCAAGCAGGCTTTGTCTGGGACCGTCAAGGCTTGCATGGATGTCAAGCATTCTTTACCAGGTAGACCAAGGTGACTTCATAGACAATAATCCGTACTCTTGGATCTGTGATGTGTTTCAGGATCTGCGGTGAACTATTTTCCTGCAGTTGAAAGACAATCCACGTCTAAACTCAGCCATGCATATTGTGGGTTGAAGAATGCCTGTTAGAAGTAGGAGTATTTGTATTAGTACTCCCTGTGCCCCATAGTCCGTACAGTATTGATTAGCATCATGGCCCCTGATGCCTCGGTCAAGATCATGCGGGGGCCGAAGTGCCAGGGAGAGGGGGAAGGAACGGCCGCGGCAGGCTGCAGCTTCCCCAGGCGGATTCCCCCCACTGACTCGCCCGCTAGCACCGCAGTGTCCGCTAATAAGCTTCCTCCCCCAAAGTCGTCCAGATGCATATTACATACTGCCGACCTCGGTTCAACTCTTCCACGCCAGAACAGAAATCTGAAATCTCTCCACAACTTGAGCGGTCTATGTCTTCTTGTTTTCCTATTCTACCCAACCCATATTGTCCTAGTTTCGCTCGCCAGGATATTTTTTCCCCCCCGATCGTCTCTTTCGAAGGATACCCCGTTATTGAGACTTGCCCGCAGATAGCCGCGGCAGACCATTGCCCATCATGTCATCCAGGATCCCAGCCATCGTACGGCCAAGCTTTAATCCTCTTGTGAACCCTCCCACCGAGCGTTCGACTGCTGATAAATATACTGTGAATAGGTCTCCGACCGCGTGAGTGTTGCGGCCAAGAAGGCGATTGACGTGGTGGCAAAGTTTGTAGAGGAGGAATGCATCCCGTAAGCAGCGACCACCCCTATCCTATCGTCCCTGGTGGGTGTGCTGATATTATGAAAAGGGCGGACCCGGTTCTGGAGGCGCAGGTTGGCGAAGGTGATGACCGCTGGGAGACTCACCCACCCATCATCGAGGAGCTCAAGGCCAAGGCGCAGAAGCTCGGCCTGTGGAACATGTTCCTTCCCAAGGGCCACTACGCCGAGTCCCCTGGATGGACCAACCTCGAGTACGGCCTGATGGCGGAGTGGCTCGGCCGGTCGCGGTCGGCAAGCGAGGCATGCAACTGCGCGGCACCGGACACGGGCAACATGGAGGTTCTGGCCAAATACGGCAACGACCAGCAAAAGGCCCAGTGGCTGAAGCCGCTCATGGAGGGTCGCATCCGCTCCGCCTTCCTCATGACGGAGCCCGAGGTGGCCAGTTCCGACGCCACCAACATCCAGCTTAGCATCCGTCGCGAGGGCGGAGAGTACGTCCTGAACGGGTCCAAATGGTGGTCCAGCGGTGCTGGAGACCCTCGTTGCTCCATCTACATTGTCATGGGCAAGAGTGACCCAGATAATAAGGACAAGTACCGCCAGCAGTCGGTCGTTCTTGTTCCAGCTGATACACCGGGCATCAAGATTCACCGCATGCTTAAGGTTTACGGGTACGATGATGCACCCCATGGCCATGGTCACATTTCGTTTGACAATGTCCGTGTGCCTGTTGCGAACATGGTGCTCGGCGAGGGCAGGGGATTCGAAATTATCCAGGGTCGTCTTGGCCCAGGACGTATTCACCACGCTATGCGTACCATTGGATCGGTACGCCCTCTCCTTCTTCTTATGGAACACCTACAAGAACACGACATGTGACTAACAAGTACAGGCCGAACGCGCTCTGGACTGGATGCTGATGCGCGTAAACGACTCTCGCAAGACGCCTTTTGGTAAGAAGCTACGTGAGCACGGCGTCATCCTCGAGTGGATCGCCAGATCGCGTATCGAGATCGACTCGGCGCGCCTGGTGGTGCTCAACGCTGCCATCAAGATGGACGACCTGGGCCCTAAGCGTGCCCTCAAGGAGATTGCCGAGGCCAAAGTGCTGGTCCCCCAGATGGCACTGACCGTCATTGACCGGGCGGTGCAGTCGTTTGGCGGCGCAGGCGTGTGCCAGGACACACCTCTGGCGAATATGTGGGCGGGCATCCGGACACTGCGCCTGGCTGACGGACCGGACGAGGTTCACCTGCAGCAGATGGGACGCAACGAGAACCGGCGGGGCAAGGAGGCGACAGAGACAATACAGTGGCAAAAGGCCAAGACGGAGGATTTGATGAAGAAGCATGGAGTGTCGGCGGCCGAGCCGGGAACCAAGATTAGCAGGTCCAAGATTTGAAGGGATAAGGGGAAGTAAAAATAATGTTCCAAGATTGTAATGTAAATTATATGCTTGGGCATGAATAAAAAGTAGTATTGTAATTGCCAGCCTCCGGATACCAAGATGGGTATTGCAACTAGCACTCAAACAAAGCATCCGAATCCCCTGTGGTCTAGGTGTGTCGTGGAGTGGATGATGTGTCTCGCGTATCGCCCCGGAGACTTTCTTCCCAATTACTGACCAACACTTTGCAGCGCATACGGGTTCATATTCAGTTGCTGGTAAGAAATGGAGAACCAAGGGAGCATTGATCATGATTCCCGTGAGCAATCCACAACAAAGTGCTAATACTACTCGCCTACATTCCACATTAGAGAGTGCTGCCTGTCATGGAACTCGTGCGTTGCCCCTCCAACAGCCTGATACCCTGCACGACCCACATAAGGCATAAGGAGGGAAAGTAAACAATTACATTTAGTGATTCACCACACGCTGCCGTGCGCTGTATGCTGTGAATTTTCCCAGAAACGTGGCAGGTGCGACCTAGATGAACGTCATTCCAGCCCACACAAACTTGCTGTTCACTTTTTTTTTTGTTTGTCTTTTCTACCCCCCCCCTCCTTTTTCAAAGAAAGCACGATTCATCCCTCTGTTTACTCTTCTTCTTTTCTTTCCTCTCACTACCACTACTCTCTCCCATAAACGCAAGCAAACAGACTTGCTATCAGCAAAGCGCAACAGTCCAACAACAGCAAAGCTTTCGACATGTCTTCCAAGATCCTCTCTGACAAGGATGTCAATGCCCCCATTGTGGGTGACGGCCACACCGCCGACGACAAGGATGTCAAGAGTATGGAGTACCATCGCCAAATGTTCCAGTCCAAGATGAGCGAGCCGTATGTTGTTTTTCTCACTTCTCGAAACGGTGTAGCATATGGCTATGTTATATATGCCTGCTCTCCTTTACTCTTTATTCTTTGATGCTGACACTTGTGATCAGGTCCCAGCAATACGTCTCGCCATCAGACAACATCATGAGTCCTTGCAGTGCCAAGATTAATGCTCTACGAAACAAGCATGTTATCAAGTATGTTTGCCTCTGTAGTCCAACTCTACCAGCCTCATCAAGTTAATCTCTTTTTCGTCAATAGAGCCAAGCCCAAGTCACTTTTTGCCCAGGCCAGTGCTAAGAAGCTCGGCGGTGAGAGCGCCCTCGGTGCTACGGTGCCTTCGAAGCCTTGAATGCCTCGATCTTGAAACCCTTTTTCGCCTTTCATTTGTATTTTCTCTCTTATTCTGCTCTTATGCCATGGCTTGTTTTCATGTTTTGTTTCAAAGAATTCTTCTTTTTCTTCTTCTTAGATGTACATGATATTGGGTGTTGGCGTTGGCGTGTATTGTACACTCTTGACGTCCCGTGCAATCGGAGGACAAGGAATTTCTTCTTTTGGTTTCAATGAAGTTCATTATCTTTCTCCAAACTGGTTATGAAGACACCAGCCTAAAGCACGTGCGGGGCCATTCTGGTACTTGATTTATTTTCCGGTTTTCTGTAATCCATCTACCCCGACGTCTAATTTATGCCTTCCATGCACTGACAATGTGGATGACATCCTCATCGCTAACCATATGGCTCAACCCCACCCTCTGGGGAATGTGACGTGCGCTTGCACCCCAGACGAGGGCGTATTTGAAGGTGTCCTTGAGGGTGCGGTGGATGCGGTCGCAGACGTCCTCGACAGAGCTATTGCTGCGGACGATGAGGGCCTCGGAGAAGTCGGGGTCGGCGCCCTTGCGCTTGGTGTAGATCCGGATAAGGCGCAGCTCGGTCCAGCAGCGGTCGACGACGTCCTGGATACCAAGGTCGAGCTCGCAGCTCATAACGGCCGTTGAGGGCTCGCGGGCCAGCTTGTCGAGGAAGTCGAGGGAGACGCTATCAATCTTGTTGTAGACGTACAGGCATTTAATGTACTTCCGGTGGTCCTTCATGATGACGTCGATGAAGTCGTCTATCGTCGCGTTCTCGTCGCGCACCAGAACTTCGCAGTTGAGGATCTTGTAGTCGCGCAGGACAGCCGAGAGCATCCGCTCGTCGACGTTTTTGGGGGGGGACTGAAAGGTGATTTTCATGCCACCTGCCTTTTTGACCTTGAGGTAGATGTTTCTAGATGTTCAAAGATTCAACTCAGTCATCGCTGCTGTTGTGCCAAGCTGCAGACATTGTCGAGAGAGATGTGAGAGCGGGGAGGAGGGAGGGAGCGATGGAGAGAACATACGGCGGCTCGCGATTCAATCGGATACCAACGGATTCCAATTCAGCCTCCAGTAGGGCCCTCTGCTCAGCACGCTTTGTGGCATCCAGGACCATGAGGATCAAGTCGCTCGTCTTAGCCGCCGAGATGACCTGTCGCCCACGGCCCTTGCCCTCGGCGGCACCCTCGATGATACCAGGGAGATCTAGGAGCTGGATCTCGGCGCCGCCGTACTCGAGAACACCGGGGATGGCGGTAAGAGTGGTGAAGGCATACGAGGCCACTTCGGATCGCGTCTTGGTCACCTTAGACAGGAAGGTAGATTTACCGACTGAGGGAAAGCCCACGAGGGCTATGCGCGCATCGCCACTCTTGCTGACGTCGAAGCCTGAGCCGCCCGCACCACCGGAGCCGGGGCCGGGCTCGAGCAGCTGGGCGCGTAGACGGGCGAGTTTTCTGCGAGAGGAGCCTTAGTATCTTGATGGCTCGTGTTTTGGGTGTCGGGTTGTATAACGTACCCTTTCAGTAGACCCAGATGATATTCTGGAGAGTGGTTAGCTGCGAGTCGCTGCTGGGCGTTGACTTAGTGCAGACGTACCTGTGGCCTTGTTCTCTGTACAGGTAGTCAGCAGACAGTTCTCATACTATAGGCAAGCATTGTATGGACAAGTGATATCATGGTGAGTTATCGTATGGGCTGTGTTGTTATGTAAGATAGTTAATGCTGCTTTCCGTGCTACGCCAAGGCAGCGAAGTGTACCACAGCATGCCATTTGGCGCCAATCAAGGAGTCCTCGAGGGACAAGCAGGACGTTGAATAGACGATAATGGTTCGGAGGTATTAGTGAGAGCCATTACTTACTCTGAGTCCTCCTCATCTCATCTTCGATCCTGGTTAGTGGTGAGAGCAGTTAGCAGGGTTCCATCGTCGTATGAATCGAGCGAGTGGGCGAGGAGCGGCATATCATACTCTTTGATCTTGTCTGTAATGTTGACCATCTTGACGGCTAGCTACAAGACCGTAGCGGGTACAGCGATAATTCAGAGGATGATTCCGCGGCGCTCAAATGTTCCAGAATAGTTTGCGGATATATATATATATATAATTAAAAAAAAAAAAGACTTTCAGAACTCAAACGTGGGGTGAGGCACCTGCGATGGCAACTCCAGGCTACGGCAGAATGGCGCTTGGTGGGGGGGGGGGGGTCGGCACGTATCTATATGTGTTGACCGCCTTCTGTTTCTGGACAAGGGAAAAATGTCTGTACTCGTATTTCTTTTTGTCGAGCTTAGTATTATGATTGCCAGGATAGATGAGCAGAACTCAGGTAATTTCGTCAATATACAATCTATACGCACGAAATCAACCGTCTAAAACACTCCGTCTTGGTAAGTAACAATCATTATGTTAAACTACTTTCCATGCTACTACTACACTCCCTCGATAAAGCCATGAGCTGCTCTTCCGTCGCCACAACTCTCTAATGCTGACTAAGATCCGTGAATCTAGCACATGGGGCGCGCGCATCTAGGCGTAACGCAGGAAGACGGCAGCTAGAACTCTTTTGACAAAACCATCCCAAACAACTTCCTTCTCTTCCCACATACGTGGCACCCCCGACAAAACCGACAGAACCGACGCCATGGCCGATACAGAGGAGCAGATAGCCGTCGGGTCGGCGGATGCACCCGCACCTGCACCTGCTACCGAGCAGTCAGAGATCCAGCAGGACGACGACAGCGGCAACAACAACATGGCCGTCGCGACAACAAGCAACAGCAATGAGGTGGCAGCCCCGACAGGCAAGAAGATTAAAAAGGTTATCCGCAAGAAGAAGCGCCCGGCGCGCGTGCAGATGGATCCGGACGAAATCAGCTCGGAACCGCCTCCTCAGACGGGAACGATCTTCAACATCTGGTACAACAAGTGGTCCGGCGGCGACCGCGAGGACAAATACCTGTCCAAGACGCACGCTAAGGGCCGCTGCAATATTGCCCTGGACAGCGGCTATACCAAGGCCGACCAGGTACCGGGCTCGTACTTCTGCGTGCACTTTGCGCGCGGGATATGCGTCAAGGGCCAGGACTGCGACTATCTGCACCGCCTCCCCGGGACCTTTGACCTCTTCAGCCCCAATGTCGACTGCTTCGGGCGTGACAAGTTCTCCGACTACCGCGACGACATGGGCGGCGTGGGAAGCTTCATGCGACAGAACAGGACAATCTATGTTGGCCGGATACACGTCACCGACGACATTGAGGAGACTGTCGCCCGTCACTTTGCCGAGTGGGGGCCAGTCGAGCGTGGTGAGTCTCTTTCCTCTTGTTCCCCTCTGCCATCCCGTCTCATTTGATCGTGGCACAAACTAACGCAGTCCCAGTCCGCGTCCTCAACAACCGAGGCGTCGCCTTCATCACATACACCAACGAGGCCAACGCCCAGTTCGCCCGCGAAGCCATGTCCCACCAGTCATTAGACCACGACGAGGTGCTCAACGTCCGCTGGGCCACGGCCGACCCCAACCCCATGGCACAAGCCCGCGAGGCCCGCAAGGTCGAGGAGCAGGCTGCCGAGGCCATCCGCCGAGCCCTCCCCGCCGAGTTCATCGCCGAGCTGGAGGGTAAGGACCCCGAGGCCCGCAAGAGGAGGAAGATGGAGAGCAGCTACGGCCTCGAGGGCTACGAGGCCCCCGATGATATACACTACTCCCGCGGCGCGAATGCTGTCAATCCTGTTGGTCGACGGGGATTTGAGGTCGAGTACCAGCAATCAGCTATGATTGAGAACGGACAGGCATCAGAGGAGGTACCAGGGAGAGATGGGCAGGCACCAGCGCAGCAAGGGTCGGTTGGCGGTGGCGGCATCTTCTCAAGCAGCACCCTCGCAGCACTGAGCAAGTCGAGGGTGACGGTAGCATCGAAACAAAAGACTGCGGCTGCAGCAGGTCCCCTTGTAGCATATGACAGCGACGATGACGACGAATAGGGCGTTCCTGTACCATGTTTCCTTCTTTTCTCTGTCAGCCCACCATCAACTGTACCACACATACGCGCGGGAAAGCCGTCCATGTAAACACCATAATATACAAATGCCAAATCGAGTATTAGAGCAGATCAACTATTAAATATCCTCGAGTAAAGAAGCTCGTGCCTGCCAATCCACAGATCCAGCACGGGCACCGTCTGCCCAGCCTCCTCAACGGGCGTAAACCACTCCCTCTCGATGACGACGTCAATCATGCGCTGCACCTGCTCGCCCGCCAGCACCTTCTGGGCCTGATACGGGCCAAACATACTGGCCCGCACGGCCGCCGACAAGAGAGCCTTGACGTGGCCCAACACAAAGATATAAGCCGTCTGTCTGAGGCCGAGGCCCAGCACGCGGCACAGGGCGCCGAATAGCGGCGCGAGGTGGGCCGACGCAGCGGGGAGCAGCAGCAAGGTCTCGTCATCGGCCCCCCCCCCGTCTCTCCTGTCGGCAGCGGAGGACGAAGAGGCACTCCGCAGCAGGGCAGAAAAGTCGCGCAGCGTATCAGCCCACTCTGCTGCTGAGCCCGAGACCGGCGTCATGGCCGTCGGCGACGATGACGACGAACGGAACGACCTCTCCCATATACTCAGGAGGGCACGACCCTGTGCCACGCTCGCCCTCCGTCCAACCGCACACATGATGGCCGCGTCGAGCTCGTCATCCAGGTCGGCCAGGCGAGTGGGGTCGCGGTGCGCAGCCAGGACGAAGGGCAGCGTCGTCGACGCGAGCGACGACACCGACGACGGGAGGAAGCTGGACATGCTGCCTGCTGCGCGGCCTGGGACGCCGCCGCGGCTGTGAGCCAGGTACGATTCTAGGCCGCTGCTGAAGGCGAAGGAGCCTAGGGGGAGGGCTGAGTCGGAGAGGAGGAGGAGGAAGTGGGTTGGGGAACCGAGGGAGTCTTTTTCAATCGGGTCAACATTTCATCTTTATTTCGAATCATCTTTTTTTTTTGCCTTCTGTTTTCTCTTGTTTTTTTTTTCTCTTTGCGTGTGTTCATCTAAGTGCATGAGATTTGTGGTGGTTAAGCGTACCAGGAATGTCATGGTGCTTGACTGTGCTGGCATCCAACGACTTTAATCGTGCTCGTGCCTCTTTCAGACGAGACTGTAGTTGATCAATCTCATCTTGCAAGTCGGCTGCTTCTGATGCCATGACGAGCCATGGGATTTTACGTCGTAGGAGCGTTGAAAGATTTGAAAGGTTTGAGGCTGCACGAGGAGAAGGGCGCGGAAAGAGGGTACGGAGTAGATAAGATGCGATAGCGTGGTTCGCGTACGGATACTTAGTACATATTAGTTTGCGAATCATCCTGGTGATTCATCCGGTGAATCTACCTATGCAGATGCGATGACCAATACGAAAAAGACGGAAGAAGAAGAAGAAAAAGAAGAACGTAGTAATCATACCAATAAAAGTGAAGATGAGAAGAAGAAAACGCCCTTGTCCCATGATACATTGAAATCCATAACACCTCGCTAAAATTACATTCAACACTTGTCGCACCCAAATCAGGGCTGGACATTCTCCTTGTCCAGCACACCTCGCGACCTCTCCAGCTTCTTCTCATGCCTCTTCTGTGCTAGTCTAGCCATAGCTGCTGCGCGTCTCTCAGGGGGGAGTCTGCTCTTTGCAGAGGCTGAGGCGGTAGGAGCATTGTCAAGAGAAGCGGCTAGAGGAGCAGCGGCAGCCGCCTCAGTTTGACGCAGGTGGGCCCCGCGGATCGGGGACTGGTGTCGTTGCGGGCTCCTGGCCTCCAACTGAATGTCATGATCGGTGACCTTGTTGCGGGAGAGCGACTCGGCGAGGACAGAGAGGTCGCCTACATCTTTGGGTATCGGCGCTGCTGCCCTTGAGGGAGAGTCGTATGCTCGCACGACAGGGGATCGCGGGGTAGAAGACAGGGCAGGCCTGCTGAAACGTGGCCGATCGCCGCCAAGGGCGCCAGACATGACATTTGTGTCTCCGGGTTCGGGAACGGCAGATGTGTTGGTCGCGTCGTCGTGGAACTTGTCGCGGAGACTCGTCGATCTACCCTTGCTACCGTGAAGACGCGTGCTCGACGGCCTGGGGAGTGGTGCCGCATCTTCGTGGAGGGGCTGCGGTTCGGCATTGTTGTCTTGTTCCCTGTCCCGTTGATGGTGCCTGTCGAATCCAAAAGTCGTCTTGAGCGTCCTAACCTCCTTCCTGAGATCGGCAATCTTGGCGTGCGCCCTCGCGAGGACCTGGTTTGCCTCCTCACTGCGGGCCTGGCTTTCCTTGCGGAAGATCTCGAATTCCCTCTGCAAGGCCTGCATTTCCTCGTCCTTCTTCCTCGACTGCTCCCTGGCCTCGCGTAGCTGGGCCCTCAGGTCCCTGGATCTATCCGTCTCGATTACCTCGGATTTTGCACCGACCTCTGCCTTGGCGGCGCGCTTCTCGGCAGCTCGGAGTTGTTGCTTTAGGTTGGCCACTTGGTCGCGTAGGCTGTTGACCTCTTTCACCTGTGACCTAGCCTTGCGCAGCTCGCGCTGGACGTCCTGCAGCGTCTTTTGCGTGCGCGGCGAGGCCGCCGACAGGACCTGGCGTCGCCCGCCGCTGCCTCTGTTGTCTGACGCTGTGCTATGTCTGTCCTCGAGGAAAGCCTCGAGCTGGTCCTCCAGGTCCTCGACACGTTGGCGGTACTGCACAGCCAGGGCCGTCTGCTTGGTGAGTTTGGTCATTATTTCAGACTCAGCCGCCCCCTCAGACGAAGTGCTGCCATGTCGTGCCAAAATGTCGGAGGCGTTCTCGGCGATTTTCTTCTCCATCTTGATAACCTTTTGCTGCTCCTCCTTAAGCTTCTCGGCCAGCTCGATGGCCTCAAAGTCCTTTTGCTGAGCGTAGGATTTTGCCAGCTGCTTATACTTGAGCAGTTTCTCAAGCTCAGACTTGGCGTCATTGTGGTACTTTTCGTATTCCTGCTTCCAGTACCGCCCAGACTCCGAGTGCGGCTCGTTGAGGTCGAGAGTCATATCGTGACTACCGCTGTCATTGTCTTGGTCGTCGTCATCCTCTTCCCACTCGTCATCGGACGCATCGCGTTTAGACCTGGCGGTCATCCTGCTAGCCGCCGTCTTGTTCTGCTGCGCCTTCTCGAGGGCTCGGTTCAGGCGCGTTCGTTTGTGAGGCTCGTCGTCCTTGCTGCTCATCGACTCTTTTGAGCTGTTCGCATTGCGCCCGACATCGCGACCAAATGAGACGCGCTTCTGTTTCGCGGCACCAGTACCGGGAGTTAGGAGAATGCCCTGAGGTTTTGGTTCCGGTGTTTGTGATGACGAGTTATTCGAAGAGGCTGCTGTTGTCTTAGAGACTCGTGAATTGCGGGGTGTTCCGAACAAGACGCTCTTGAAGGCGCGCGCGGCGAAGACGGGTGCAGGCGTATCGGGCATATCGACTTGTGTAGTATCTAATGGTTTGAAATATGTCAGTACGTGATTCTCTAAGCGTGATAGCTTGGGGATATGCGCACCACCAGCATCGGCGACGTCAGGCGCGTTGTCGCCGCGGTTCAACATCCAGCCCAGCATGGCTGGACGGACCTGTCTGTCGTCTCCGGGAATGAAGATAGAAGGGAACAGGGAAGGAAAAGAAGGTCCTCAAGAGCCGTGTCGTATCAAAGCTCCTGGACCCATGTACAGTATTTCTCAGCTTTGCCTGTTGTATCGGCAAACACGTAGTGGATGCAGCCGTGGCGATGATGCGTGTTTGGTTTGTTTACTTTGAGTGGAGAGAGCAGAGTAACATGAGCGACAATCGGCTAAGGAAAAAAAACAGCGGTGGCGCCTCAATTGGCCGGTTAGGTATAGATGCAGCCTGCGGGTATCAAAAACTGGCGTTGTTTATAGTGAGGTTGCCTGAATTTGACCAGTAAAAGTCGGAGTTTGGCATCCGACAGCGTCCTTTTTGGTCTTTAGCGCCTGGATCGGGAACGTCTAGTGGAAGGGTGAGTGGCTGTAGATGTGGCGGTGCGGCATCTCTTACTGATACCTGGCTTCCTTTGGTGGGTCTCAGCCCTGTATACTCCCAACTCTAGGGGACGTCACCCCTTAGATAGCCAAGAAAACACCCCCCCCCCCCCCGGGCCCTCCGCAACATGAATTGGACCATGCACCTCAACCTGGATTACTGTACTTATGACTTAGCTGCCCCACCATCGCCAGCTCATACTTTATGACAGCTACTGCCTTCTTTCCATCCTACCTTCCTTCTTCTTTCCTCCCAACCCTCACACAAGAACCTTTTTATCGCCATTTTTTCAATTCCAAGATGAACTCTCGTCAATAAAGCGCCACGGCTTCTGCTGTGGCACTTTGTTTCAACCCGCGCAATCATGGCCTGGAACGCTTCTGGGACTTGGAACACGCCGACGAGCAAAGACATAGACCCCAATGATGCAAGTTTCCCTGGTCTCGGACCAGAGACCCTCAACGCTTTCAACAAGACCGACCACACCGAAGTCCAGGAGAACGAGCTGGTTGCGCTCGAAGCCATCTATGGCGATGACTTTGTTAATCATACCGGCGAACAGACTGCTTGGAAGGTGAGTCACCTCTTCCTCTCTCGACTCACCACCCCCGGACACCGCTACTCAGTAATACTCATGCGTGGCCCCCCCCTTTTAACACAGAAAACGGAGCCTACCTTTGATATACGTATCAAGGCCTCCATTGATCCTGACTTCTCCGTAACCATGGGGTTTGTCATGAATGCCACTTACCCCAAAACACCTCCCGTCCTCACTCTCAAACACCAAGCCCACCTTCGTGAAGTCACCCAGTTCAAAATACAGAAATTTATCGAGAACCAGCCCAGAATCTTCGCCAAGGATGAAGAGGAAATGGTCTACAAGATTGTCGAGGGTGTCCGAGAGATATTGGAGGATGCCGCCCAGACCAAGGCCGATGGTCGGAACCTCCCGTCTCTCGAAGAGGAGCGTGAACGTCATGAGGCTCTGCTAGCCAAGGCTGCTCAGGAGCAGAAGGAGAAGGACGAGCGAGAAAGAGCAGAGCAGAGCAAGGTGGAAGAGCGCATGATGGCGGCTATGTTACGCCAAGAACTCGACCGCCAGGAACAGAGCGCCAAAGAGTCTAGGAGCAGTCGTCAGGCCGGCGGTCCCGAGACCCAGCCCTCCCGCAACTCGGCCGCCGACTTCGAGGCACTCGAATTTGACCAATTATGCACAATCACGGACAGGGCTGGAAACCCCGTCTCATTCAGAGCCGTCACGGGCAAGTACGATTCTCGGCAGGGCCCGGTCTCAGCCGTCTACACGGTTCGGCCTGTTCTATCTAACGGTCAGGGAACCCAGACCTTGGCTCTCAAGGAAGCAACTCTGCGTCCGAGCGGAAAGGAGGCCAAAGAATTCAAGAAACATATCCAAGTCCTCGAAGGCAAGCTTCAAGATCTCAAGCACATCAGGGGCCTATCTCACCGCCACCTAAATGATGTTCTCGATTTCAAGGTTGAGAGCTGCTCGCCGGCCGACTCATCAGCGCTCAACTGCTGGCGCGTCAGCATTCTCATGCCACTCTCCGACAAGGGCTCGTTGGAGGAACTTCTCGACTTGGCCGGCCACCTCGAAATTGGAAAAGTTCGTTCCTGGACACGCGACCTGCTGGACGGCCTCAACTTCATCCACAACAGGAACATATCCCATGGAGATATACACTCGGGCAACATCATGCTGTTCCGTGACCTTACTGGCGAGATCGTCCCCAAGATATCCGACATTTCTTACCAGCGAGAGCTGCACAACTTTTTCTCTCCAGAGCACGGACCGCCCGGTCTGAACTCTGCCAAATCGGCCTACTGGCTTGCCCCAGAGGTTTCCGGGGCCACAAAGCCACTGTACTCGTATAAGACGGATATCTGGGATTTTGGCGTGGTCTTTGTACAGATGGTCTTTGGGCTACATATCGAGCAGAAATACACGTCCCCCAAAAATTTGATGGAGTCACTATCCCTCTCGCACCCTCTCCATGAACTTGTAAGTAGGTACTTCAAGGAGGACAAGAACAAGAGACCCCGCGCTTTCGAGCTGGGATCCAGTGAGTTTCTGGCCACAGATGCACCTGTCTTTCAAGAGGACCCGCCCTCTATCGCCTCAGGAGCGTACCCGATGGGCACGCTTCAACCGATGCCAGCTAGACTTAGACGCGAGTCCATGACACGAGGCGCCGCCGTATCCTCTCGATATGCCGAGGACTTTGTGGAGGAAGGCAGACTCGGAAAGGGTGGGTTTGGCGAGGTCGTCAAGGCGAGGAAGAAGCTCGACGGACAGATATATGCCATCAAGAAGATCTCTCAACGGTCCCAAGCGAGTCTCACTGAGATTCTCAAGGAGGTGAGGCTTCTGTCTCAGCTGAGCCATCCAGCCGTCGTGAGGTACTACAATACGTGGGTGGAGGAAATCCCAGACGTAGGCGGTAGCGACATGGACACATCGATTGAGGAGGAAACCGGCGATACGAGGGAGACAGAGTCTGCCGACATCCAGTTCCGTACTAGCACAACGGGTGGCCTCGATTTCATATCATCTAACCCCATCATCGAGTTCGGCTACGACGACGAAGAGGAAGACGACGAGCTAGACTCCCAGGAAGAGGACACCAGTTCCGACGACGACGCGACCGACGAGCAGTCTTCCTCCCCGGTCAAGGAGCGGAGTAAGAGTATGCTTCTTCGTTGGGCCAAGTTCCAGCGACCATACCGAACTGTCCTGTACATCTCCATGGAGTACTGTGAGAAGCGGGTACGTACCACGCACCATCTCACCACTGTCCAGTTACACTTCTGACTTGATTAGACAATGCGAGATCTGATAAACCGAAACCTGTACAAGAATACGCAGGAGATATGGCGTCTCTTCCGCCAGATCCTCGAAGGTCTCGCCCACATTCACAGCCTGAGTATCGTCCACCGCGATCTGAAGCCCGAGAATATATTCATCAGCAGCGGCGCGGATGGCGTAGATAATGTCAAGATTGGTGATTTCGGACTGGCGACCAGTGGACAATTCTCCGTTGATAGAGCCAACGTGAACACAGTCGACGCGGACGACCTTACCAAGAGCATCGGCACCGCTTCCTATTCTGCGCCGGAAGTGAGGTCAGCGGGCAATGGAGTTTACAGCACCAAGGTCGATATGTACTCGCTCGGCATCATATTCTTCGAGATGTGCTACCTTCCTATGGTGGGCATGCAAAAGGCCGATGTCATCACACAGCTGCGCCGTACCTCGCCGGTCCTCCCCTCAGACTTCCGCCCAGCAGCTAAGGAGCAGAGCGAGATCGTCTTGTCTCTTGTCAGCCATAACCCGGGAGAGAGACCGTCATGCAGTGATCTTTTGAAGAGCGGGAAACTGCCGGTCCAGATGGAGAGCGAGACGATCCGGCGAACCTTGGCGGGCCTGGCCGATCCCAGCTCTCAGTACTACCGCAAGATGCTCTCGACACTCTTCTCGCGACCAGTGGAGCCCACCAAAGACTTTGCGTGGGACCTGTCGGCGACATATCCCACCTCTGCAGAGCTTCTCAATCAGGGAATCATCAAGGAGAATCTCGTGTCCATCTTTCGCCGCCACGGTGCCCTCGAGGTACCCCGAGGCTCCATATACCCGCGGTCCTCGCACTACGGGGACAATGTCGTGCAACTCCTGGATCAGAACGGGACAGTTTTGCAGCTCCCCTATGACCTGACGATGGGCAATGCCCGGATGATGGCCAAATCATCGAGCAACCCACCTGTCCAGAAGACGTTTACGTTTGGGAGCGTATTCCGCGACAAGCAGGACACTGGCCATCCGCAAATGTTTGGCGAGGTGGACTTTGATATTGTCACGGTCGACACGCTGGACCTGGCACTTAAGGAGGCCGAGGTTCTCAAAGTCATTGACGAAATTGTCCTCTCGCTACCGTCCCTGTCATCTTGCCAGATGTGCTTCCAAGTGGGCCACTCTGACCTGCTCCACATCATCTTTGAATTCTGCGGCGTTGAGCCGGCATGCCGCAGGGCCGCAGCCGACGTGCTCAGCAAGCTCAACATCCACGGCTACTCGTGGCCCAAGATCCGAACGGAGCTGCGGTCAGCCGACATTGGCATCTCGGCGACCAGCGTGGACGAACTCCAGCGCTTCGACTTCAGAGACACGCCCAACAAGGCCTTCTCCAAACTCAAAACGCTGTTTGAGGGCAGCGACATGTACCAGAGGGCATCGTCGACGATTGCGCATCTCAAGGAAGTGTCCGAATACACCAAACGGCTGGACGTCAGGACCAAGTTCTACATCAACCCACTCAGCAGTCTGAAGGAAAGCTTCTACATTGGCGGCATACTTTTTTCGTGCCTCCACGACAAAAAGATGAAGGACGTGTTTGCCGCGGGTGGCCGCTACGACCACCTTATCAAGGAGCAGCGGCTCAGGACCGGTGGGCAGATACACGAGAGGCACGCGGTGGGATTCAGCCTGGCATGGGAACGCCTGGCGAGGATACCAAAGAATGGGGCTAAGCCGTCTCTTAAGAGGAGCGAGGATGAAGCATTCGGCATATTTTCGACCAAGAGGGTGAGTCCCGCCTCCAGCCTGCAATTGGGCTTTTTTTTCCAAGTTTCTTTTTCTTCTTCCTCTTTCTCCTCTCGTTTCATGGTATACGGTGTACGCAAGTGATACTTCGGCTTACACTCTGACAGTGCGACGCGCTGGTGGCAAGCTTCGACCCCGCCATCCTGCGATCCGAGGGCATCAGCATCCTGCAGACGCTGTGGGCTCACGGCGTCAGCGCGGAGCTGGCCAAGGACGCCCGGTCGCCGGAAGACCTGATGACGAAACACCGGGACGACTCGTACTCGTGGATCATTGTCATCAAGCAGGACTCCATGCTCAAGATCAAGACGGTAGGACGTAAGGACGTGCCGGATGTAGACATGCCGACAACGCGACTGATGTCGTGGCTCCGAGCGGAGATGCGCGAGCGAGAGTCCCGACTGCCAGCCAAGATCCGGACGGCAACAGAGCCGGGAAGCAGCGGCGGCAGCCTCGCAGGGCTGGCGGCAGGCAGCACGGGCGGAACGGGCGACGGTAGGCGCGAGCAGGACGTCAAGATATTAGTCGGGCAGACGCGCAGCAAGAAGTTCAACCGGCGGACAGTGGTGGAGCAGGCGCAGGTCAGAGCGGCCGGGCTGATGGGGACGTACCTGGAGGGCCCGATCCTGGCGGTGGAGACGATGAGCGACCAGGTGATGGAGGCGATTGAGCGTACGAAGCTGTCGGACGCTGAGTCGTGGCGCAAGGTCGAGCACTCTGTGACGACGTCGGAGAAGAAGTATGTGCGTGAGATTCACGAGCAGCTCGACCTGTGGAGGACGGAGTGGAATGCCGAAAGCGGGAGGACGAGACACTCGTTTCTGTATAACTTTAGGACGGGTTATTGCCTGCATTACGATCTGGCGGCATAGCTGCTGATGTTGCTGCCACTGCGACCTATAGAGCTGTAAAGAGCAGGGAAGCTGGAGAGCGGTGGCATATGTGGATCAAAGAAGGAGAAGAAGCATGGTAAGGATGCAGATGTATGGATGGCATAGAAATGACCGGGATGAGTATGCGAGAGATCCTGTTCAGCTAACGAGCATCTGCCATTGTCAAGGTATTCAAGGTTGTAGTATATTATACAATTGACGTTTTATCAATGTTTGAAAGAATTGCGATTCGGGGACAGACACAGGGTAACCGAAGGTTGAATGATTTGCGTGAGAAAGAAAAACCGGCGCTACGTCATTTTCTGTGGCGGGTGAGCATTTTTTCGTCCTCGTGTCAAGGTTAGTTAGTCTTTGGGAGGAGGGGGCATTATCTGTTATCTCTTCAATTTTCATCTTGGTCTTTTACCTCTAAATTTTGTCTTTGTCAGTGCTTGATAGCACGGCATTATTGTATGATAATATCACGACGGATTTTTATCTTACTAGGGTTAAGGTGCGTGTGGCAACATACGATTCATGGCAGTTGGTGGGGGGAGAGGTTGGGTGTGTGGAGGGCCCAGGCGGGATGGTCATAGGAACAAGGTAATATCAGATAGAATCCCCCATGACCCCATGGGATGTGAGTATCATCATCATTATAGGTATGTACTCGTAATGATAATATGTTGAAGCGCTGCATTACAGCATACTGATATACTGCCCATCTCCTCGGTCCATGCTGATCACTGGTCACGCACGCTTGGAGATGCATGTGTAGATTTGGGCGTCTAACTCGGTTATCAGTAGGTAGGACGATGCTTCATTGCTGGCAGTGCTGATAGCAATACATGCCAATGAAAAGTAATAATTAGCGTATCGTCAAGGTGGGATTGGCACATTGCTGGAGTAATATCAATATATTAATAGCGGATAAGAATAGCCTCTGTAGACGGTCACTCGTATATCTTTGCAATGCCAGTAATGACGAACGATGATGACCTTACCATGACATGCATGACCTGAACATCAACATACAGATTTACCTCGACTGCCTGCAACAAGCGTCCAACAACACACGTCTCAGAATGAGCAAGGAGAAGCAAGACTAAACCCAACTGGTATTCTAATACTATCATTACCGCCATCGAACCATTAAATACGTACAGCAGTACTCCGTAATACTGTAATCTGTAGTGGTGATAAAATAATAGTACTAGCAGCAGAGATAATACCTGGTAGTATAGTAAGTAGTACGGAGTATCGTTACTACTATTACTACTATTACCGTGACTATTACTACGGAGTACTAGAGTATTACTAGGGGGGGAAAAAAACCGAGTATTGATACCGTTAACTGCACTACACGTAACTAATACTCTGACCAGACAGCCTGATCTAATGCCCCTCGGGCCTCTCCCGAGACCGCCATTCTTATCCTGCCTTCTCCCCTCCCCCGAAAGCACCACTTTCCCCCTTGACACCACAACCAACAGCCAACAGCCTGTCTTCCTCACCCTCCTCCAAACCCTTACATTCTCTCGGTCGACACTGCAGACGACATTGACATTGACCGGAACCCAGGGACTGGTGGCATCTTCTCTTCTTCCTCTCTTTCCTCCTCCCTCCTCAGTCTCGTCATCTCTGCATCCCCCTCGAGCCATGGCTCTCAAGAGGCTCACCCAGGAACTGACTCCGCTCGGCAAGGAGAAGTGGGTTGATATCGAGGTGAGATGATGGACATCTTCCACTTCCCGAGGGATCCTTGCCGGTATACCCGTGTACTGACAGACGTCCCCGGCCCCGCCGTACCAGCCCGACGAGGCCAACATGCTCAGGTGGAAACTTGGCCTCTGGGTCGTCAACCCGGACAGCGTCTGGCACGGAGCCTACCTCAGAGTGAGTAACATGACATGCCCACCGATGACGATGCGCGCACGCACGCAGAGGAGACCCCGTCTGACAGTCCTCTCACCCGCCCGCCCAGGCCGAGATGCGATTCCCCAACGACTACCCCTACCAGCCGCCGGCATTCCGCTTCCTGACCAAGAACATCTGCCATCCCAACGTCTACCCCGACGGCAACCTCTGCATCTCGATCCTCCACAAGCCGGGCGACGACGTGCAGTCGGGAGAGCTGGCCAGCGAGCGGTGGAACGTGCTCCACGGCGTCGAGTCCGTGCTCCGATCCGTCCTCCTCCTGCTCGACGACCCGGAGATCAACTCACCCGCCAACGTCGACGCCGGCGTCATGTACCGCGACCAGAGGGCCCGGTACGACGAGCTGGCCAAGGCCACCGTCGCCAAGTCCCAGAGGGACGTGCCCGCCGGGAATAGGATGCCTACGGTCGAGGAGCTCACGCCCGCACCTGTCAAGTCTGCCGACGACGACGACGACTTCTGGAACATATCGGACGAGGACGACGACTTTGGCGGCAGCGACTCCGACATGGATGATTTCGAGGAGGAGGACGACGAGGACGACGATGACGATAAGAGCCAATGAATGATCCACAACCACACACACAAACACGCACACACACATACATACACACGCATACATACACACACACACACACACTCTCTCTCTCTCTCTCTCTCTCTCTCTCTCCCTCCTCCTCCTTCTGCTATTCTTTATTCTTTACAACTTCACATTGGGACAGACAGGATTGGATCGCGACTTGTCCTACCCGATACATCCTGTACTTAGAACCTGCTGCATATTAGCGGACGGCGCTTATCACTTTTACGCTTGGGGCTCCCCCTTCTCCCCCCTTTTCTCATGCTCCTACTGTCCATCTTCGTGTTGGAGACGTCTGATAGCATCGATGTACATGGTGCATTGTCGACACTTCTCGGGGACTTGGTCGGTGGAAGAAGGTCGATCTCGGTCTTCCGGAGTCGGTGGGTCGTGGGGCTTGATGTCTTCTCTTTCTTTTCTCTTCTTCTGTTTTTATACGAGTCTTCTTTTACTTCTCCCGGGTCGTGGTGCTTTCCCTTCTTCATCCATTTCAGTCCGATGTTCTACACAAGGGAACAGCTGCAGTTCTTTTCCTGTAGGCCCATGTCTCCATCTCTCTAGTTCGTGTCCAGGTCCATGTAGTGATACCCCCTTGACTGTGATGTTGGGCGGTAGTGGCGGTGCTGATACCGTGTGCGAGTACGAGCCTCGTGACTTCTTCTACGGCTGATGGTGGTGAGAAATACGCAAACGTACGTCATGCAGCAGCGCGTGTGGCCTGTGCTTGCCATCGGCTTCTTGGGACTGTGCCGACTGCAGATTACAGTTCAGCACCTCGGGTGTGTTCAGATGCGACTTGATCACAACTCCTGTATATAACCTAGTGGCGATCGTATCCGTGCCCTCACTCCCACAACCTACCGACTGTAACCTCCTCCCGTCTGAAGCTTGCTCTGGCCAAGTCCGTTCGGGGCATCGTCATCGAAGCCGGCTGCGATGTCGCCGGTCGCGCTGTGCTTATCTTATCAGCTACCCCAGCCGACGCTGAGAAGTACCGGCAGTGATCAGTGACCAGATGTCGTTATAAGTAGTCAGTACCAGTGGTCAGTACCGGTAGTCAGTACATGATACATGTAATGTCGAGGTGCACCTACAGGCTTACTACTGTACTATTCGCTCCGTAATATCATTTACTGTATTGATATCACTTGGGCGGCAACTACTCTGTACAGATCACAGATCACAAGTACCGTGATACTGACCGGGCACTGATGCAACACTTAATCACTGAGCTCACCCGCTAAAAGCGCCCACCTGCCAGCCCTTACGTCGTACCTACCCACCCATGATGCTCACCAGTTCTCCAGCCCTCCAGCTCCCGAGTCTCGCTACCTGAATCTTGCATCACAGACATCTGCCACCGCCCGTCTTTTTTTTTTTTTCTTTTCTTCTTTGCATTTCCTTTTTTTTCTACAAAGAGACGCTCTATTCCTCCCGTGTCTCTTATACCAACACCCATCATTTTTTTTGAATTTTTTTTTTTTTTGAATTCTCTTACATTTGGATTTTTATCTGAGACACGCGCGCGCCCACACCAGAGACCCTACCCAACCGACGAATCCCAGCGCAGCCGCCGTTCCTAGCTCCGAGCGGGGGAGAAGCAATCCTGCTCCGCGCATTCTTCTTCTGCTCCATCTCTCTGACTCTGGTGGCTGGAGACGGGGTGCTGACTTCTGGCGCGTGCGGGGAATTGAAAGCTGCAACTGCCACGGCGCCTCCCGGATCTGGCAACGATGTCGGACCCGAGCGAGGGTGACATTTCCTCCATTATAGAGATCACCGGTTACCATCCGGTTGACGATCGACAGCTGGTCATACAGGCGCTCAAGGTAAGCCGGCGAGTAGGGAGAGGGCGAGAGGAGATAGTGGAAGGAGGTGACAGCCATGCCGCCTTTGCTAACTGACATGGTCTGGACAGAGCAACTCTGGTTCTGTCGAGAATGCCATCAACGACTTCTTGAACGATGCCGATGGGGTGAATACATCCCCTCACCCCGCTCCGCCCCTCACGCGCATGCTTGCTTACGCCGAAACAGTTTCGAACGAAATACTCTACGAAATGGGACGAGTCGTTGTTCGCCGGCGATCGGGATGGGAAGCAGGACGAGCTGGCTAGGTGTATGCTGCGCAGCTAGCATTACTCCCCCCCCCCCGCGCCTAATGTCACACACCCCGTTTGCTGACACCATGCAGCTACTCACATCGAAGGGCCTGCTTCGAACCAGAGTCCGGTCATCTACGGCGTAGAACCGTCGCCTTATGCGGACGTCGGCGCACCGTCGAGGCCGCCTTCGAGGACGAAGGACCGCTCCCCGCTCGAGAGCATCACGGACTGGACCGTCTCCAACGCTGGTGGTATGATGCCCTGGGGATGGGAGAGGAAGGACACATGGATGGAATGAGGGTGGGGGAATCGGATGAGATGCTGACCTGTATGCACCGCAGTCCCCGGGTCGTACGCCCAGGAGGAGGAAGACGTACGGCGCGCCATCAGAGAATCTGCCCAAGAGGCCGGCTACTCTATCCCTGCCCAGGAGACGGGCGTCGTCAGCAGCTCGACCTCGGAGCCGCATTTCGGCCCCGCCAACCGCGACGATTACGATTCGGCGCAGTGGTCCATGGTGCCGACCTCCGCAGTCACCGCCATACCCAGCTCTCAGACACCGCCGCCTTCGTCGAGAAAGAGGCCCGAGGGGATACCGGCTCTCCTCACCGGACAGCCTGCTAGCTGGTATGGGCAGCACCGCCTGGGTGGCTTCCTGACAATTCTGCACGGCATACCCCTGGCTCGCAACCTACTCCTGCAGGGGGGCAGTCCTCCCTCGTCCTACGGCCACAACTCGCAGTGGTGGAATGGCCAGGAGATCCTGGCCCCGCACGTACTCTCCCAGACGGGTTCGGACGACATCGATACGGGCGGCGCAGTCGACGGCTCCTTTCAAGACACGCCCCAGGTGTCGGGCTTCGAGCATGAGATCCACCGCCTCATGGCGTTTCTGGACCTGACGGAGAGGAGCTACGGCTCTGCCAGCGTCTTGGCCACCAACGTAGGTTCGGCGGCCTCCGACATGGAGCGCCGATTCTACGAGATCTTTGGGGCGCGCAACACTGCCCAGGTGGCCCCATTCTACACCGTCGTCGTCATCACGAACCTCCAGGGCGCCAGCGACGAGGACTCGATGCAGGACTTTGGCCTCATCGATCTGCAGAACCTGAGGGCCGACTACGACAAGGTCAAGACGCTCTATGAGCTGATTGACTGCATCATGTGGAGCGACATGCTCAACTCGGACAGCCCCGACGAGACGACCCGCATGGCCATGTTCCGCGAGATGGGCGACATTCTGTCCATCAGCATGGGTGGCGACGGCCCCACCGACCGCATCGAGATACCAGAGGAGCTGTACCCGGAGCGGTGGCTCGAGAGCCGCAGGAGAGATGCCCTCAAGATACAAAAGGCCCTCCAGAAGGACAGGAAAGAGGCGGCCACGGCCAAGGACGCCAAGATGAAGCTGTTCAAGTTCCTCGACCCCGAGACGGCGCGCGAGCATGACAAGCGGGACGTTGCCGTGCGCACGAAGAAGGGGTTCGGAGCATACTGCGACTACCTGGAGGCGCGCGGTCGGTTCCGCACGGTGCAAGAGTCTGGGTTCGACGCCGACAAGTATCCGGATTACAGATCGGCGCCGTCGACCATGACAGAGGCAGAGTCCGAGCTGCACAGGACTCTGACAGAGGCGGTCAAGTTTGCGCAGAATTCACTGGATGAGGGGAACAGAAAGATGGAAGGTGAGCAGCTAATATATCTCCATACCTTGTCATATAAACCCCATCCCACATACCCTTGTACTTCTTTTCTCGAACAATGGAAGAGAAAAAAAAGAAAAAAAAAAAGAACGGCACACTGACGCCTAGATGTAGAACTCGACCAAAGATTAGAGCGCATCGAAGCCCACATCAAATTTCTGGGCCGCCTGCTCACCAACCCCAACAAGCCCGGAAGGCCAGAGCCGATGCGGTGCAAGAAGTATCTCCTGCAGGGCATCACGTCGTCGAGCGAGGTCACGTACATATGCAGGAGACCCAAGGCCCATCTGATAGAGCTGGATGATGCACCCGAGACTAGGGATCAGTGGTGGAGGTTGTCATTTACGGCTCAGGATAAGGAGCAGCCTGTCCACGCAGAGGTCAGCTATCTGGCCCCCCCCTCTTTTCTCTCTGCGCACTACCCGTCCCACCACGCTGACATTGCCTACTGTAGACACTGAACTTTGAAGAGGTCATGCAAAAGGTATGGAAGGAGACCAAGACTCCACTGCTGGTGTACGCATCAGAGAAGGCGATATACGCCGAACCGGCCCCTCTCAGCAGCTCGCTCGAGACGTTCGTCAAGGCGGACAATAAGGCATTCAGGCAGGAGCTAGTTCAGGAGTCTCTGGAACCTTCCCGCGTGGCATCGGGATCATCGGAAGACGCAGTCAGATCACCGCCTAAGAGGAAGCATCGATCCGACAGTATTGACTCCATGGCCACCAATCGAGCATCCGCGGGGAGTCAGGATGGGGACGCAGAACGGGAGAGCGCGGAAGACCCGTTCGTCGACAGCTGTGACAGCAAGGGCACGTCGAAAGCAGCACCGGGAAGACGGTCAGAAGCTGCCACCGTCGCATCGGCAGAGGTGGAGGTAACGACAGCAAGACCTGCACCGCCATCGCACGGTCCGCCACCCCTGCCGAAGAGACTGGAGTCGAAGGAGCCTGAGATGCAGGAGCGCGTCCAGATACCCATGCTGAATAGGTTCTTATCGGGAGACAAGGACGCTCACGGCGCCGGTGCATCCAAGGACATGGATCTCGGGGACGAGGACTAGTAGTGGTGATACTGCCAGGAGCAGCACCGTTAGATAGGCACATATCCATGATGTCTGTGCTTAGCATACCCAGGAGAAGTGGAGGACGGAGTCGGGGGTGGCGAGAAGGATACCAGCGGGCACGATGCATCTCTCGTCGATAGATTAATGCTGATCTACGTCGTGCACGTTGCTGCGTCTAAGGGGATGATTTAACACGGAAGGTTCTCGAGAGGATCTGTGTTGGTACAACACTCGCAAGCAACGATTTCAGCCACAACGGGATTGGCGATGTCACGCGGTACATGCACATGCTGTGGTAAGATCCTTTAGAAGTATAACTATAAAGACACCACGATACACAGAACAACAACACGTCTGACTATGCGGCATCACCCTTGTCAGTCTTGGTTTCCTCGTCGTACGCCTCGGTAGCCCTCTGTTCTGTGACGGTGACGTACGCCCGGAACTGCCTGGTAGGTACACGATTGATAAACAGCTCGTCCAATTCGGCATACGACCTCAGCCTGGTCTCGGGTACAAAGAAGAAGCCGAGGATGATGAAGAGGAACATGATAGCGCCGAAGACGAAGCCGATCTTGGCCTTGAGGTTTCCGTAGTCTGGGTTGAACATGTACGGCGAGACGAAGGACCAGAAGGTGTTGAAGGCGCTGGAGATGGATATGGCGACGGCGAGCGTCTTGGGCCGCAGGAGGGAGGTGGGGACCTCGCCGGCGATGGCGTACACGGTGGAACCGACGCCGACGTTGTAGAAGAAGTTGAACATTGTGTAGAAGCCCACGGAGGCGGTGACGGCGGCCCTGGTGGCGAAGATGCCCGACACGGCCATGCAGATGAGCAGGAGGCAGAGGCCGGCACAGCCGGCGATAAACATCGGCCGGCGGCCCCAGAAGTCGGAGACGAGGAGCGCGATGGCGGCGCCGGAGATGGACAGGACCTGCGCGCCTATCTGGAGGCGGAACGACTGCGCGTCGCTGTAGTCCAGGTACTGGTACATCAGGGCGCCGTAGTTGGACACGAAGCCCAGGCCTGACATCGGCTCGGCCAGGAAGACGAGAATGGCGATGAGTGTGCGGCGAAGGTTGGTGCCGCGGAAGCAGTCTGCATACGACGACGAATTTCGGGCTCCGCCGTTCTCGGCCTCGTCGAGCGTGAGCATGATGCGTCGGAGGTGGCCCTCTGCGTCCCGCGGGTCGGTGTACAGCCTCCGCAGAGAGTGGCGAGCGGTGTCGATCTTGCCCCTGGTGACGAGGTTCACGGGCGACTCGGGCATGAAGACGTGGCCGACGAGGGCGGCGCCGCCGAAGCCCCACTGAGCGGCTATGATGGCCTTCCAGGCCCAGGCCGTGTCCCAGGCGGCCGTGTAGTTTGCCATGACGGCGGCGAGGAGCGGACCGATGCACTGCGCCAGGTTGCAGAAGCCGATGAGGGTGGCGCGCGCGGCCAGCGGCGCCACGTCGGAGACGTAGCTCGTGCACACGGTCAGGAAGGCGCCTACGGCGACAACGTTGGCCATCTTGCCGCCAAAGTACATGCCCACCGACGTGGCCGCGAACTCGACGCCGACCGATGCGACGTTGAGGCACGCGAACCCGACCAGCGTCGTCCTGGTGCCCACCCGGTCGGCCAGGTACGAGCCCGCCCACGACCCGGCGATGCTGGCTCCCGACGCGCCCCCCGAAAGCGCGGACAGCCACCTGGTCGAGATGAAGTAGGCGCCCGACGGCGAGGACGCGTCCTGCTCGCCAAACTGTCTCTTGAAAGAGGGGATGCTCACCACCGACCCGGATGCTTGGCTCTCGAATCCGCGCACGATCAGCGTCCAGAGCATCACGCCGCACCAGAATAGGAGACGGGGGTCCTTGCGCAGCGCCTGCGTCCACGTGCGGTTCTTCTCCTGCTGTTGGATGACGAGGCCGAGATTGGCGTCTGACATAGATGCGGCGTGCTCCACTTGGTTGACCGTCGTTGGGGAACCCATGGTGAAGTCGATTCTTGGGGAGTATGAAAAAGCAGGACCGCCTTCTTTTCTCTTTTCCTTTATTTCTTTTTTTCGATTAGAGTGGTTGAGATGAGGCCATGTCCAACATCTCTACTCCTTCTTCTTCTTCTCTTTCATCTTGATGTTCATGTGGGCATTACCATGGGTTATAACATACGCCTCCCTCCCATCTTCCCACCTCTCAATGCCTCTCAATGCTTGTTCACAATATTTCAATATATGTATATAAGAGCTCACATGTCGCCGATATCGACATCACCTGCAATGTAACTTTGTGATCCGGGGAAACACTGCCGGGGGGATGCGGAGACAGGACAATATCATATGGCGTATTCGTCTGCGTCAGCACGCGTCTCCCTCCCTCCCGGATCAAGGGCTCGGCTTATTGCTACGCCGATTACGTCGTAGACTCTATACCACCCCTGTAAGTTGGTGATCGGCTCAAGCACGAGTATACGGACTCGGGAGTGAACGAGCTAATCAAACGGCCGAGTGTGAGGAGGAGTGGAATTCACGTCTTGCACTGGACTCTCCAAACGGAGTAGTGGGGACTTGGGGCATGCGGGGAGATGCTTTCAAGTCCGAAGATATTGCGACGAGCTGGGCTCATGCGGCTTGTATATTAATGGTCTGTATTTCTCCGCCATGGCCGAGGAATCCACCATCTTCTGTTTGTCTCATCCACTACTCTGGCTGTATTACGAAGAGTGCATTACGACCGGGACGACATGTCGAAATCAACCGCCTCGGTATCTCCCAGGGGAACAGCCCTTGGAGGTGACAGCCCGCGAACTAAGGAGGCTTGCGATCTGTGTCGAGCTCGCAAAGTAAAGGCGTGTTCTCCTTCGCGAAACTCTCCCATAAACTCTCGTATCTCAACCACGTTACAATACGATCGCTGACCTGAGGCCGTATCCGAGTAAAGTGTAAGCTGTCGGATAGTGATAGCATCTGCCTGGGCTGCCGGGAACTCGGTGTCAGCTGCACACACAATAGGCCTCGGCGCAGAAGGGGCCCTATCAACCGGTGAGAGAATGATACGGGAGTCGAGCTCTGGGGAGGTCGTTCCCATGCAAGTACCATGCTCATTGACCGTAGCCGCGCCACGGAACAGCAAGCCTCCTCTACCGGCAACGACAGCACCCCCGCCGGAGGTCACCATTCACCACCACAGCCTCTTGGCAATCCTAGAACATCGGGATCACAAGCACATGGCTCTGCAAGACCCGGCGGTCCTTCTGTCAGGGCCCTTCTAGACCTTTTGGCCCCTGCAGACCTTGTCGACCAGATGCTCAACGACTGGTTCAAGTACGCGCACCCTCTCGCACCAATACTGCACCGACGGGATCTCCTCCATAGACTGCACGACAATGGGCAGCATCACGACCCGGTGTTCACAGCCATGGTCGTGTCCGTCATATCTGTCACCATTTCAACCCTGCGCAGAAGAAGCGTCGAGAGCTACCCGGCCATAACATTGCAAAGATGCATCTGCATAATCGAGGACCATCAATTATTGGAGCTGAGGGGCCGCTATACCCTGGACTGGTGCATTGCATGGTACCACCTGGCGTCGGCGCGGGTCGTAGACTTTGGGTATGACGAGTTCCATGTATATAGGGCTATAAAGGAGTCCATGGCGGGGGTGAACTATCTGCTGTGCTACGATGACGACGAGCAGACGTATGAGGACAAGGAGAGGTTGAAGCGCCTCTACTGGCTCCTGTACATGTGGCAAGTGTGAGTGTACCGTCCATCCTTCAACGTCTACGGCGACAACACTGATGACCGCGGGGAATCACAGCGCGTCGGAGCTCCGGGGACAGCCGCATCTTGTTTTCCTCCCCTTCAACCAGGACCTCGAGAGTCTGAGGCCTCGCGTTATCGCTGACAGCGACCTATACCCAGCTCAGACGCCGAGGGACTACACGCCGTACTGGCCAGAGGACGACATACCTTACGTAGATGGGTTTGGCAGGCTGGTCGACGTCTTCCTGGTCTGGGAGAAGACCAAGGTGGACATGGCGTATAAGCCGTCGCAAGAGACGCTCCTGCGGGCGGTTCGACGGATACAATCCATCATGGATGACCTACCGCCCGAGATCCGGTGGCAGGGCGGGCTGAGCCGGTTCCCACGGGGCGACTGGGGTCACGAGGTCCAGATGGTCAACATTCTCATCACTGCGCTGTCACTCAAGTCCAATCTGCTGCAGCATCTAGGCTCCACGCTGCCTGGACTGACACAGCGCCACCTGGCAAGGTGAGATCGAGATCGGGGAAGCTCGGCGAATCTTGGTTCCCGCGTTAATGTAGAATCGTCAGGGATGTCCTCGAGATCCTCGACCACGTGCCCCAATCTGTTTTGGAGACAAACGGGTACTCGGTTGTCATGAAGATTCGCGATATCGGCGCGGCCTACTTGGCCGAGATGGATGTCGGGATGTCCGGTCAGAGGGCTGTGGAGGATAGTTTGGTTCTTCAACTCCTTGCGAAGCTCGACAGTTTAGACCTTAGACCAACGTCGATAAGAGTGGCACTCTGATGAAGGGCTTCGGCGAATGGTCAATCGAACCGAACTCCATTGTCTACTCCGTTCTCCGTACTCGCGTCCGTATTCGTTCGCCTTGATGGACGGGAGAGTGTTCTCCGTCCCCCAGATCCGAGCATCGATCAGATCATGCGCATGAAATTCCGACGTTTCTCCTCTTATCTGCCTGCTGGGCCACATGTCATCAGGACTTAATATGATAAATGGAGACGTTTCGCGGGGAAAGTGGATTTTAGCCAAGCAAAGATGTCCGGAGATTCACCGTTTTGTGCGGAGAAGTTGAGCCCTTTCAAGTGAGGATGCCCGGTATCGTGTGCAAGCAATGATGTTGCTGTCGCCTCTTGATTGGAAACATCCGAAAGCATCATCACGATTCTGTTCCTCAGATCAGAAATCCTAGGAACGACCCCCAAGCAGAGCCAACCCCCGTCTAGAGACCTTCCCGTAAGGATATCGCAGCTTCTCTAATCACAAAACACCAACTGACAATACCCGGAAAACAAGGTACTCGAACCTGTCTCGTATATAAGCTCGACTCCATCATTAAAATGTCCAACCCCGCCCCGGAATTCAAAGGAGATGGCGTCCCCCCCACGCGATGGAACCGCGATTTCGAAAAGAAGTCCGAAGAGCTGAAACCGGATCTGCATCGCTGGACACGAACAATACAGAACATCATTTCCTTCGACAAGGACGAGGGTAGTTACTTTGGTGTACGCGCCTCGCGCGCCGTCGGATCGATAGAGCAGTTTGAATCGAAAACATGGGGCAAGGGGGACGGCTTCGTTGTCGACTTCGGCATACACATGGTGGGCTTCCTGTCAATGAAGCTCGACGCCCACGGCTCCCAGATGGATGCGCCGTGCCGACTGCGTCTGACGTTCGGGGAGACTCCCCTCGACGTGACGCGGGGTATGGACAACGTCAAGACGTGGATCAGCACCGCGTGGCTTCCGGATGAAATCATCAACATCGACATGTGTCCGGAGGTCATCCGGCTCCCCCGACGCTACTCGTTCCGGTTTCTCCGTGTCGAGGTGATTGATACGTCAATCATGTTCAAGGTCTCCTTCTCTGACGTCGCGTGCGAATGTGTCAGCGCAGTGAGCCAGGACGACGAGATCGAGCTGCCGCATTTCAAGGAGGACCTGATCGGACGCATTGACCAGGTCTGCGTAATGACGCTGCGGGACTGCATGCAGACCGTCTTCGAGGACGGACCGCGAAGAGATAGACGTCTGTGGATAGGCGACCTACGGCTGCAGGCTTTGGCCAACTACAAGACATTCAGGAACTTTGGCCTCGTCAAGCGCTGCATTTACCAGTTCGCCGCCATTGCCCGGGAGGACGGCGCGATACCTGCATGCCTGTTTGAGTCCCCCAAGCTCAAACCGTCGTCAGACTACATTGTCGACTACGACGCCCTGTTTGCGGTGATAGTGCGCGACTATGTTGAGGCCAGCGGCGACCTGGAGGCCGGGAAAGAGCTCTGGCCTAGCGTCCTGGGCTGTCTGAAAAAGGCCCTGTCCAACGTTGAGCCGGGATCGGGGGTATTCGACGTGACGCGAAGCAAGGATTGGAAATTCCTGGACTGGCAGCCTGAGCTGGACCGCAACGCCGGCCTGCACGGTGTCCTCATCTACTGTCTCAGAGCCGCCAACGGTCTGGCCCGGCTGATCGGCCGGGACGCACCCTACGAGCAGGATGTGGCGAACTTGACCAGATCGGCGGCTGTCTTCCTCTCCGACGCGGGCCTCTTCGTCTCGGGACCCGAGCAGCAGGTCAGCTACGCGTCGGCCGCCTGGCTCACGCTATCCGGTGCCTTCCCGGAGAAGACGGCCCGGGAGGCGCTTCTGAAAAGCCTGGAGACCCCGGACGCTGTCCGCCCGCTTACCCCGTACATGTGGCACTACGTCTGCGACGCCCTGTCTTCCGTGGGCTGCGCTGACAAGTGCCTGGAGATCATCACGGATTACTGGGGCAGAATGGTCGAAGCGGGAGCAGATACGTTCTGGGAATACTTCGACCCTGAAGACTGCATGGGTAGCCCGTACGGCGATGCGAGAAACAACAGCTACTGTCATGCGTGGAGCTGCACGCCAACGTACCTGCTCCGTGGGAAGCTGAGTGAGAAGGTCGTCCGAGAGAACTCGTGTTCCAGCACTGTCACTATTCGCCAACTTGACGATGCGTGGGTGACGCGGAGCGGTCGCCGGTACTCTCTAAAGGATGACTGAAAGACGAGAGACGACGAGGGTTTTGCAGTCTATAGATGTACCTTCAACCTCCTAGATCTCCACGAGAGCCAATGCAGTGCAGTGTAGGCTCTATATGCGTCCATCCTCCATCCAATGTACAGCTGTCAGAACCCAATTGCTCTCTGCAGGTATCATGAAGCTCGGAGATGAGAACGCAGATCGGATTCAGATCCAGTCCTGTCCCCTGCGTGCCCTCCCAGCCGCCGAGCTGCGGTACGCGCCGCCCTTGGCCGTCTTCAACCCCGAGTTGACCAAGGCGGTGAGCATGTGAACACCGGTAACCACACCGTCGACAATGTTGACCAAAGGTGTATCCTGCGAACTCTCTGCCACAGCCTCCTCGCAGGCCTCAACTAGCTCGGTCATGCCAGAGCATCCGAGGCAGATACAGTCAGCGCCCCGGGCCGTCAATCTCTTGGCGGCTGAGGCTAGGTTAGCCGTGACCAGCTGTCTCGGCTCCGACTCGAGCTCGAGTACCGAGACATGGCCGGTCTCACACCCGACGGAGAAAGCTCCGAGCCCGTATACCTGGGCGGCCGACTGAGCGTGCAGCAGGCTGGAACGCTCGCTCGTGGTCAAGATTCCCAGGCGGTCACCGCACATGCGGCTCGCGTACAGAGCGGCCTCCATGATGCCGATGGTCGGCTGAGCGTACTCCTCGCGTAGCATGTCGATGAGCGGGTGGGCCGAGAAGCAGGCTACCAGGAAGGCGTCAAAATCGTGGGAGGACCCCAAAAGCCGCGACAGGCCCCGGAAGCAATCGGATGCAGAGAGGACCCAGTCCACTCTGCCCTCGATGGCACTGGGGCTTGTCTCCGGACCGGTGAAGCCGTAGACCGTCACGTTCGGCGGTAGACTTCCCTGTACACTGCGCAGACAGCCATCGGTCATGTGTTGGGAGGAGTTTGGCTGGATGAGGAGAATCTTGATGGGCCGGGCGGTTTCGCCACTGACGTGCGGCAGACTTTCCATCCGGTCGATGCAGCTCCAAGGTATCCGGGCGCTGGGATGGCGTTGAATGTCGAGCGCTGCCGTGGGATGTAGGACGGGCGATAGGAGTGTGCTATCGCAAAGGTCGATGATAGCGGAGATACCGAAGACGTGGCCCATATGCACGTATGAGCATCCGTGCGAGTCCCACCACGCTCCATCGGAGCGTTACCACATACAGACGTTGGGCAAAGGTTGCATAGCAGAGCGAGAAGTTTCATTGGAATTCACGATTCTAGCTACATGAATGATGACGGGTCAAAGATACGAAGCAAGGCATATGCAGACCGCACATTACATGGCGGCAAGGTAGTCGTTCAACCCTCCGTTGGCGCTGACGTTGGCGCCGTTGATCCATTGCGACTCCTCGCTGGCCAGGAAGCCGACGACGTAGGCAACTTCCTCCGGTTTTCCCAACCTCTTGGCGGCGGTGATCTGCTCGGCGATCCTCTCGAGGTATCCCGCCGGGATGAAGTCTTTGACTGCCAGGCTGGCGTCCGTGACGGTGGGACCGACGCTGACGTTGTTGAACGTCGCTCCCTTGCTGGCTGCAAAGGCCTTGGCATAGGACCGGGTGAAGCTCTCGAGGGCAGCCTTGCTGGCGCCGTAGGGCATGAGAGGGTCGTCGTTGGCCATCTTGGCGGCGACGCTGGAGATGTTGATGATGCGGCCACCGTGCTTGGGAAGATGCGGCAGAAGCGTGTTGATGGCGGTCACGGCCGAGTAGACGTTGCCCCGCATCGTCTTGGCGAAGCCATCGTCGGTGATCTGGGTGACGGGCTCGGAGAGGCTCATGTCGGTGAGGACGGCATTGTTGACCAGGATGTCGATGACCGACACGTCCAGACCCTTCAGGGCGCCGTTGATGACGGTGGAGCCGAACTCGGGGTCCAGGAGGTCCGCGCGGATCGCCACGGCCTTCTTGACGCCTATGCGTCGGCACTCCTCGATGACCGCCTCGGCGGCAGCGGCCTGGGCAACGTAGGTGACGGCCAGGTTCTCGAGGCCCTTCTTCGCCAGGTAGATGGCGATGGCTTGGCCGATCCCCCTGGAAGCTCCGGTGACGACGGCCGTCTTTCCGGCGAGGGACCACGGCAGTCTCTCGGGCTGGGTCGACATGTTGAAGGGGGTGGAGATGGATGACTTTGCTGTAGAGAATGATGGTCTTCTGTATCGATGAGGAGGTGATTGCGATACTCCGATGCTCTGGCTATCTTCCCTACATGGCATATATATACTTTTTCTCCCCTTGCTGTATATGCCACGACTCCACCTGTCACGACGGGCAGCGAAGGAGGCAACCGTTCATTTTCGCGCTCAAGTACTCAAATCTTGGTGGGAATCAAGTCAAAACACTTGCAAGGTGGCACCACACCCCTACCATGGACCCATATATGATGATTGTGGTGACAGATCACGGGCAAACCTTCGTCCGACCGAGTCAACCCCTCAGACTAAACGTCTTTCTATTCACTATTTCCCTCATACTTGTAGAACGACTAGGAACAACAGCAACAATACGCGACGACGACGACGACGACGGCAACGACAGCACGCAACAAGTGTCAAAGGCTGTAGCCGGTCAGGACTCATGGGCGACTAAGTCTTCCATTGCAGTTCTCTTAATCGCAGTGGATCCACAGCAGACTCGTAGTCGAGGCTGTAGATGACTTTTTCCTTCCTGCAGCTGGATCCTCTCTTCCCTTCCTCCGTCCTCTGCAATGCCCATCGAAGCTACTAAACTGAAGCAGTGAGACCAGCATGTCACATGATAGAATCAAAGAAGTATATTATGAGTAGTGAGTAGAGCAGCCAACGGGACAATTTTACATCTACGAGTATATTCTATACTGATGCACGTGTAATATACACGGATACCTCTATAGATGTATACCTGCACGTATTACTCCGTTGGTGTGAATCTACCAGTAATGTTCAACATAAATATGCCGAGGGCATATGGCATATGATGCCGACGTTTGCTGTCACAGACTAGGGATGTGCCAACTTCCAGGGGCTTCGACTCAATAAATATGGTGCGATATTTGTGTGGACCAATCCCGGTAGCAGATGCGATCCGTATCTTGCGGACTTCATGTCTGACTCGGCGAAGCGCCTCTCCGCTTCCTCTCTCCGCCTGTATCTCACCTCTCTTCCCATGATTTCCGGGGCCGATACAGTCGTCGACATACGGTAACGGGGCTCAGAGTCGTGTCAGACGGGATGGTTAGAGGAGCATTCCATCGTCGGCCAATACTAGAGGCGGAAACCAGCAGGTCACGGATGGACGCTCCAGTCGATGTGACTCCAATATCAGCTCTCGTTAATGGCCCGTAATGCACAGGCGAAATAATGGAAAGGCCAATGTTTGCGAGCGGGACAATTGGTAAGCATGTCCTATGGGACGGATGGACAGATACAGATCTGGGTATGCCGATATATCTAAATATGATGTTGTCCGTACGGAATATTATATCGAAACCCATTGCTCATCCGACAGGTCAACCGCGATAGCTAGCCCAGGGTTGTGTTGCCAAGAATCCGTCATTTGCAGTCGTCACTTGATCGAGCTGTTGTTGTTGTCAATCGCCAAATCGTCAATGCAGGTCTCCGTCCATTCTTGTTTATCAGTATGCAATCTTGTTGTCAATTCCTTCATCAACACAGGCAGCTCTGGCTCGTAGACAATGTCGAGTACGGGTCTAAAGTTCTGCGCAGAGTGGAGGCATTCAAAAGCAATGATAAATAATATATCATCATCCAATATTAGTTATATCTATTTATGAAACATGCTGGAGCTATATAGTATCATGATAGTCTCGGCCTTGTATCCCCAACGGTAGCGTCAACAAGGAAAAAATCTCCGCAAACTCCGCAGTCCCCCGCGAAGATGAGAATGCCGGCAACTATGCTCTACTCGTACATATATCGATACTCCTGGGGCTGCGGGGGGGGGGGGCACTGCAGCACGCGCTGCTATGGCTGTGCAGGTTGATACAACCGGCAATCGCAGAGCGGCAAATCTGCAGGAGGGATATGCAGAGGCGGATCCTCGACCCAAGGGCCAAGGTACTTGTATACTGACCGACGGGACAGAGGGGACGGTGGGCGAGGCGGCTGTCCGTGATACTGTAACGGTGGCTCTACTCACCCATCCCGGATCCGCTGCTGATAGGCGCTGTGATAGTCGGCCGTTATGATCGAGGGCCTCCGTCTACCGTTTGGGACTATCTTCCGTCGTAGACCCTAGTCAGCCAGTCCGCTGGCCTAGAAATATTCCCCGAGCCGTGGACCTTTGAATGGAAACGATGGATGAGGGGCCCCCCCCCCCCCCCCTTGGCCGGTACCTGGTCAACCTTGTCAAGGGTACTGGCTACGTACCCGTAATACATCTCCACAGCCCAGACCTAGATTCGTCTCACCATTGTCCGGTTCGTGCTCTCGTACGACATGGAGCTTCACAAGACTGCGGATTGCAACGGATGGCCTTGCTCTTGACTGGCGGGGTATCCGAGAAAGGCGGAGAAGTCGGAGAGCCCGAGAGAGAAGGCCTTTGTCTAGATTCTCGGCAGCGCGGCGGACTGAGGGTCGTAGCGTAGGATGGTGTCGCCTTGACTCGGGTGAGAGGCACCGTATCGGCACTCCGTATCTACAATTGTAACCATCAAAAGAGCCTCAGCCAATATCATTACTGCTAACATGGTTTTGCCGTCGCCTAGACTCACGCCCAGGGCGCGATAACTATGTATTATCTTAGCCTCATCCACCGGTGCGAAGATGTTACCGCACGACAGAATGGAGCCATCGTCATCATCTCATCTCATCCCTATCGTCACCTGAGCCACGCAATGCCAAGACACGGATTCGAGGTGGATGCACTCCCTCCAACAGGCGTATACAGATCACGAGAGGGACCGAGATAAGAACACCTATCGGTCATCACTTATTGACCCCTCTCACACACCGAAACATGTTGCCAGCTCCTCGATGAATACCTCTATACCCATCTCTCTCAGCCTAGGCGGCGACGACACGGGGGACGAACATCGCAAGAGAGGAATAGACAGCGACGAGAACCAACCAGCCTTGTCACGTCACGGTGCAGCGACCGTCACCACCCAGATTCGTATCCTCATTCATTGCTCGGGCCTGCCTCCTCGTGGCGGTCCCTCTCCCTGCCGTCATCCTCCCCTCCCTCTCGTCGTAATTCTCTTGTCCGTAGGCACTTGGCCGAGCCTGCTTCTGGGCCACTATAAGAAAGAGGTCCTCGTACTTGATGGTGAGCTGAGTTGGCCAAGTTCGGTACATTACAGCGCTCAGCGTTGGACCTCGAGACTGGTCCAAGGGCTGACGTCCTCTATGCCGAGCCGCTACCTCGTCACGATCTCGACACCTCCCGCGTGTATTCCGATGGATCGAGTGTCAGCAAGGACCTGGCAGCTGGGGTTGCGCACGGATTCTCCATGGTCACTATAATTTGCTTCCTCGCATCATATCTCGAACCGAGGGATTGACTCCTACATGACCTACAGCCAATATCCCCACTCCCCGTCCCTCATTCCCATAGCCGTCCTGCCCACCTGACCGGTCAAGACAGCCGATGTCTGCCTCTCGAGAAACTCGCCGTCGCCTTTACCGAGCTGGTGGGAACTATTGTCGTCACGGTTCCAAGCCAGTTTCCCGCGAAGGAATACCAGCCTGGGCCAGTTGCGGACTTCTACTCCCTCATAGGGTGTGTAATCGATGCGATGATGCAGATCCACGTTGCGAATCACGGTCCTCCCCTTAGCATTCTCGTCGTCCGGGTACCAGATGACAATGTCAGCGTCAAATCCGGGCTGCAAGCTTCCCTTGCGATGACCCAGGCCGTACAATTTGGCAGGATTCGTCGACGTGAGCTCCACAAAACGGGGAAGGGAGATGCGGACCATGGAGTTGGCCTCCGTTCTGGTGTCGGGTTTGTTGGGAGGCTCCGCCGTCCGATGAAACAAGAGCGGAAGTCTAGTTTCCATGCCAGGCAAGCCGTTGGGCACGCTGCGGAAATCCGCGCCGGGCTCGGAGCTACCCTCTACGGCCATCATCCCCTTCATCTTGCCGCAGGGGTGATCGAACGTGCTGGGGGCATGGTCCGATGACACGACTGTGAAGGTGCCGTTGGCGAGTCCCTGCCAGAGGTACTCGAGGTCCCTCGCATCATGACGGAGAGGTGGTGCGCAGATATACTTGGCACCCTCAAAGTCGTCCGAGCCAGAGCGCAGCTTGTCACTCAACAGGTACAGGTATTGGGGGCACGTCTCGGCGTGGATGGGCAGGAGCTGGCGCTGCGATCGGTGGACGTGCCCAATCGCCTCGGGTGAGGACATGTGCACTATCAGAATCGGCGTGTCTGTCACCTCGGCCAGCTTGATGGCGCGGTACGTGGCTTCGCTCTCCGCTATCTGAGGGCGTGCCACAGCGTGGAAGTGTGACTGCGTGTTGCCACGAGAGGCCAGGCGCCTATCTGAACGGTCAGCATCCAGACACCCTGACAGGGTACGTAACGGAGAGGTCTATACTTTGTAATCTGCTCAATCATGTCACTGTTCTCGGCATGGATCATGGTGGTGATACCCAGGGAGCGTGTCTGCATCATGATACTGAAGATGTCGCCATCACCGAGCTTTAGCGGCTCGTAGGTCATGTAGATCTTGATGCTGGAAATTCCCTTGTTGAGGAGCTCCGGGAGCTCCTCGTCAATGACCTTGTCGGTGGGATTCGAGACAATCATGTGGAAGCCATAGTCACAGAACGAATTTCCCGTGGCCTTCTTGTGGTAGGCATCGAGCGCCGGCCATATACTGTCCTCGTGACGCTTCTGCGACGCAAATGCGATCACCGTCGTGTTTCCGCCAGCGATAGCTGACCGCGTTCCAGTCTCCCAGGTATCTCCTGTAGGGGAGTTGTCCTGTTCGATATGGACGTGCGAGTCCACACCTCTGTAGATTGGGAAGCAGTCAGCAACAGGCATCTGCTGATCGCGAACTAGACAGCCCATGATGCACTCACCCTGGTGTTATGTATGCTCCCTCTGCGTCAACCACTTCTGTGCCGGATGCTGCTTCCAGATCAGTTCCTAGAGCAGAAATCTTTCCATTCTTGACCCCGATTTCTATACCAAACGGGAGCACCTCGCTGGCCGTGACCTGGACATAACTGTCAGCCAGATACGCCTTGCATCCTCAAGTTCTCGAGCCAACTCACAATGCGGCCATTCTTGACTATGAGATCAAACATGGTAATATTCGCAATCCGTTACAGGCTGAAAGCTTACATTCTTTTTAAACTGAACTGCAAGATGCTCCCAGATCGGATCGGAAACCGAGGACGGCCGCCCGCAGCAAACATCGATTCCCCATAACGGATAAGGCGACTGATATTCGTTCAAGTGCAGCAAAACGGGCGCTCCAGTTGTGTGTGGATACATCTTCCCCGACGATAAGAATATCTGCCAGTGGGACGCTCTTCGCCGAAGTGCCTGGGCTGCGAAGCTTGGTCGGCGCGGAACGCCGGCGGGCAATCGTGCAGATAATAATATGGCGGAGATAAGCGGCTTGTTGATGTCAGCATCCTTCGGCATCTCCATGTTCAAAAACGCGGGGCTTCGAAATGCTGAGATACGAAGAGCCTGATACGGGACGGATAAGGATGAGAAAACAAGGGACTCCTGGTCTCTACATATTTTTCCTTGCCAGCTGAATTCTATATCGCCATTTCTGCTTCAACTAACAAATGTTTGGCAGCTGTAACTCACCCTCCTTCTCTTCAACTGAACCAATCTTTTAGCAAGAAAAGTCATGTCAGAGGATCGAAAGATCATCGTCGCGGCGGCCCAGCTGGGACCTATCCAGCTGGAAACGCCGCGTGAGAAGGTTCTGCAGCGCATGCTCAAACTCCTAGACGACGCATCCTCGCAAGGCGTGCGTCTCGTGACGTTTCCCGAGCTGGCCCTGACAACCTTCTTCCCGCGACATGTGCTCACAGACGAAGCCGAGCTGGCCAAGTTCTTCGAGCCCGAGTCCGAGGGGGAGCCGAAAGCACTACGTGCGAGCCCGAACCTCAAGCCCTTGTTTGACAAGGCTCAGGGCCTCGGCATCGACTTTGCCGTTGGCTACGCCGAGAGGTGGACCGATGCCGCAGGCAAGAAGACGGACTACAACACCATGATCTACTACTCTGCCATCGAAGACTCCATTATCAGCAAGTACCGCAAAGTGCACCTCCCCGGGTCGTACGAGCCCTTCAACAGACCCAACTTCTCCGAGCAGCTGGAGAAGCGGTACTTTACGCCGGGCGATCTAGGCTTCCCCGCCTTCCGCGCCCCGGGCCTCGTCAACGACGCCGCCAAGGCCGATAGCAAGGATTCCACACCGGGAAAAGGGGACCCGATCCTCGGAATGCTCATCTGCAACGACAGGCGTTGGCCCGAGGCCTGGAGATGCTACGGCCTCCAGGGCGTCGAGCTGGTTCTCGAGGGATACAACACCACGGGATATGCCCCGCAGAACAGGGGAGACGAGGAGGAGCAGTACGACCTTGCTGTGTTCCACCACCGTCTCTCATGCCAGGCTGGCAGCTACCAGAATGCTTGCTTCAGCATCAATACTGCCAAGGCTGGCGTCGAGGATGGCGGTCTGCTCATTGCGGGGTCCGTCATAGTGGCCCCGAGTGGCAAGATTGTCGCCGAGTCCAAAACGCGCGACGATGAGCTTGTCGTCGCGGAGATAGACCTTTGCGATTGCGCGCGCTACAAGAACGGCGTCTTCAACTTTGCCAAGCACAGGAGGGTGGAACACTACTCACCCATCGTGAACCAGGTCGGTGCGGTGGAGATCCCGCTATTGTCTTCCAAGTAGTCATGACAGAGGACAGCATACACATACTATGGTCGAAGTGATAGAACAAGAATAAAACAATAAGTCCTTATATGTGTCAACATTTAGAAAAGCCATGCCGTTGGGTGGGTTTAGGGTTTGGGTACAGGGTCAATAGTCTAGTGACCTCAACCCTTGACCCAGCCATCTCAACCCCCGAACCCGACATCTAAAGCTTCTCGGTCTCACGTGGGATCAGAAGGTTGACCGCATGCTCAGCCGTGCCCCTGATATCCCGTTAGCAGAGTAGACAACGGACGATGTTTCAAGATGGAGGCATCCGAACACTTACCAAGAAGATTGATATCCTGTGCCTCCAGCGCCATAGTTGTGAATGATGAGATGACCGTCAATGGTCTCGGACTCTAGACGTATGCCCCCTTTCCGGCTTGCTAAACCCAGGAAATGATCAGTGAGAGAGTTCGTTTCTGCATGAGGCATCATGACTGAACGTACGCCTGAGCCCAACAGTGTGGGCGATGACCTTCAAGTCCTCGGGCTTCCCCAGCTCTGGCGCCAAGGCGCAGCATCTCTTCTTGATATCCTCGGCGAGAGTCTCACTAGGTGTGGTATCCCAGTCGCCATCTAGCCGGCATCCTCCGAGAATCACGCCACCGGATGGATACCTTGGGAAGATGTAGGTTGTGTCGTTGTCGACGCGACGAGGAGACCTGAAGTACATGGTCTTCATGGGCGTCTTGGGGGACTCGACAAGCATGACTTGGCCCTGGACATCGTCACTGTCAGATATTCCGATCCCCCGGTGAAATGGTATGGATATCTTCCTACACGTGTGGGGTACAGGTTGCGGTCCTCTACCCCTTTGAGGTGGTAGGACCCAAGCCCGGTACAGTTGAAGTAGGCATCGGCTGGAATGGACCGAAAGGCGTCACCGATGCCATCCAGACTGCATCTCCGCATCTCAATACCCAGTTTGAGGCATCGCGTGTTCAGCCTCGTGCATCTCTAGTCAGCCTCAGCGTCGATGGTTCTCCAGGGAGGATGCAGGATTCACCATGCAAGGTAAGCCTGGGTGTTGATCATGAACGTCTGAATTCCCAGGCCAAAGAAGGCCCCCTCCGGGAGCTCCCCTTGCGCCATATGCCGCACACCACCCGTCAACTGATCGTACCAAATCTTACCCGTTCCCTTACTGAGAACCTCGGCCTCTTCCATTGGCTTGTCAAAGTATGCGCGAAGCTCCATACGCGTCACGTCGGCTTCGGGTACATTGTCAGCAATGTGCGCCAGACGGCGATAGGTGATGGCATCCCACTCCTCCTGGCGTCCGTTGTCTGTCGCAGTGGTCATCCAGTTCGCCCCAGCCCATGGGGAGCAGTATTCGGGACTCCGATCACCGGGGAAGTGCTTGGCTGCGATGGTGACCTTTGCGTCTGGACTCCGAGTCTTCAACTCTATCGCTGTCGAGAGCCCAACCACACCGGCGCCCAAGACGGCATATCGGTGACTCATCTTTGCTTGATTTCAATGCAGAGTCGGGAGGAAAATTTTCTTCCAAGACAGTGATGCTTCCATGGATACCCAATCGTTCAATGGCAATAGTTGCCCGTCCTGCAAAGGTGGCCGTCGGGCAGAGATCGGAGTAGGCCCATAACGGCGGGTGGGCCAATAGAGATACACGCGATATGAATTATAGTGGTGTACACATCGTACAGATTACAGATTACAGGTAATGTATTAATCAGTAGGGGAAACTTGTGGATTTTGGACTGTACTGGTACTCTCTAGTCCGAAGCGCAGCCACGTAGTACAGCTGGGCAGAGCGTTCCAGGTGTTCGAGGCGGGAGATACAGAGAACGGTAGGGATCGATTATTATCCGGTCAACCTGGGCTGACTAAAGCCACTTCCACTTGTAGGTACATATGTGGCTTGTGCACAGCGCCCAGATTCTATGGAGAAATGGATGCTGATGGAAGTCACTCGCCAAACCACTCTTTCCACCTCGCCCTCTCCCATACATATTACAGTGGTAACAAGTGATAGGGTACAGATTACATTGATGGATGGATAGACGACGTCACCGCTGCGAAGCTTCTACAAGCTACCATGCCCCACATTCACGAATGGAAAGCATGAGACCACTTCACTTGGCTACGTATTATCTAGACCACACCCTCCTCTCTTCCTGTATCCTTTTATTCTTCTCTCTCCCATCCTGCTCCTGCATACAACTTATGCATCACCAAAACTCACTCAGCACACTGTCACTTCCTCGCCCTACAAGCAACGCACACACCTGCGCAGTAATACAGACGACGCCCGACACGAGAACCTGCATAGCCCAATACCCGACGACAAATCACCCCACCACACCCTTTGCCAAACAGAAACTCGACTCATCCACTTCTGCAAATTGGCGATTCATATTCTTGCGTCGACGAAATGGTAAAGGAGACAAAACTTTACGAAGCTCTGGGCGTCAAGCCGGAGGCGTCGCAGGATGAGATAAAAAAAGGCTACAGGTAAGCAGTTTCCAGTATTCTTCCCCTCTCTCTGCATACGTAGCGCAAAAATTAGTCACTCTGAGTCGATTTGCTAACAAGGGGGGGGGATCAATAGGAAAGCAGCCTTGAAACATCACCCTGACAAGAACAAGGACAACCCCAACGCAGCCGAAAGGTTCAAGGAGTGTTCCCAGGCGTACGAGATCCTATCAGACCCCGAGAAGCGCAAGATCTACGACCAGTATGGCCTTGATTTCCTGCTACATGGCGCCTCTGCTGGACCCGAACACCCCAGTGCCGGCGGAGCTGGCGGAATGCCCGACTTTAGCGGAGCCGGTGGCTTCGGCGGCTTCCCTGGCTTTGGAGGTATGCCCAGTGGCGGCGGTACGCAATCCTTCCGCTTCTCAACGACCGGCGGCGGCCCTGGTGGTGGCTTCAGCTTCACCAACGCAGACGACATATTCACCGAGTTTATGCGCGCCAACGGCCCCAACGGCGGCATGAGGGGCGGTATGGACGATGACGACTTCGACATGCTGGGCGGCATGCCCGGCGGCTTCGGCGGTAGCCGGGGGTCCAAGATGCGGCCTGGTTTCGGCGGAGCCCCTGACCCTCGCTCTAAGCGTGGGTCAACACCCGAGGTCCTCTCCGTCGAGCGCCCACTTCCCGTATCGCTCGAAGATCTGTATAACGGCGTCACCAAAAAGATGAAGATCAAGGCCAAGCGGTTCGACCCGTCAGGGAAGCAAATCCTGAAGGACCAGGTCCTCGAGGTTCCCATCAAGGCCGGATTGAAAAAGGGTTCCAAGATCAAATTTAAGGGAGTCGGTGACCAGGTAGAAGGTGGCCGGCAAGATCTGCACTTTGTCGTCGAAGAGGTAAGATGACTCGGCTCAGATTCCCCACGGGAAACAAGAAAACAGGAACAGCTACTGACTCGGGCTCCGAAACAGAAACCGCATCCCCTTTTCCAGCGCGAAGACAACGACCTCATCTACACAGTCACACTCGAGCTCAAGGAAGCCCTGACTGGTTGGAGGCGCAAGGTCACCACAATCGACGGCAAACAAATCAACCTCGAGAAGGGCGGTCCTACGCAACCCGGAAGCCAAGAGCGCTACCCAGGCTTGGGAATGCCCATCTCTAAGAAGGCAGGACAGCGGGGCGACCTCATCATCAAGTACAAGGTCAACTTCCCATCGAGCCTAACAAGCCAACAAAAAGAGAAGCTGCGGGAGATTCTATGAGAAAGCTTTCTCTCTCGACCGTACCACTTCCCCTCACCACCTTTTCCCCCTTTCCCTATCTGATGTCTGTTCTCTCTATTTCGATGATTGTGTCGAGGCTGGCTCCTCTGACCTGTTGACGAGTTCCCCCCCCCCCACCCCCCTGTTGTCTATTATGCGACCGGTCAGAGAGGCGGCCTCCGGATGAAGTACTTTTGTTCGGTGGCGGACCGCACACCTTTGTCATAACAAGGACGGGTTGCGGGTTGAAGTGGTCTATGATGATTTGATGGTAGCACCGTGTTTATCTTTGTTTTTCTTTATTCACTCTTATCAGTCTGTTGCTCCTCCATCTCCTTGTTTTGTTCTGCTCTTATACACATTTTATAAAAGACAAAGGGTTTGTCATGGCGTTTGTGGATGGAGAGAAGCCCTTGGCTGGCAATACATTTATTTATTTCTAAGCACGAAAACCTACATAGCCTAGCCACTTTCTAATATATTTATCACTCGGCTCTACCTTTTGGAAAAGGTGAAATCTGTATATATAAATTTGCAATCGTATAAACATTGCGTCATCATCCCAAGTATCTCGATGCTCACAGACGTGGCCCTCTGTGCGTAGCAGACTTGTCCAACCCTCCCTTGGCAGCCTCCGCATTCAAAGTCCTCCACATATTCTTCCGCAGCTCATGTCCGTCCATGAATGACCGAAACCATTCCCGCTTGAACTTGGGCAGTTGTCTCCCCACACTCTGACCAGAAAGGTCTCTCAGAGTATCGAAATAGTCTTCGAAATCGGGGAAAACGAGACCGAACTTGCCACCGTCCCCGCGAGCCTTGATCCTGTCTATCTCCCATCTCTGCATCTCCTCGACAGACGGGAGCGTGCCACGTCCGGCAAGCAGCCGAGCGGCATACACGGCCTGCCACTCGAATATCTTAAACGTGAGGCCTGCCTGTACCGCGCCGACGAAGAGGAGCGTGGGGTCGTGCTGATAGACGATATGCTGGTACAGGTCTGGCACGCGGTTGTTGCGGGTAGGCACCGATGGCAAGAATGGCAGCGTCCAGGTATAGCCAGTTCCGAAGATGATGTGGTCCACATTGTCGACGGAGCCGCCATCTTCCAGATGGACTGTTCGACCGGTAATCTTGGCGATCGTGGGCCGATTCACGATTCCGGGATGGCGGAAGGCCTCGTCCCCAAAGTACCCGTTGAAAGTATGTCCAACCGTGATGGCGTATACGGGCTGCTGGGCGACGCTGACCAGGTCGACGGCGATGTCGGCTGCAGACACGGATGCTCCGACGACAACAACCCTCTTTTGTAACGGTCAGTCTAATAGCCTAATACTCTGCGGGCGGGGTTATGTGTTTTTTTCTTCTTTAATTATTGCACATCTTGCCATGTATACCTTCTTCTTGTATAGGTCCCTGCCTCGGAAATGCTTGCTGTGGATGACGCTTCCGGGGCGCGATTTTTCAAATTGCTCGAGTCCCGGGATAGCCGGTATATATGGCACAGAGTAGTGACCGCTCGCGACGATGACGGCGTCAAACCACTCGACCCACCAGTAATCGCGTTCTCTGCCATCCCTCCGCAGCGTGAGCTTCCACTTGGCCCCGACCTTCTCGGCGCGCTCAACGGTGGTGCTGTAGGATACGTAGTCCTCGTATCCGTTGCGCTTGACAAGGCCCTCGATGTACTGTCTGATGACGGTCCACGGGCGGAACGGCGTGGTCGGGCCGTAGAGGTCGACAGACCGTCTGCTTGCCTGGGCCGGAATGGGCTCCTGGCTGAATTGCATGGCCACATGGTCGACATTGGTCTCGAGGTACGGGTATATCGAGGACTCTGTGAAACGCGGCTGCACCGACTTTGGGGTGTAGGCAGGCAGATTGTCCGGGATGGGCAGCGGGCTGTCTGCGCTCCTGTCGGATAGCTGGGCGAGAGGTGAGACCGTCGGGGGCCGCTGCTCGGAATCATCGCCGACCCTACAGGGTAAAAGTGTTGGGTCAGCTACGCGGTCCGTAGAAAGGATCGCTAGACCGCTCATTACGTACCAACATCCTCCGGCCCTTTCACGCCGCTCAAACACGCGGATGACGTCGAAAGCCTTCTCCCTCGCCAATGCGTCTATCGTGATGGCACCCGAGGGACCGGCACCTATGACGGCGACGCTCTTGACGCTTTCAACGGCCATTGCTTTCAATCCTCCTTCGACGACCTGCTTTTGCGTTGAATACGTAGCTTGAAGACGAATCGTCGGGCAGAGTGCGAGTAGGATCAAGGGCAAGCTCAATATGCTTTGTTTTCAATCGACTCCGATTCCGACTCCGACCGACGTCAAGGTGGGGGTGGAGTCTAGTCCAGATCTCAGCATCAAGCCTCGAAATGTCCAGTCGAGCACGCCTTGTTGTCAGTAATGATGTGATTCTGGAGAGGCCACTAGTGAGTCGAGCACCCCTGTCTGTAGATTGCAACATTCACGGAGAAATTTGGGCGTTCTTCTGGGTGTCGATCGATGCCCGCTGAGGAATCTTTATAAATTTAAGCATGTCTGCCACGTTGCTTTAAATCCCGAGAGAGATATCTGCCCGTGTTTCGCCGTACCCGCGTGTTTGTTTCCCAGCACAACAGAGCAGCCGAGCATTGACATCATGACAGTGAGCCATGTTCCCCACAAGTCCCACGACCCAGATCGGGGGGAACTCCCAGTATCACTAGATCACTCCTCGCCGACCTGCGAATCCGAAGAGGACTGGGATATATCCGAGGAGTTAAAGGCACGTAGGAAGTAAGTTGTTCGTGATATAGCCTCCCATCGGTCTCCTGCGTGTCAGTCCTTCTTTCCAAGTCTGCAAGGCCAACTACATGTGCTCGGTTGACGACACTGACTCGAGCATAGAGTCGATCGCTCTACTCTTCTTCTGCTCTTCCTGGGACTCTTAGTTTTCCAGCTCGATCGTATGAACCTGGCCAGCGCTCTGACCGGCGGCTTCGCCAAGGATATTGGTGTGACCCAGGACACGATCAACCTGGGAAACCAGCTGCTGTTCATGGCCATTGTCGTCTTCGAAATCCCTTGCAACATGGCATTACAGAGGGTGAGGAATTCTTCTTCTTTGATCGGATATGACAGCAGCCCATCCGGGGATATGGATGCTAATACTCGTATCCATCTAGATCGGCCCGCGAAAGTGGATGGCTGGTCAAGTCTTGATGTTCGGCTTCGTCGCGACCATGCAAGTCTTCATCAAGAACCGAGGTGGCTTTCTCGCTTCACGTCTCTTTCTCGGGTTCGCCGAGTCCGGGTACATCCCAGGAGGAGTCTACACCTTGTCAACCTGGTACACGAAGCGAGAGCTCTCCAAGCGCCTGTCCGTCTTCTTCTTCGGCATGTTTGGTGGGAACGCCATCAGTCCCATTCTGGCCTCGGGTATCCTGAAGCTGGACGGTGCTCGCGGTATAAAAGGCTGGCAATGGATCTTCCTCAGTGAGCTCCCCCATCTCCCTCCTATAACACTATATGATGACGGAGGACTTCTTACTGATGACAGGGAGCAGTCGAAGGGGTCTTCACCATGTTCGTGTCGTTCGTTCTACTCCTCTTCCTACCCGGTAGCCCAGACGTTCCCCGACCGTTGGTGGGACCTGGTCTAGTACGGTTCTCGCCCTCGGAACAGAAAATCTTGCAGAAAAGGTTGGAAAGGGACGACCACGACGGCAAAAGGCCAGGAGTTCAAGGACTCTCCATCGACTGGCATCTGGTTTCGAGGACGGTGCTGCACTACCGCCGGTGGCCGCATTATGTGGCCACTTTTGCGGTATTCTCGACATGGGCCCCGCTGACCACTTACACACCTTCCATCATCGTGTAAGCGTCTCCCTCATATGGTGCGTGAGTTCCAGACGTCGCGTGCTGACGATGCAATACTCTTAGCTCTCTAGGGTTTGATCGTATCGCCGCAAACGCACTTGCTGCCGTGGGCGCCTCACTGGCACTCCCAATCGTCTTCTTATTTGGCTACCTGAGTGACCGGACCAACCTTCGTGGCGGGACCGTCATTGCAGCCCATGTCTGTTATCTGATAACACTCATCGTTGCTCGACAGGTCCATCCTCATGTTGGAAAATGGTCGAAATGGGGCCTCTGGACTGCCGTCAATAGCTTCGCAGTGGGCTATCATCCTGTTTCCAATTCTTGGGTTCAGCTTAATTGCCGTGAGGCTGGAGAAAGAAGTATAGCCATTGCGTATGTATCTGTCTCCCCCCCCCCCAGCACCCCGGTTCTTTTCGTTTCCTTTCCCTTTCTCTACCGTCCCCCCTTGAGCTCAAACCAGATGAAGATGAAAGAAACGAGGTTAACATGATCTAGTATGTGGGTAATGTCCGCAATTAGCGGGTTGATGGTCGGTACCCAGTACTTCCAAGCTGGCGATGCTCCATTGTAAGTATCACCGTTCACCACTCAATTGAAGGGTCGACGTTGCTGATGATCAATTTTCCAATATCGAAAGCTATCAAACAGGCCTGCGCACGATGATCATCATGGTGTCGGTGGGTATTGTTTTCGCTTCGCTTCAAATCGTGATCTATACAGTCCACAATAGGAGAATAGCCCAGGGCAAGCATAGAGACGGGAAGGGAGCTCCGATTGTATATACCATATAGATATGTTGTAAAATTTTCTTCGTCTAAAGTAATACAGCAAAAAAGTCGTCCAAGTCATTCAATCAAAGCAGCAGTAGTCTGCCACCGCTTTCTGTTCTCTCACTCCAGATGCGACCAGTGCTTCACGTTGTACTCGTAGCTCCTCTGCCAGCTGTCACTGTCCTGGGGACGGATGCTGTAGAAGTTGGCGTCGAATTGGTTGACATCCTGAGGGCCCTCTTCGGCGGGTAAGTAGCCCATCTGGCACGAGTTGTAGCGAATCTTAGTCTGCTTGCTGTAGAAGTCGTCAAAGTCTGCGGCGAGGGCGTCGTGGAGCGTCTGAACGTTGCCGCTGGGGTGGAGCGTCTTCCAGGGACGGTAGCACTGCTCGCCCTTGCAGGACTTGAGGACCATGAGGAGGGCGTCGAGGCGGTCGACGACGAGCTCGAATGAGCGCCCTGCGAGTTGGTACTCGGAGGCGAGACCTTCCCTGCTGACGGTGCTCAGGTTCTGCCCCTGGTCAAAGTAGTTGTGAACCTGAGCGGGGTCACGGTGCAGGTCGTAGAACTCGTGCTCGCCGCTGCACCATACAGAGTAGAAGAGGCTGTAGTCGTCCCCGATGAGGCGCAGGGACTTGTACGTGTTGTTGGCGGCCTTGTTGTCCACGGTCCCGTAGGGGTAGTCGGCGTTGAAGACTGACTCCGGTAGTGCGTAGCCCCAGAACTCGACTTGTACGTGCTCGCGCTTCTCGAGGTTGGCCAGGTCCTCGGTGCTCAGAGGGATGGGGACGCCGTCAAAGTCATCCTTGGACCCGCCGGCCAGCTTGAGGATGGTGGGCGCTACGTCCGTGTGGGACGACACGGCGTCGGAGACGAGGCCTTGGGGGACGCCGGGCCCGCGCACGAAGAAGGGGATGTTGATGTCCTCTTCGTAGCTGCACTCCTTTCCGGGGAGCATGCGTCGCGTGCTGATGTGGAAGCCGTTGTCGGTCGAGTAGATGATGTACGTGTCGTCGAGGAGACCCTTGTCCTCGAGCCTCTGGAATAGGCCGTCGATCATCTCGTCGACAGCTTGCAGGGAGCGGAGGCGCGCGCGCTGGTATTCGTCGTTGGCGTCGATGACGGTCTCATTGAGCTTCCTGAGCTTCTTCATCCACGCCACGCCGGGCTGCTCGTCCGGGTTGAAGCTCTCGGTGCGGGGGATCTTGTAGTCCTTGAATAGGTGCGCGTGGCGCGGGTGGTAGCGGGGTTGGTCGGTGAAGCCCGTCTGGGGCACCATCTCGCTATGCGGGGCGATTGGCGCCACGGTGAGGAACCACGGCTCTTGGTGCGAGGTGGCCTCCTCAAGGAAGTCGTAGGCCTTTTGGGCAATGACGTCGGGCGAGTACTGTCCATCATAAGCAACGGGGGCGGCCCCGTTCCTCGTCATCTGTGCGTTCCAGTACCGGTACGTGTAGGGGTCCAAGAGGAAGTCGCTCCCGTTGAATCCCCGCACGTATGGGTCATTGTAGTTGTCGATCGTGTGCGCGTTCCACAGCTTGCCGGTGTAGTAGGTGTTGTAGCCGAGCTCTTGGATCCAGATGGGCAGGAAGTTGTCGTGCCATCCCTCCTTGATGATTTGGGGGTAACCGCCTGTTGCGGCAGATGGTCAGAGCCCGGTAAGATTGTGTGGTCAGAGGCAAAGCTGGAGAGATCATACCGAATGGCGGCTTGACGTCGGTGACGTTTGTGTTGTGCGCAGCCTTGCCGGTCCAGAGGTTGGCTCTCGACGGGCAGCAGATGGCCACGGTGCAGTAGTGGTTGTCGAAGGTAGTGCCCTGGTCGATAATGTGCTTGTTCAGAAAGGGCATGTGCTCTACCGACTCCATGTGGTAGTCCTGGTCGTCGGTCAGGATGAAGAGGATGTTGGGCTTGTTGGTCGCGCCCGAGGCCAGAGGCAGCAGCCCGAGGCCGGCGGCCAGGAGCTTGGACAGCATAGTCATGGCGTGTCAGTGAGCTGGGAGCGATTTGAGATCAGCAATCGAAGAAGGTCGTGATAGGGGGGTGGGCCGGTTTAAGAATACCTGGCTAGAGTTTCCTGGATGATCTCTGTCTCGGACCTCTGCGACAGTCTACCGTCGTCAAGTTCCGAGGCAAGGGGCAATTGAGGCAGAGAGGAAAGGACCGGGACGGAGAACATGAATGAGCAGGACGGACGGCCATTGAAGTAATCATACGTCAGAGTCGAGCTGTTTAATGGGCCCTAGATCTAACCAGAAAAGAAAAAGAAAGAGAAAAGCAAAGAAATACCACCGACAGGACGTTATTGGACGAAAAGAGAGACCAAGTGCTACTCTCTGCTCCGCAAGGCCCGGGAACTCAGGAGCGAACGTGTTCCTGTCCGTGCGGAACATGGCGCTCTCAATCATTGTGCTACTTTCAGAAATGATCGCCACGATGAACGAAACAATATCTGGCCGGGCCCCATCAAGTTCCGTCGCGATCCTACCTGAGCATCCGAGAGACGGTGGAGAGTTGAACAACCGGCGAAAGGGCGAGACCCTCCTTGGCCGTGTGGGGTCTAGCTGAGGTACCCTCCGTCCATGCAACGATGACAAGGCCACCAATCCGGCTACTCGGAAAAGCTCAGGAAAGCCAGGATTGGAGCTGTGGACTCTGGACTTGTACGCCGGTATGAACAGGCTGGCCCACCTTCGGGGATTGGGTGATTGCGGAGTGAAATGACACAATTGAGAGCATTCACCACAAGATTGACCAACCAACCCTTCCGGTAGTCGGCGACGGTTCATCCATTATAGGTTCGCCTGTCGGACAATGTTGAAAGAAAACGACATGTCTCAATGCCGTAAGGTACCGTTTACGAGCATAGTAATTACCGATTTCCGACTGCAATTGATCGTCTTTCGGGCGCAATGCATCGCGTGTCCAACCCCGATAGTAGGCATTATCGCCGGAAGCACAATCAGACTGTCGCCATGACATGCTTTTTGCTCCAGAGTGCGCCTTCGAGGCATCAATAACACGAATATGCGTACCCGGCAAAGCTTCAACCTTTGAAAGTGGTCAGCTCGTAGGTTGTGCTCTCGATCATTACATAGTCCAACAAGTCGAGAGACAGTCGAGAAGGTTGAATCCGGGAGAAGCGACCACTGTATCATCTGAACTTTTCATCCTTGAACTAAGCGCCCGAGAGTCTGGGGGTAAGGCCGGCCATCTTTGAATAGGAGAAACGTCAAATACAGTAATCTGCACTTGAGCAAAAACGGCTTCAGTTCCCGGTGGTGCTGAGATATAAACACCGTTTAAGCGTGCATGTATCGATGTGATGTCGCCGATCAACATTCTATACCCGGCTCTCATATACATGCGAAGAACGGGGTGACTACTCAGGACCCTGGATAGAGCCGCGCTAGACAGCCTGTATTATCTCTTATACCTCATCCGTGAAGGAAGCAACATTCAATAGGCCGCAAGTATCCGAGGCTCCCTGCAGGTGGTGCCACGGCAGTATTTCTTCAGGTGGGTTTGATGGAACGTCTATCAGCTCTGCAGCCTTCAGATCCTCGCGTGGATTGAGAGGCGCCTCTAGGATTGGCAGAAGCTGGTTGTCAACCAGAGGAGAGTATATTTGCCCGGAAAAGAACTTGGCCTCATCGGTCGCAGATATCAATGTTGCTCCATGTACTACTGCAGTAGCATCTCGCTTACAAAATCTCGTGGAGCTCTCGCTCTATTCATCTGCCTTATGGAGTATTATGTAGTACATGCTATATAGACAGACTTTATAGATCGCAGTTGGGGATCCTACCTTCTGGTTTTTGCATACGTGATATCGTCTTAACTCATACATGGTACACAATGATAGTTCTCTGAATCTTGTACGCTGTGACATATCACCGAATGGCAAACGAAGTCCATTCTTATTAAGAGAACAGAGGTCAATGGGTGACATTGGTCGTCCTATCAAGCGAGAATGAACGGCGCCAGTGATGTAAATTGAATGACGTACGTCACTTGCTCTATCTAGCGTCGTGTCACGTTCCATTCTTTCTTCTTCTTTCTTCTTGAATGATCTCTAACCAAACATTTGATTTACGGGCTGCAGTCTTTGCATGCGGTACCAGGAGGCTAGAAGTATGGTATCGCCTCAACATACGACGAACGAGGGTCCCTCGCAGCCCGCTCGGCCCAACTTCGCCTTCGTTTCCGACGAGACCCAGCATGGTGTACGAAGTCATGCTATGCGGCAGCATTGGAGGCGGAGACAGCAGAGGTTAGGCGCGGAAGAGAGAAAACAAGAAGCCGATTCGTTGAACGATCGAGTCATCCTGCCGCGCCCGCTTGAGAACCCCAACATCGCTGAGTCCAACGATGCCGACTTCAACAGCGCCGAGTCCTACCAGCTGTCAAGGACCAGGAGTGGGAGCGATAACGCTCCGGACAAGGGCAAACAGGTTGTCAGCAGCAAGCATAATCCCGGCGAGCATGGATTGGGGCCGGTTCCTGAAAACTTCCCAGAAGCTCTCGGGAACCCGGTCCTTTCACAAGCAATCTCGGGGATGAAATCAGCCTTGGCATCTTGCAAGCTGGACCCGTTTGACTCTTTCCCCATCAAGTTGACGGCCCAGCATCATCAGCTTCTCCATCATTGTGGGTGCATGTGCCTTGCTCTCTCTGTATTCCAGAGCTCTACATGTCTGACCGACCGCTCTCCTCCCAGGGCTCGTCATGTACTCGACAATGATATTTGACCGCCTCGAGACCGCATATTTCAACCCTATAAGAGATGTGTGGCTGCCGATGGACCTGTCCAATGCAGCTTCTTTCAACGCCATCATGGCCCATTCCGCGGCCCACCTCGCACATATGCGAGGCAGCCGTAATCGTAGGACTGCACTCAAATATAAAACCGAGGCCATCCGAATGGTGGCCGAGTGGATGAGCGACCCCAAACTCTGCATGAGCGACAACATCATCGCCGCAGTCCTACGGCTTCTAACTTATGAGGTATGGGTGCGACTGTCACGTCCTGGGGGCTCATCATGTCCAGCACGCTGACCCGACGTCCCGGACCTAACCAGAGGTATTGGGGTACCGAAGCCGAATGGCGCGTACATCTCAATGGACTATTGCGTCTAGTTGGAGCTCGGGGAGGCATCGAGGCCCTTCACTCTAATTGGCGTGTCAGCTTGGTGGCTTATCTGTAAGAAGCACAGTCTCATCTACTTTCGGAATTCGGACTTTCCACTGAACGATTTTACTACTCACAGGGTGTCGCTTATGAACGGACCGTCGTGGTTTGACACGTCAAATCGAATCTGGGAGATATCTACCGATCAGGGTCATGAGTGGGTAAAGGACAACCTCCACCGGATCCGATGCTTGTGGCTTCTGTCCTTCATTCAGGATATCAGAATCTTCGCAAGTCTCCATCGGCATCTTTACGCGAACAGAATGGTGCGATTTCCCGTCACGATAGATGTCCTGGAAGTGCTGCAGGCTCGCAGTCGACCCTCAAGCTCCCAGCCCACATCTGATGACCAAGCTCCTTTCGACGATCACGCATTCCGGAGATTGGCGTGCCTGCTGCTGATCTGTGTCTTGATCTACAAGTCGTTTTTGGAGGCCGAGGATGCAGGGTCAGCTTGGGGGGGAACCGGCACTCATTCTCTGTCTTCGCTCGAGAGTCTGCTTGACAGGTACAGATCGTCTTGGCAGCAGGGCTCTGTGGATGGACTGTACGACATCATCTTCCACATATATCTTAACGCTGACCATGGAGAACGAGAGAGCTACTACGTCTTAAGCTTGGCTAGAACTCTCGGTTCATTGAGCTCAGAGGCACGCTGGGGCGTGGAGAACTGTTTACTGTACGTCGTGTGCCAGGCAAGAGGCCCAAGCGGAGAAGAGTTTCTGGACAGTGATGAGCGAACTCCAGATTACCTCCTCGCATCGATACATGGAGATTGAAGGCCACTTGGATCCAATATGCGAGGGGGGGGGCGGGTTAAGTTTCTTGAATGTGGTCGTGTCGGATAAAACGAGTCTACGTAGTTTAACTGCAGAGCTCGATGTCATGTTTCGCCACAAGCGCAAATGAAATCGCAAAGTACCAATTCGCAATTCGCCATTCGCCATTCGCCAGAAATAGGAGCAACAAGTCTCACCAACACTTGTCTTAATGTCTGCAGTCACTCACCGTGATGAACAGGCGCTCCGGCAGAAGGCTGTAAAGTGGCAGGAAGCGTCACGAAAGCTGTTGGGGAATACGTACACGATGTCAAGCATGATCATGATAGAATGAAAATAGGCCATCTAGCTATGCTGTACGGAGTGTCCTTGTCATTGTTGAAAAGACAGCGGCGACGATGCTCACGCAACATCACAGGTATATAGGTCCTTTCACGGGATTATGGTAAGAGAACCATGGGAGAATATGTCTGCAATATTCTAGCTGTATTCGAATATCTTTAGCTTGTACATATCCCCCTATTTACCCTTTTGGGCGCGAGAACCATCAGTAGCCTTCTGCAGTCGATATCCCAAACTGCGATCGACCTTTGTAAACATTTCTGGTACATGTCAGCAACTCTCCATCGTGTCTTGGACAAGGAGCTGGGGATACGGAGCATACCGTAGACCATGCCACGGAGCCTGTCATCCTTGACTCCAGCTACGTGCGACGAAAGATTGTCCACGAACCGGTCCTGCTCCCCGGGATTCTTCGCCAACACATGCCAGAGAGCGGTTGCCTGCTGGAAGTCTTCCGGACCGACCTCACTCACATAGCTGGTGATGTAGCCCGCCCACTCTTCATGGTCTGTGAAGGTCGAGGCCACGCGGTTTCCCGCACTGTCAACCTTGAAAGAGGTGGGCTTCAGCATGGACCCGACATAGCTGGGCTCATCACCGTAGTTGGTTCCGAAGTTCATGAGGCCGTCTCGCTGAAACGGACAGTAGACTGGTGATTTGGCGTGGTTGGTCGGCAGCATCTGGTAGTTCGTACCCAGACGGTAACGGGCAGCATCGCCGTAGGCAAACATACGAGCCTGGAGCACTGTATATGAAGTGAATAACGAGAACAAGCTGGTGATTCTTGCAACGTGGTCCTTACCGGGATCGGCGGAAGCCGCCCAGCCTGGAACCATGGTTCCAGGGGAGAAGGCGGCCTGCTCAATGTCGGTGAAGTAATTCTTCGGCTGCTACTTGTTAAAAGTCTCGGACGTTTTTCCTCTTCTTTTTTTCCCTCCCAAAGCTCGGGAACTCACGTTCTCGTTCAGCGTCAATCGTCCAATGCGCCTGAGAGGCACGTCGCTGTGTGGCCACACTTTGGTCATGTCAAAAATATTCCATCTGTAGCTCTCTGCGTCTTTGGGGTTCATGACCTGGACAAATACGTCCCACTTGGGGAGATTGCCCCTGTCAATCGCATCGTAGAGGTCTTCGACGAGATAGTCCGGGTTCTCCCCGGCCAACCGCGTAGCCGTTTGGCGATCGAGGTTATGGACACCTAGCTGGCTCTTGATGTGGACTTTGATGTATCTGAAGGAACCGTCCTATACTCGGCCATGCAAGTCAGCTGGAGGGCTGGGCTGATATTGCCACGCACAGCTGGAGCGTACCTCCTTGGTGAATTTGTAGGTGTGTCCACTGTAGGCGTTCATCTTTCGGATAGATTCTGGAGTCCCACGGTCACTGAATAAGTGAATGAGCTCGTGGATGCTCTCCTGGTTTCCAACGTGGAAGCTTTGACCGAGATTCAGCTTATGAGTATACGCTTCTTCCCCGGGCCGTACTTACTCCCAGAACTACCCCGACGGTCAGTACGTCATATCATATTACTGAGTGTACCTGTATCTCTCCGAGGCTAATGACTTACCATATCTGCGTCAGGCGTGTTGGTGGCGGGGTGTCTCTTGTGCGATCTGTTGAGCGACGGGAACTTGACAGGGTCTCGGATGAAGAACACAGGCTATCGGGTGTTATTCACTGTACAGAACAAGGGTCTCAGAGATTAGGCTCACTGTGTTGTTAAAGACCCAATCAAGGTTACCCTCATCAGTGTATAGCTTCATCGCCCAACCGTGAACATCGCGCGATGTGTCTGCGGATCCCCGTTCAGGGCCGACTGTCGAAACCCGGAGTAGGCACCGGGTTTTCTTTCCGACCTTGTTCAGAAAGCTCGCGGAAGTGATATCAGAGCAGTCATCGGTGACCTCGAATTCACCGTATGCACTGTTTAAGAACGTCAGTAGGCGCTGCACAGAATGTGGCAGATATTGGGGGAAGGGGTCATACCCGGCAGCCTTGGCATGGACGACGCTGGACAGTAGAAAGAAGGGATCCGAACGTCAGTGTCTGCAGCATTGTCGAGGAGTTCCTGTTGATGCGTACCGCTCGGGTATTCTCTCCCGTGAGAAATGCGCAAGAGTCTCGATGAGCTGGACATCTGAAAGTAGAGACTGTCCACCATTCGAGGAACCACTCCGAATCTGCAGGTTCGTCGAGTTAGTGGGCTGCGGGCAACCTGTACCGGTTCGTTAGCTATCTCGTGTCTCGGGGCTGGGATGAGCTGCGAGGCCAACCTTCAGCCAGAGTATAAGGAGGCGACATGTTGAATACGTTGGATATGATGCAAGCAGCTGCAGTCTCTCTTCTTTTCAATAACAAGATGTTGTGGGCGAAACCAGCTGCGCTTTAGATCTGTCGGACAGCAGTAGACCGTAGGAGCCAACTGTTGGATACTTATACCAGTCCTCAGTGTAAGCGATGTCTTCAACCCTCCGAACTCCGACCCGGCATGCATCTGTCTACAGCTGACATCTCGGCCTCTGAAAGCGCCGGCGACGACTCTCCAGGTCATCTCAGTCTCCTCAAATTGGCCTGTGACCTCACTTAATTTTACGTTTCGTTCGGCTTCATGGTGTTTCCATAACTGGCCATGGCCTTCTAGTGGGTGCCATCACGGCGCTGAATGAAACCTATTCAAGCTCTTCGCTCGGGCTGGCCTCCGCGGTGGCTGTCCCCGTACCCCGTGTGGACTTGTTGCTTCACACGGCCACATGTGCATATCCTGATCAGTTGCCAATCCTGTTGCAAGATGGGGGGGGGGCGATCCAAGCTGGAATAGGTAGTACTACCAGAAGCAGTAGGTGCCCAACCTTGCATGTGTCTCTTCACAAACTTGAAGATACCGGGGGGCCTGAGCTGCTTCCATATTTAGCTCGGAACTGGTTTCCTCCTTCTAGTACCACTGATAGTCAACTACAAATTCGTGGACAAGTTCAGGGATTCTGGGTTCGGATGGGATACCAATGACATGAGAGCTCCTGCGCACCAGCAGCTGGAGCGACCGGTTGAAGTTTCCCTGCCGATGTGTTTAGCAAGAAGATGACCAAGACGCAGATTATGATGACTTGTTTCCTTCTTTTATCCCCTTTTCTTTTTCTATCTCTTCCTCTCTCTCTCACATACGCATGTTCTCACCAACAAGATCAACAGGTTATTTGAGATAGGAGATGACGGCTTATACATTTCTACCTGCATTCATAGTTGCCTATGGAAACTCCAACTATACGCTGGTAACACGAGAAACGTTGCAGACTTCTCGATAGGCGCACTGAGTACTTTTATCACCGTCGTTATGTTAGGTTCTTTTCGTCCAGAAGAGAGCCTGTGATGTGGTGTGGTCTGGTCGGGCGTCTAGGTCAAGTTGACAGAAGCAAAGCGCTTCACAACGGAAGTATTTTCATATCCTACACTGAGCGGTACAGGATAGCACATGCTATTTTCCACTATGGAAAGCTTTATGAAACAGGCTCATCAGGGTAAGTGGCTGTTATCTCCAGTACGATGACGAAACGTCACATAACTTGAGATCTCTCCTCCGCTTGAACCTTCATTTCGTCCTGTCCCAATGGCGACATGTACCTTTCCGTTTTTTTCTTACCGACTGTCCGTACACCAGCAAGAGTTAGGCGGATCGCATTAGACTTGCCGATTCCGAGCCTCCGCCGAAAGGAGATTGGGGAATTTCATTGGCAAGATGCTATTGCTTGATGCGGTAGTATTGCTGGCATAAGCGATTGATGCGCGACACGCAGCTACTAGCATCAGAGTGAGTCCAGACTCTGACCATGGTGCCACATCTCCGCAGCAGCTATCCATTGCTGATCTCGGGATTCGTCGAGACTGTAATAACGTATGAAGAACAGAATGCCTCTTTATGCATCACATTCAGGGATCAAACTCTCGGGGTATTCTCGCCTTTTGCATCGGCACTGACTGGCCTGATCGTTCTACCGGGACGTGATGATCTGAGTGATTGGTAAACGGCTGCGGATCAAAGGACATGTAAGGTCTGATTTGAGAAAAAGCACCGAGCGATTCGAAAGGTACATGTCGTCATTGAAACCCCAGCTGGGTTCTCTGCACCTCGGGAATCGGACTTGATCTGTTTCATCACCCTATCCATACTCCAACTTGTTCGCACCCGAATTCATCCCGCACGCCACCCTTGCTTGTCCTCATACTTTGAAACTCTCCATCTCCATTCCACCATGTCTTCTCAAGACGGCGCACGCTTTGACTTCGTGATCGTTGGTGGTGGCACTGCCAAGAAACATTGTCGCCATGGAACTTCGCAAAAGCAAGTATGACTGGCCATACAAGACTACCATTATCAAGCGCGATGACTATGAGCGGATTGAGGAACTCGACACCCGCGGGAAGGTCCTCGGCGGTAGCTCTTCATTGGCCTATTTCACCTAGCCTCCAGGTTCTAAGGGCACGTTCGACATGTGGGAAGGGTACGGCGGAGAGGAGTGAATTCGGGACCACCTTATTCATCACCTACGAAAGAGCGTGACTTACCACGAAGACGGCAGCACCTACTCGAAGGAGCTCGTGGTAGTCCCATTCCCATCTCCCACTCGGAACTAATCCCTGAGATGCAATGCTTCCAAGGACTTCTCACCGAAGCATGGAAGTCCACGGGACAGTCTCTGCGTGAAAACATATCCGACGGGGATACGATTGGCTCTGACGCACAGCGTCAAAACCATCTACAAGGGCTGCCGTTCCGGCAGCTTCCTCGCTGTGGCAGACAAGTCCAGCATCAACTATTCTGCCCGAGGTGCACTCCGAGGAGCTCATCATCGACGATTGCCGACAAGCCCCCTGCAAGGGAGTCACTGTTATCACTGCGCCGGGTCAGGAGACTGAGCCTCTATGCCAATCGCGAAGTCATTGTCTGCGAAGGAGTCTTCGAGAGCCCCAAGCTCCGGATGTTAAGTAGCATCGGTCCTGCTCCGGAATTGCAGCGACACAACATCCCAGTCATCGTCGGCTCTCGACAGGTTGGCCAGCGTCTTCTGGATCACCCCCGGTGTTCCTCTTGCCCTCCCAGTCAGGGGTGGCTACAGAATGGACGACTGCATCCTCCGAGAAGGGACTGGCCGCCACAAGAGGGCCGTCGGTGCCTACCAGGATGACAAGCACGGTGGGCCTATGGGTTACGGATTCCTTGAGATGGTTGAGCTCGCCCGCATCGGCAGATACTTGGAGAAGGGGGCCATTCTCGACCGTTCTCAAACATCTTTCTATCCTTGTTGCGCTGCTCGCCTTTCAGAGGATATCAAAACAAGGTGTGGTAGACTCTGCGATGCCAATTCTTGTGCCGATGAAACTACCTTTGTACAAATGCAAATATCATGAATAGGAAAATGACCAAAGGGTGTTGACTGCCAAGCAGTGGTTGTTACGAGGATTTCTCTGTGAGGCAATTGCTGAGCATCACGAATCCGAAATCCGCGACCGTGTCAGCCCGAAGCTGTAGGTCGTTCTAACGGCCCCGTCGCCCTGGGGCTCCCGACGAGGCCTGCTCACTCCGGGACCTGCCAGTTTGAATGAGCGTGCTCAAGCTGCGGCGAAGTGTCTTCTGTGAACATCACGGGGTTGCGCCTTGTCCGATTAACCTCCAGCTTCAAGACATCCAAGCGTTGGTAGCCACCAACGACATCGTGATACTGTTTTCCCTCTATGCAGCGATCCAGTTCAATGTCGGGGTAAAGCACGCCTTGCTCGTTTTGTAGGTAATCGACCGGCATGTGCTCCCCCGTGCTCTTGTCGACCATGAAAGATGGGCAGGGCGCCCCGGTCGGGTCCAGGACCATGGTGGCCCCGCGAGGTCCGATGCGCAATTCCCGGCGGACAAGGTCCGGATCACTTGCCCCCTCCGTCACTGCATCGATGCCCCTCTCGTCCAGGAACGCACTGCACATGATGCCGAATGCCTTGGCCTCGAAACAGTGCGCTGCCGCCCTGATTCTGTCGGCGAGCACGTCGTCGTAGTTTGGCTTGCTCTTGACGGCCTCCGCCACTCCAGGTGTCGTGTTCAGTCGAGTCGGCCACATTGGCGGCCACGATGAAATATGAATCTGCTCGCGCTGCGCCATCAACGAGTACCGAGCCAGCGGGTTTGTATTTTCCCCGCAGATGAGGCCCCCGATACGTCCAGAGGGCGTGTCGGCCACCCGAAGACCAAATCCATCCCCGGGACTCCCAATGAGTTTCTCGAAAAGGGTTGGCATCGGTTTGCGGTGGTGCGCAGCGACTTGTCCTCGCTCGCTGATGACGAGGTCGGAGTTGTAGAGACAAGCTACGCCGGAACGCGTCTTCTCCGAGATGCCGACGGAGATGACCGCTGTTTACGTCACGCGCGGTCTCCCGGAGTGTCTGCACTTCCTCCCCATCCGCGTAGACGGACTCGGCGACCATGCGATGCAACAAGTCGTGATTCTCGGTCGGAGGGCGTAGAGCACTCCATAACGGGAATGCCGAGATATATGCTTCGGGGAACACGACAAGGTTGGCTGCGTCTGCGGCGGCCTGCCGCACATGTGTCATTATCCCGTCGGCTGCTGCTCGAGCGTTGAGAGAGACGGGTGCGAGGTGGCAGGCGGCTACACGTGTGACGGGCATGCCTAGAAGTCTCAGATGGTTCAGGATGATTCGAGTGCAATGTGTATCTTGCCGTGCGCGGGTTAGAGCACAAAGAGCGAGCCCGGCGATCAGCGGTCTATGGCACATCGCGATGGCGAAGGAAACTTGAAACTTGAATATCACAGGTGGATGTTTCGACGCCGATTTCTACTTTAATCCCATACGCAAGTCCTGGACGTTCGCAGACGCGCGGCCGAATCAGGTAGTCTTGTTGCAAGACAACGCAGTCAGCCCGTAAATATGCAGAGCCTCTGTACGAAGGGCGAGATTGATCGGAGCGCTTCAATAGCCGTTACTGCAATACGATGCCTCAGATCATGAGGTACGTGCGCCGTCAATTGGCCGAACACGTTGCCAAAGCTCCTGCTTGCTGCATCATGCTGACTTCAGCTATCATGCAAAGCCGTCTCTACTCGCATGCGAGGTCAAGATTATCCACTCCGTGCAGGACGAAACCGTTTCCATCTTGTTGGAGTGGGCATTCTCGGGGTCGTGCATCGATGGGATGCTCGCAGATTGTATCATGAATGGTGTTGAGGGAGAGATGGCTTCTTCTCGTCCCCGGTATGCATCGATATCGCACTACATTCAAAAAAGCAGCCATGACATCACGAGACTCTCCATAGAGACGCTTCTCAGAGAAACAAACAGGTCATCGCCACCATGCAGACGCTCCTCGGGTAGGAATCCCGCGTGCACCATTCTACATATCTAACCAAGACTGCATACTACAGCCTAGCAAGGGGAAAGATGTGCATCTCCAAAGGCAACGTAGACACCGAACCTGAGCGATTATCGTACTTGTGTGTTCCGACGAGGCATTACCAAAAGGATGCACATCTTCTCTCATTTCAATGCTTAAATTCCCGCCAATCTCGCTTATTTCTGGGCAGTCAGACTTGGCAAACCCCGGACATGATACCCCGAGGTGTAAGCCAAACATCCAACATGACACCAGGCACAGATATGCATGGTGACGCACGCCATGCCCAGACTCTCCCCATCCAATTGTCCCCCACGCATGGCGAGAGAGAAGAGGAAGAAAGGAAGAGGGGGGGTTGGGAGGGGTTGATCAGGAATCAAGGAAAGAATAGAGGAATGGCATCTAACCAGCTTGAGGAGTCGGACCTGATCATGGCACGGCCACGGCGGGGGTGAGAAGAGGGGGCGGGGAAGGATAAGAGAGAAGAGAGGGAGCAGTCAGTCGGTGGGCCAGGAGATGGCGGATGTGTATGCATGCACGGCTTTTAATGGCAATGGATCGGGAGAGAGGAACATATCGGACACATGTCTATAGGGCAGAGGACCAGGAATCGACGAGTATCGCGGCTAATGATTATATCTATTTCATCTTCCACCCACAACCCCCCCCCCCCC